AACACATAACAAGTGCATTACAATGGGAAAAAAGGACATCAAAACTACAAAAGCAATTACTCCTCTTCATGTAGTACAGAATAGTAATCCACTAGTTAATGGTATAGCAAAATTATCTGAAAAATGGAATAAACGTTGGCCTGACATTGAACAACCATGGCCATTGGAAGGCACACTTAATCCAGACGTCATCAAGATAATGCAAGTGCTTGTATCCACGTATAAGACAGATCAAAAGAAGGGGAAGAAAGGAAAACTTCGTCAAGAAAAAAGACAAAGAGAGCTGGGTGTTCTTAAGCTTTTTGAAAATGAAGGACAAAAACTGATAAAAGACACAAAAGATAAGAGAGACAGAGGTGCAGAGAAAATGGCAAAAGAGGTGAAGGTGACAGAAAAACTGATTGCAGAAGTCAATACACCTTTCTCATATATGGATTCAGCAAAAACACCCCCACCTTATGAGAAAGAAGCCAAGTTTAAGGACGTTTATCCTCAGCTTCCAGTGATCATTCAGGAAGGTGATTATTGCATCAGAGATGAGGATGAACGAATAATAGAGAGGGGACAAGCAGAAACGACCATAAAGATGAATCCAAACTCCAAAGGCAGGAAGACAACGAGATGTCTGGAGACTAAGGGTAGAGTGAGATCAAGGAGGATGGAACTTGATGATGACGATGATGATGAGGATGATCAGAGTGATTCAGAAGAGATCATGGGTGGATATGACCCTGTCATCAGACAGAGGTTGGCCAGAGCGGAAAGAAGGGGTGATGGAAGTTGGAAGAAGAAGAATACAAGCGATTCAAGCCCTGGTGAAAATGAAAATGGAGACAGCGATGAAGATTTGGAGACTAAAGGTGCTTCATGTTCAAGAGGATTTTATCCTCCAATGACTAACACAGAAGAAATAGAAGGTGATATAGACCGATGCGTATCATACCTGTATAAGGCCAATGATTTAGAAGAAGTAAAAGAACTGGAAGACCGACTCAAGAAGCTGCTGAGAAAAGAATCCCAAGAATCTGAGAAGAGATATACATTGAGGCCAAGGAAAGATGGCACTAGTAAGAAAATTATGCCGGTGATCATTCGAGGACAAAACCTAGAATATAAGCCTTTGCAGAATACCGATATGTCAGATATACTTGAGAAGCTGCCTACTCTTCAAGATGGAGCATATCCTTGGATTTCAAAGTTGGAAGAAATTACGGTGGGAACACAGTCTGCCATAGGAGACATTAAGAGACTTTTGGCTAATCTCCTTGGGATTCCAGGCATGGAAGAAATTTTTCAGAGAGCTGGACTTCATAGATACGTGGGAACTGCTGTGAATGATCCTGAATTGTTGGCTGCAAGCAGGAATCGGCTGTGGAGAGCACTGAAGGATACGTTTCCAACAAATGTGCATCCTGACAACATTCTGATTGACCCACTAGGACAACAAGAAAATCCGAGAGCCTACGTGTCAAGAGTTCATCAAGTATGGAGAAATATTACCGGAAATGATCCAGATGTGAGTCAAATTGAGCAGTCAATCTTGAGAGCTAAACTACAGATGGGACTGCCCTTACCGGTAAGGAGCAAACTGGCAGAAGTGGTTGGACTTGGAAGCATGACAAAAGGCGTCTATACAGATCATATAGCCCATCAAGTGGATCTGTACCGGAAAAAGGAACACAACCAGAAAGAACAGGACCAAGAAACTCTCAGAAAACTCAATCAAATACAACTGGAGAAGAAGAAGGAGAAAAGAAGCTTTGGTTATGCAGAATCGGTGTGAACCAAATCAACAATTACTGCTACAGTTTCAACTGAACAAGGTCAAATGCAATTATACCAGCCACAACAAGTGGTATAAATTGTTTCATATCCATAGATAGTTTCTGGAAAGAAATAATTTCAGAGGAAGACACAGGAGCAAGTGAAGATCATCTGGAGGACAGGTGAACCTTTAGGGGAAAGGAGCAAGAATTCTAGAGGTGCCCAGAAGATCCGAAAAGGAGGAGTTTCAGCTGATAGCACCGATTAGAGAAGAAGAGAAAAAGATCCAACAATTGAAGTGAAAATAAACAATGGACTATGGGAAGTGATGATGGATAGCAGAAAGGCTTTTATCTGTGTTCAGCCTGAAGAGGTTACACATCTCACTATGTCAAATCAACTAAATTAGGAGAAGGATTTGGAGGAGTGAAGATCACGATTTCTGAAAATGATGATTTTGCCTCAAGGACAAGGAGAGTCATAAGCTGTACGGAAGACAAACGAATCTATTTGAAATGTGAAGATGGATTGAGAATCTATGGAAGAAGAGATGTTGAAAAAGTTCAAGAATGTTTGAGATATTAAAGTAGGACTGATATTGGATTTGTGAAATCAGCTCAATTGAGATGAAAGTTGAGGAGGCAGACCTCCTTGGAAGAATCAGTATCCATTAAAAAATGAAGCAATCCAAGGGATTGAACCAGGAATTGAAGGACTTTCAAAAGCAAGTGTTTTGAAGACAATAGAAAAATCGTTAGAGTAACAATCAATTATTGTTTTGGAGAAACCATGATGATTTAGTAAGCTATGGGTTAGCTTATGTTGTAAATGGGAGATTAGGATAAAAATCACAAAGGAGTATAGTTTTTGGGAACCATATTTTCTTGAATAGATTGACTATGTCATAGGCAGATGCACAATCTGTTTGAAAAATAATGTGTGACTGTTATTCTTGGTTACATTCATATACCAAGAGGTTCATAAGATGTTCAACTAAGCTAAAAGATGCTCAGTCGGTTGCAAAGTTCTTGTGTAAAGAAGTCATAAGCAGGTGGGAATTTCCCAATGTAATATCCTCAGAAAATGGGAAGGAGTTTTGTGAATAAATCAGTGAAATGGGTTTTTGAAAAAAAAAAAAAAAAATTGAGAAAAATAAAATTGGAAAAAGTCAGACTAAAAGGTTATGAAAACTAGGGTTGAAATAACTCTAGGAAATTTGGAATATCTGATTGTGGAGCGATTATATTATTGTGATGAATCAAAGGGGGGAAATGGAATGTGATTCATTTGATATATAATCTTAAATATACATTCTTATATTATTGCTGATATTGATGTTTTAATTTGCATGTGTTGTTTTGCAAAAGATACTGTTTGGTATTTTCTTTTCTTCCAGAAGCATATGGGGGAATATGTAGAGGGACTCAAATACTCAAACATGGACAATACGAATGGACTGGAGGAAGTGGAACAAGGAAGGAGTGGAAATGTTCCGATTCCATCATCAACGTCGCATTGAAAGACGACACTGTGGAGGAGATGAAGTGTAGTGGACTACATTCCAGTGTTATATTCTTTCTGTATTAATTTTTGAACAATTATGTTTTCTGTGTTGGGTACATGTGGGGACCTCAGATGTTTTTGTTTATTTCGTTGAAGTTTAGGGATATGGGGTCTAGGCAAGGACAGAGAGAATCCACAGGAGGGTCCGATGGGTCGACCAGCCTGAATGTGGACATTTTGATTGTATTTTGTTTGCTGGGGTTTTCATATGTATTCAATTGCATCATAGCTTAGAATGTATTCATGAAGATGTGTGAATTGATCTGGAGTACTTAGGTGGTCGCCTAGGGCAGAGGGGCCGTGAGAGAATTTTCCTGTCTTGACTGACTGATGGATATTTGGAATGAAAGCTGCCAGACAGGTTTTTCGCTCTTACACACCATGACAATTCATTTACACTCCATGACAATTCATTTACACTCCATGACAATTCATTTACACTCCATGACAATTCATTTACACTCCATAACAATTTATTTACACTCCATAATAATGTATTTACACTACATACAAAAATGTGTCTATATAAACATGTGTTTAATCTCCATTAATTTTGGTTTATTGTTAAAGTTACTCAAGAGCAAGAATTGTTATTTGTCATAATCCTATTCTTTTTGTTTTCGAGACTTAATTAGTCTCGAAGGGGGGAATATGTAGTATCTTAAACAGTCTACAAATGCTGATTGTTGCAGGAAAGTGTGATAGAGGGAACTTGGCCCTAAGATTTTGCTGATGTGGCAAAATGGTGTACTCTACTGTGCTGGAAAACATCTGGAAAGCATTACTAAATTCCTGGAAAAGAGGATATGTAATGGCCTGGGATTGGTTTTTTTAGAATCACACCATAATACGTCACAAAGGATATAAAACCATGTCTGAACAATAGAATAGGAAGAATAGCTAATCAGATTGGCTCGGGCTGTTTTCCAGACATCTGCAGGTGTCTGTCAAATTCTGATGCTGGAACCTTTGTTATAATAAACCTTTGAAAACAGAGTACAGTGTCGGCGGATATTCTTATCATCACAAGCATGGACCAGCAAAAGTGTTTCTTTTAGTAACCACAAGCCTAACCAGACACCGGTAATAGAGCTGATAGCGTGAGGATACTGTTGCCCCACTGACAAACACTCTAGGAAATCAAATCTGTGTTGGAAAGAGCTGGGCAGAATTGAAGTTGAACATATCCTACTGGGCACACACTGGTTGAATCAACGTTGTTTTCACGTCATTTAAATGAAAGTACTTTGAACCAACGTGGAATAGACGTTGAATTGACGTCTGTGCCCAGTGGGATTCGTGGGTAAACCACCTGACACCATGGTAGCCTAGTTGATAACAAAAACAACATGGAACAGTTTGTTGTTGTTGTTACTAATGGTGCAGGTGACTCATTGGCCTACATTTAGGCTAGATTGTAATTAAATTCAGCAGACTTACTATTTTACATGAAGAGGTGATACAGAATGTGAATCACTACAATTCATTAGATGGGTTGTTTTCTTTAGACATATGGGCACCAGTCACAATCCAATTTACTGAAAAAGAACAAATTAGACACATTCAATTGATACAATTTGTATGATGTTTTCACAATGTTTTCTTTCATAATGTAATAGACTTGATTTATCTCTTTAGACTACTTTAAAACAGTCTGACAGACAAACACCTTAATGGATACTTCAACAACACCAGGATCAGAAGACATCTCCAGAGAGCTGGCCTGGTATGTCAAGAACACCAGTTGTTGTTAACGCTCATCAGCAACATTCCCCTCAAAGTTTGTATTAGTTGATGATGATGTAGCTATGGTTCAGGGCGTTACCTGTGGCTTGAAGCCACACATAAGCCTTGGACTAGAGCTAATGATGATGATGGTGATGATGATTGTGGCGATTATGACAGTGTTGATGACAGAAGTGTATGGGACACAGAATGTGGTGGATATAACTATTATGATAAAATAGTAAAACTCTTCTTTTGAGGACCGTCCTGGCTGATAGTAACACTTTCTGATGTGTCACCAGGAGTGGGCGGATAGTCCCAGACAATGAGTTCAGACACAAGGTGATGCAGAGAGCCCACCGGGGACATGTGAGGGAATGCCTGGCCCAGGCCATCTTCCACAAGGTGCTGGACATGGAGATGAGAGGGGGAGTAGGGTGAAGTTGCCCCTAAATGCTGATCCTGGGTCAGTTTGGCATTTTCCACACTAATGGTTAAGTTTAGGATTGGGGGAGGGGAAGCTGATCCCAGATCTGTACCTAGGGGAAACTTCACCCCGGACCGGTGAGAGGGACATGGGTTCAGGAGGCCACAACATTTTAGAACATTCAGATATAGAAATATGTTTTGTAGAACATAAATACCTCTCTGACATTTAGAGAAAAGTATCATGTCAACTCTACTCATGACATTTCTGTGCTACTCGACTCATGACATAGAAATGAGTAGAGCTGACCTGATACTTATCTCTACTTGTCAGAGGCATTTCTGTTCTACATAACATATTTCTATCTGAACGTTCAGTACGTTGTGCTCTACTGAATGTGACCCTGTCCTAGTGACAATGATCCCACTGCTCTGATTGGTGGGTTGTGCCTGCCTCTGTGTAAACATTGTCCTCCTGTGTCCTTCCATCCTATCCAGTGTCTCCATCAGATCGAAATCAAGAGGTTGGAGGATTTTACCCGGAGGGAGAGAGTGCATAAAATCAAGGTGCATCATTTGAATATAAATATTCTGTATTCCCTGTGACCGAAAGGTCGCTGGTTCTAATCCCCGAGCCGACTAGGTGAAAAATCTGTCGATGTGCCCTTGAGCAAGGCACTTAACCCTAATTGCTCCTGTAAGTCGCTCTGGATAAGAGCATCTGCTAAATGACAAAAAAATAAATAAATAAAAATCAGGGAACAGGATTGCTGTAAATAGCAGATACATTCCATTACAGCTGCGCCATTGTAGATTTGAACAACAAGTTTCTCCATGAAGTTAAACACAGACTGCACATCTCGCCCACATAACTGACAACTGCAAGCAGACTGGTGGCACCATAGGTCCCAGAGTGGGGGGACAATTTTTTACCCCCTGGGGCCCGGGGGGATGAAAACCCTGTCAAACTGCAGCAACCTTATACTTGTTCATATGAATTATATTTAGACTAGATTAGGAGTGGGATTTCCTCTACCCAGACACAGAGACAACTGATAGAGTGGCTCCCAAATGGCGCAGTGGTCTAAGGCACTGCACCTCAGTGCTTAAGGATTGGGGCGGCAGGTAGCTTAGTGGTTAAGAGCGTTGTGCCAGTAACTGAAAGGTCGCTGGTTCTAATCCCCGAGCCGACTAGGTGAAAAATATGTCGATGTGCCCTTGAGCAAGGCACTTAACCCTAATTGCTCCTGTAAGTCACTCTGGATAAGAGCATCTGCTAAATGAAAAAAAACAACAACAAAAAAATATTGACGCGTCACTACAGACCCCCTGGTTCGATTCCAGGCTGTATCACAACCGGCTGTGATTGGGAGTCCCATAGGCCGGCGCACAATTGGCCCAGCGTCGTCCGGTGTAGGTCGTCATTGTAAATAAGAATTTGTTTTTATCTGACTTGCCTTGTTAAATAAAGGTTAAAAATAGACAATAGAACTCACAGGGCTGAGCTTGCTTTATGCATGTTTGCGTCATGCAGGCCTATGCAACTGTAGGCCTTATTATAAAACATTACATCACATCTGTCATCACTATTATGTTGATTGATTAATTCCAGTTAATAATTTTGGATTGAAAACGTATAGGCAGCCTAGCCAGCCCAATTTGGAATATAAACCAAATTTGATCACATTCACATTTTCTCCTGACACACAAATAGACTATAAATGCATAAAGTTACCAATTAGTTACCCTGACCAAATGGACCGGGCACATAGGCTGTATGCATCTGCTCTTATTAGTAGCCTACAGTTGATCAGACTGAAAGATAGTCTCGTTTTCATCCCATACAGCATGTCAGATCTCTAATGTTTAGGTGTAGCCTAGGCTGCTGCAACATTTATGTACTGAGTTTTTGCTTGTGTCTGTCCGGAGTGATTATGTGTTATCGTCTTTACTAAATAAATACCGGAGGAAAGTGGAAAGCCTACTTGAGCATGCGCGAAAAATTGCGCCGCGTCAACCGCTCTCTTTAATCTAACTTTTAATGGATGATGCGATGGAAGCTTTTGAATTGATTTCGACATCCCAGAAAAAGACAGTAGAAAGTTCCATATGTTCAGCAAGTAAAGCATCGTAACGCGCAATTACTGCTGCAAGCTCCTTGAAGTTGCACTTGTTAGCAGAACTTTCCCTCTTGTCGTGTGCTCTAAAAGCCCATTCTTGCATGCCCAAAAACGCAGTGGTGTCGATAAGCCGCTTGAGAACATCCCTGTTTCTTCTTACTTTCTCGTTGTGTGGTGCAGTTTGAATACACAGACCTTCCTCATGATCGATGCGGCTTTTTCCCAGAAGCTTGAATCTGATGTGGGCATTTATATGCTCCCTGCTTTTGTTTCGGCGTTTAGCTGAATGATCGATGTTCTTCAGATCCCTCTTTCTCCCAAGGCTGACTTTCCAAAAAGCAGGCAATGCCAGCAATACAGGCGGCTTGATGAAAGGCTCCTTGTTAACCAGCTATAATTTTAATACCAATTGGTATTGAACACCCTCACCTTTTAATCAGCACAACCCCAATACAACACACTAGGTTTATTCGCTGATCCTAATCCTATGATTGGATGGACAACATGTCAGTTCATACTGCAAAAGCGTTGATTGGTTGGAGGTTGTCCTCCAGAAGTGGTCATAATTACCATGTAGGTCTATGGAAGTGGGTGAAGCCTACGAGCCTCCTAGGTTTTGTGTTGAAGTCAATGTACCCAGAGGAGGACAGAAGCTAGCTGTCCTCCAGCTACACCATGGTGCTACCCCAGAGAGTGCTGTTGAAGTTACTATAGACCTTAATTGCAAAACACTGTGTTTTAATCAATAATTTGGTGACATATGAATATATTTAGTATAGTTTTATCTAAAAAGGATAACTTTTTTAGTGTTTCACTATTTTTATTTTTTATGACATTTCACTGAGGAGGATGATCCTCCCCTTCCTTCTCTGAGGAGCCTCCACTGGTGCCAGGTCTTAATGGCTGAATAAATAAAGGCCTGCCCGGGTTTTCTGGCTTTGATTATTGTATTTACTAGAAGTTAGATCTCGCTTATTGTTGAAACTCGGCAAACATACATATCACAAGCATGTTGGGGCTTGTTCATTCCTTACTATGCGAAGTTGCCAAAAATAATTCAAATATCATAAAAAGCACTTGGTTAAACATAGTTAATGTGTACATGGATGTACCGAAGAGCATGTTTGAAATCCTCAAACATTCACATATGAGCTTTTAAATGTGTGTAGGAAAAGTATACTTTTAAGTAACATATCCTGTGTCTTTTACACTGTATGCTTGATCCACCTAGTGTCACGCCCTGGCTCGGGGGACTCTCGTATGTTGAGCCAGGGTGTTAGTTTCTATGTTTTTGTTGTGGGTCTAGGTTACTTATTTCTATGTTGGTCTGAGTGACTCCCAATCAGAGGCAACGAGTGTCTGCTGGTTGTCTCTGATTGGGAGCCATATTTAAACAGTCGGGTTTTCATTCGTGTTGGTGGGTTTTTGTTTCGAGTCTGTTTATGGTAACCGTGAACTGTCACGTATCGTTCATTGTTTTGTTCGTGTTGCCTTCAGTGAGAATAAATATGTTTGCATTCAACGCTGCGCATTGGTCCACTCTGTTAGACGATCTTGACAGAAAAACCCACCTCTACTGGACCAAGCAGCGAGTCGAGGAGCCATCGCCAGGGAAATCGCTGGCAGATCTCCGTGGCAGCTTCGACTGGGTCAAGCCCATTGAGGAGCTGAGTGACGAGGGTTGGAGACAGAGGAGCGAGAGGTGGGCGAGAACGATGAAGGCCTGGCCCACGGGGAGGAGAGACCCCCAGAAAATGTTTAGGGGGGGGCTCACGACGTCGGGGCAGCAGGAGGCCGCTATGGAGCGGTCCAGCGGGGTTGCAGAGGAGGCCGCCAGGTTACGGGGGCCACTGGCCGAAGAGGGGGTGGAAGGTGTAGAGGCACGGCGAGAGGTACTGGGGTGTGTTACCAGTCCGGTCCGGCCCATTCCAGATCCCGGCGTAGGACCAGTGGTGTGTGTCCCCAGTACGGTCCGGCCTGTTCCTGCTCCCCGCACCAAGTCTGTGGTGCGTTTCGTCAGCCCTGTCCGGCCCGTTCCTGCTTCCCGCACCAAGTCTGTGGTGCGTTGCGTCAGCCCTGTCCGGCCCGTTCCTGCTTCCCGCACCAAGTCTGTGGTGCGTTTCGTCAGCCCTGTCCGGCCCGTTCCTGCTCCCCGCACCAAGTCTGTGGTGCGTTTCGTCAGCCCTGTCCGGCCCGTTCCTGCTCCCCGCACCAAGTCTGTGGTGCGCGTCGCCAGCCCAGTCCGGCCCGTTCCTGCTCTCCGCACCAAGTCTGTGGTGCGTTTCGTCAGCCCTGTCCGGCCCGTTCCTGCTCTCCGCACCAAGTCTGTGGTGCGTTTCGTCAGCCCTGTCCGGCCCGTTCCTGCTTCCCGCACCAAGTCTGTGGTGCGCGTCGCCAGCCCAGTCCGGCCCATTCCTGCTCCCCGCACCAAGTCTGTGGTGCGTTTCGTCAGCCCTGTCCGGCCCGCTCCTGCTCCCCACACCAAGCCAGTGGTGTGCGTCGTCAGTTCAGCAAGGCCCGTGCCTGTTCCCCACACCAAGCCAGTGGTGTGCGTCGTCGGTCCGGCACGGCACGTGCCTGTTCCACTGGTGCCTGGTCCGTCGCCGGTCAGATGCGTTACGCCGGAGCTAGAGCAATCCGCTCCACCAGTGTGCAGTCCAGCTCCGGTCAGCAGGGCCAGACCGGACCAGGGGTACTTTGGGGGGTTAGAGAGCGAGTGGGGATCATGCCCGGAGCCGGATCCGCCGCCTAGGCGGAGTGCCCACCCGGTCCCTCCCCTGTTGGGTTTCGTTGGCGCGGTCGGAGTCCGCGCCTTTAGGGGGGGGTACTGTCACGCCCTGGCTCGGGGGACTCTTGTATGTTGAGCCAGGGTGTTAGTTTCTATGTTTTTGTTGTGGGTCTAGGTTACTTATTTCTATGTTGGTCTGAGTGACTCCCAATCAGAGGCAACGAGTGTCTGCTGGTTGTCTCTGATTGGGAGCCATATTTAAACAGTCGGGTTTTCATTCGTGTTGGTGGGTTTTTGTTTCGAGTCTGTTTATGGTAACCGTGAACTGTCACGTATCGTTCATTGTTTTGTTTGTGTTGCCTTCAGTGAGAATAAATATGTTTGCATTCAACGCTGCGCATTGGTCCACTCTGTTAGACGATCTTGACACCTAGTCTGAATGACACAGCTCTTCGCTGTGTAGTCACGTGGGTCGCGTCAACCACGCTATCATGCACCAATCATTTGAATACAAATGTTGATATTTGTTTGGCATTTTGATATTTGATACTAGGTAGCTTAAGACCCCTTGACTTTTTCCACATTTTGTTACGTTACAGCCTTATTCTAAAATGGATTAAATAAAACAATTTCCTCATCAATCTATACGCAATACCCCATAATGACAAAGTGAAAACAGTTTTTTAGAGAAAACAGAAATACCTTATTTACATAAGTATTCAGACCCTTTGCTATGAGACTCGAAATTGAGCTCAGGTGCATCCTGTTTCCATTGATCATCCTTGAGATGTTTCTACAACTTGATTGGAGACCACCTGTGGTAAATTCAATTGATTGGACATGATTTGGAAATGCACACACCTGTCTATATAAGGTCCCACAGTTGACAGTGCATGTCAGAGCAAAAACCAAGCCATGAGGTTGATGGAATTGTCCGTAGAGCTCAGAGACAGGATTGTGCCGAGGCACAGATCTGGGGAAGGGTACCAAAAAATGTCTGCAGCATTGAAGGTCCCCAAGAACACAGTGGCCTCCATCATTCTTAAATGGAATAAGTTTGGAACCACCAAGACTCTTCCTAGAACTGGCCGCCCGGCCAAACTGAGCAATCGGGGAAGAAGGGCCTTGGTCAGGAAGGTGACCAAGAACCCGATGGTCACTCTGACAGACCTCCAGAGTTCCTCTGTGGAGATGGGAGAACCTTCCAGAAAGACAACCATCTCTGCAGCCCTCCACCAATCAGGATTTTATGGTAGACGAACAGAAGCCACTCTTCAGTAAAAGGCACATGACAGCCCGCTTAGAGTTTGCCAAAAGGCACCTAAAGACTCTCAGACCATGAGAAACAATATTCTTTGGTCTGATGAAACCAAGATTGAACTCTTTGGCCTGAATGCCAAGCATCACGTCTAGAGGAAACCTGCCACCATCCCTATGGTGAAGCATGGTAGTGGCAGCATTATGCTGTGGGGATGTTTTTCAGCGGCAGGGACTGGGAGACTAGTCAGGATCGAGGGAAAGATGAACGAAGCAAAGTACAGAGAGATCCTTGATGAAAACCTGCTCCAGAGCACTCAGGACCTCAGACTGGGGCGAAGGTTCACTTTCCATCAGGACAACGACCCTAAGCACAACACAGGAGTGGCTTCGGGACAAGTCTCAATGTCCTTGAGTGTCCCAGCCACAACCTGGACTTGAACCCGATCGAACATCTCTGGAGAGACCTGAAAATAGCTGTGCAGCGACGCTCCCCATCCAACCTGACAGAGCTTGAGAGGATCTGCAGAGAACAATGGGAGAAACTCGCCAAATACAGGTGTGCCAACCTTGTAGCGTCATACCCAAGAAAACTCGAGGCTGTAATCGCTGCCTAAGGTGCTTCAACAATGTACTGAGTAAAAGGTCTGAATACTTATGTAAATGTGATAGTTGAGTTTTTTGCTTTGTCATGGGGAATTTTGTGTAGATTGATGAGGGAAAAACAATTTATTCAATTTTAGAATAAGGCTGTAACGTAACAACATATGGAAAAAGTCAAGGGGTCTGAATACTATCTTTATAACAGCTACATGAATATATAACATCCATCATAGGCAGCCTTAAAGATGATGAACAAAGCATAAATTACCTATATTTCTGTGAAAATTGTTAATAGAAGCATAGTATATGCTCTGTCTACGTATCTATGGTACACTATCAAAATCATGTTAATAAGATAGTTGATCATGTTAATAAGATAGTTAATCATGTCAATAAGATAGTTAATCATGTTGGTAAGATAGTTCATCATGTTGGTAAGATAGTTCATCATGTTGATAAGATAGTTAATCATGTTGATAAGACAGTTAATCATGTTAACAGGATAGTTCATCATGTTAATAAGACAGTTGACCCCGCCAACAGACTATGAAGATGACTTTGAGGTGGATGACGAGGGGCAGGATGACGGAGGAGAAGAGAAGAGAAGTCTGACAGTCTGACAGTTGGACGATGACAAAGATGGTTAGTTAATAACCTTGAATAATCTTTCATCATAATCAAAATGAAATTAATTCAAATACAATAGAAGATTATACCCCAATCCAAATATAGCCCACTTCATCCATTCATCATAGATCTTAGATCTTCAAATGATTCATTCTCTATTCATTTGTCTCTCTTGTAGAAGAGAGAAGGTCAAGGTCAGGCTCCAGCTCCCCAGGCAGTAACAGGGACGAGGCTGAGGCCAAGGAGGACCAAGCAGTCAACCTGGCAGCTGACCAACCCAAAGACCCAGAGGAGGAGGCTCCTCCCCAGGCTGAACAGGAGAAAGACAGCCCTGCCACTACCACCACCGCACCCGATCCAGACCAACCACCCACAGAGGATCCCAACACAGCCACAGAGAGCAGCTCTCCTACCCCTCCCCAGACCACCTCGACTGGGAGTGAGGACACAGGGACCCTGGAGGACAGCCCTGGGGACAGTGCAGGGAGAACCACAGAGCTGGAGGTGTCAGACACCTGAGCCTGAGAGGGGTAAGTACGCACCGCCACACCCAGACTGTGCTGCAGGGGTCGTCACCTGAGAGAGAGCTGCCTGTACCCCTCCCTTTCTGGGGTCTTTTCCACCATCAGAGCTGCCAGTGTTGCAATAAAGTCGTAATTTCAATTTGAACAAATGTTTTCTTATTTGATCTACAGTATATCGTTCCATATGTATGAGATTTCAGCAATTTAACATTGTGAATTATGACAAGAATGGTCCCAGTTCTGATAGTGTAAAAGGTGCTACTGAGTGTTGCTTATGGGCTTGGGGGAAACCATCTCCTGCTGCGTGTTGGACCTGTCTGAGCTTTTCTCATTCTCCTTTATGCTTTGTAATTGTGATGAGAAATGAGATGGCTGTTGGAGTTGAGTGGTAACATGATTTTTTGGTCTCATGTGTGTTTGTATTCTAATGGTTGCCAGTATTTTTGGACTATCATTTTATAAACATAAATTCTCTTTACCGTAGGTAGTTCTTCCTCAAAATTGGTTTAACCTCTCAAGGATCTGACCCTTTTTTTCAATTTTCACCTAAAATGACCTACCCAAATCTAACTGCCTGTAGCTCAGGACCTGAAGCAAGGATATGCATATTCTTGATACCATTTGAAAGGAAACACTTTGAAGTTTGTGGAAATGTTAAATTAATGTAGGAGAATATAACACATTAGATCTGGTAAAAGATAATACAAACAAAAAAACATGCGTTTTTATTTAATTTAATTTTTTATCATCTTTGGAATGCAAGAGAAAGGCCACAATATAATATTGCAGTTTAGGCGCAATTTAGATTTTGACCACTAGATGGCAGCAGTGTGTGTGCAACATTTCAGATTGATCCAGTTAAGCATTGCAATACTGGACTATTTTCTATCAAGTCTGCCCAAATCTGCCGAATTGGTCAATTGATTCATTTTCGAGTACATAACTATAGAGAACATACTCAAATGATATGGTAATACAAAATGTACGTTTATACACTCCCAGGAATGTCATACATGATGGATCATTAGCTTATACACTAACTTTCACACATCTAGATGGCCGGGCGGGGTGGGTTTGGAGCCAGAGACAGCATGGGTTCAAACTGTAGAACCCAGTTCCTACATTTGAATATAAAAATGGATTTTATCAAACAAAACTATGCTACATTTTATCCCTTAGGATAACAAATCAGAGCAAGATTACTGAATGTAACCACATTATTTACCTTCAGAGGTGAATGTATCAAACCAGTTGCCGTGATACGTTTTTTGTTGTTGTGCACTCTCCTCAAACAATAGCATCGTATTTTTTCACTGTAATAGCTACTGTAAATTGGACAGTGCAGTTAGATTAACAATAATTTAAGCTTTCTGCCCATATAAGACATGTCTATGTCCTGGAAAGTTTGCTGTTACTTACAACAGTCATGCTAATCACATTAGCGTACGTTAGCTCAATCGTCCCGTATACGGGACACCGATCCCGTAGTGTGATGAGGTGTGAATGACAGAGTCAGGCGCAGGAGGTAAAACACCGAAATCAAGAGTTTATTCAGTGTACAATAATGTAGCGTATATAGCGACAGAACGAAACTAGCACAAAGGGAAAATCAACCTTGGCTGCATACAAGTAAAGAGTAGCTCAACCGAGCTACTCACTCCCACAACGAACAATCACTCACAAAGGACAAGGGGGCAGAGGGAACACTTATACACAGACTAATGACGGAATGAGTACCAGGTGTGTGTGATTGACAAAACAAGACAAGACAAGACAAATGGAGTGATGATAAATGGAGCGGTAGTGGCTAGTAAGCCGGTGACGACGAACGCCGAAACCTGCCCGAGCAAGGAGGAGGGGCAGCCTCGGCTGAATTCGTGACACGTAGAGGTTAACAAATAGTTCATTAACATTCTACATGAACAATTTTGTACTGAATACTTAACATATTACGTTGTTTTGCTCTCCTGTGTTCCTTGTTAAGTTTATGTTATTTTGTACAACCCAATCACAAAATCACTCAACAATTATTTAACTATACTTTCTCGTTGGTTTATCTGTATTGCTTTTTGTTTGTTTATTTCATGCATGTTGAACATCTGAATGTGATATACATTATACCATTCGCCTTCAATTGGCACGTACAGAATATTAAAATGAGTCTCTCTCTGAAATGAAGTTTATTGTCCAATCATTGGGTTTATTTTATTTTGTTGTATGGTTCCTCGTGACGTTCTATTTGGATATGATGATACTATTAGTGTCGGTTGACATGTAAAGTGTATTCATTGCAAGCTTCACATCTCTGTCTCCTTCCCACGCCTAACCCAAGCCAAGTCTGTGCAGGAGAAACTAGCGGAGGCCATTTTGAAGGAGGCCCAGAGTCACTCAGAACCAGAGCTGAGTGACACAAGCACTGAGACAGAGGAAGACCCCACTGAGAAAACCCAACAACAGGACACCACTGGTGCAAGTTTCAGTCATTTGTCCTTAACACCTATGCATTATGTTTAGTGTGTAACAACATTTCATCGGTCACTCACCTCCTCACCCATTTTTTTCTCTAGGTGCGGATCCGGAGAGAATTATGGCTTTTACTCTGCAGCGTCAGATCAGTACAGAGGAGGTGAAGTGTGACTCACAGAGTGCTTCCGAGGAACAAGGAGAAGTCAGCACTGAGCTGAAGAAAGAGGAGGAAGATGATGCACCAGAGTCTGAACAGAAAACTGAAGAGGCCAGTGAGGTGACAGACAGAAGAGACAGACAGCAAAATAGAAACAGAGGCTGAAAAAACTGAGGACAGAAGGGCAGAAGATGAGACTGTGGAGCTTCAGGCAGACGAGCCAGCAAAAGCGAGTGATCCTGTAACTAGTGTAGAAGAGCAGCAGGAGGAGAAAACCACCATGGAGCCTGACAAACCACCATGGAGCCTGACAAACCACCATGGAGCCTGACAAACCACCATGGAGCCTGACAAACCACCATGGAGCCTGACATACCACCATGGAGCCTGACAAACCACCATGGAGCCTAACAAACCACCATGGAGCCTGACAAACCACCATGGAGCCTGACATACCACCATGGAGCCTGACATACCACCATGGAGCCTGACATACCACCATGGAGCCTGACAAACCACCATAGAGCCTGACATACCACCATGGAGCCTGACATACCACCATGGAGCCTGACATACCACCATGGAGCCAGAAAAGGAGGCAGAGGAGACAAAAAGCACCAAGGACGATGAGTCGTCTGCACCAGAAGAACCAGAGAGCAAGACCGAGATAGAAACAGCTGTGATGAATGGGGCAGGGGCTGAGGTGGTTGAGAGTGAATCAGTAGAGATGAAGGCAGAGCCCACAGCAGAGTCGGAATCCCTCAGCCATAAAGATACGTCTATAACTAACAAAGACAGGCAGGGAGATGAGGAGGAGGACATGGTTGGAGGCACAGAGACAGAAGTCAAAGGAGAGAATTCAAACAGCACGTCAGAGAAAAGTGGAGATACCACTGTCTGTGCTGGGAGATGAGAAGAGTGAGGATGAGCCCGGAAGACAAACCTGAGAGTGACACAGGACAGGCTACGACGGAAGACAGATCAGAAAAATAATCTGGTAAGGATGAAGTTGGAGTAGCGACTACTACAGAGGATAAGGGAAGTGATAAGGTAGAAGATGAGATTGGCCAAACTGAAGTAGAGGAAGTAAAAGATGGAGAAAAGACTGGAGATGATAAGGAGGAGAAAAAGGAGGAGACTGAGGAAGCAAAGACTGGAGAAAATGAAGAGAAAGTCAGTGAGGGTAAGGTAGACGAAAGTGTGAACGATGGGGAGGATAACGCAGAAGAGGGTACAGAGGGTGGAGAAAATGCTGAAGGGAACAAGGCAGAGGAGGGAGAAACAGATGAAGGAAATCAGGCAGAGTGAGAAACAGATGAAGGAAATAAGGCAGCAGAAGTAGAAGATATGGTGGAGAGTGAAGAGAAGGTTGGGCAGGCAGAAAAGGAAGAAAATGTTGGAGAAGAAATTGTGAACGAGGGCAAGCTAGAAAGTGGGGAAATGGTTGAAGAAGATAAAGCAGATGAAGGAGAAGAAGGCAGAGAAGATAAGGCAGAGAAAGTATCAGAGGATGAAATAGGAGAGAAAGAGGGAGAGGAAGTAGTTGAGGAAAGGGTTGTGGATGCAGAGGAAGCTAGTGAACTTAAAGCAGAGGAAGGAGAAGACAAGGCAACAACTGATGTCAAAGATAATGCGGATGAGAAAGATGAATCTGACAAAGAGAGTGACTCAGCTCCAATTGCTGGAGACAGCACTGAGGCCAGAGAGACCCTAGTCAACAGGGAAGAAACAGAGAGAAAATACTGTGAGGTAGATGCTTAGAATGGAGAGACAGCTGCAGCCTCTACGGCTCAGAGTGAAACCTCAAGAGAGGAGACAGAGTCCACAAGCCAAGACACCAAAGGTAAGAACGATACAGAAGTAGAGGACAGGGCTGATGAAAAGGACATGGAGGCAGAAACAAAGACGGATGAACTAGACAAGGTGGAGACAGAGGAAAATGCTGAAGACCAGGAGGAGGCAAGTGACAAGTGAAAACAGCAAAGTAGATCAGGATGCAGACACCGAGGACAAATAATCTAAGGCAGAGGAAGTGTCTCCCGAGTGGCGCAGTGGTCTAAGGCACTGCATCGCAGTGCTAGCTGTGCCACTAGAGATCCTGGTTCGAATCCAGGCTCTGTCGTAGCCGGCCGCGACCGGGAGACCCATGGGGCAGCGCGCAATTGGTCCAGGGTAGGGGAGGGAATGGCCAGCAGGGATGTAGCTCAGTTGATAGAGCATGGCGTTTGCAACGCCAGGGTTGTGGGTTCGATTCCCACAGGGGGTATGAAAAAAAAATAATGTATGCACTAACTAACTGTAAGTCGCTCTGGAAAGGAAGCTAACAGAGATAGCCCTGCTGGTTCACATGTAGGAGACCCAGAGCCAGTAAACACTGGGGTTAAATCCAAAGAGAAGGCTACGTTAGAGAATGCTGAGAAGGAGACTGAGAATCTCAAGGAATCTGAGGAGTCTCAAGTGCAATCTGAACAAAAAACTCAGTCAAAGGACAGAATTGACGATGATATACTTGAGAGTGAAGATAAAGACCCAGGTACAAACACAGAGAACTTGGATGAAGGCAAAGAGAAAGTAGACAATGAAAAGACAGAGGTGACTGTTGTTTCTGCAGAGTCACAAGCTCAAGCTTCAGAACCCAGAGCTATGGATTTAGAAGATACTACAGAGACTGAATTAGATCTGAAGGAAAAAATAACCTAAAAGGGACGACGACTCCACAGAAAGGGCAAGCAAGCCATCTGAAGAAGGAGCCAGCATTGTGCTCAAACCTCAGTCAGAAACACCACAAAAAGAAAGCATTGCATCTGGTAAAGAAGCTAATGTACTTGAGGAAAGAAGTGTTACTGATGAGGAACATGCTGTAACTCTAGATACCTTGGAGAAAGAAAATAGGGTTCTTGTAACTAACTGGGTGAACGTACATCAATCCTCAAAGTTCTTCGAGACATTCATAGACCCCCTAGATTACCTTACTTCTGATAATACAATCAGTGAGTCTAATTCGAATGTCAGGTCTATAGAGTCAGCACACGTGACCGAGCTTTCTATACCAGAGAGTCCTACCAAAACGATAAAGACACCGGACCCGAAACCGGACGATCACTATACCAACGCTTCGGAGAGGAGCGCAGCCGTTGAAGGCAGAGGTGACACCATTGTTGAGAGTGCAGTTAATGAACTTAAAGAGGCAGGCTCAACAACAAAAGATGAAAATAAGTCAAACGGTAATAACAAGGTGGAAGTGATCCAATCAGATCTCAGGAGTACTCACTCAAGAGAAGATGAACCCAGTGAAACAGGGCCAACCAAAGACTTTCTGGAGCCGAAAAAAGAAACAGAAGTCACTGTCTTTACACTGTCTATTGAACCTGAACACAGCAGCGGAGAAGCCACAGCCGGGCCAGAGGAGAAGGGTCAACGTTCTTCAGAGGAGCTTAAAGAAACGACAGGGATGTCTGAGGCTAACAAGGATATGAAAGACATTTCCAAAACTGACGTTGAAAGCATTCGGTGCTCTAACCATTTAGCTTCCAGTGGCAGGCCTGAAAATATCAGTGAGAATTCAGCAGAGACTGAAGAAACCAAAGACAAGTCAGGGTTGGATGAGCAACAAACAACAGTGGAAGAGATAACAGACAACTTTCCAAAAATGGAGATGAAACACAGGAGCAGTCTGAGAGTTCAGAGATTCACTCTGAATCTGAGCCTACTGTCACAACATCAAGAGAACCAGAAGACATTAAAGATACGAAGGAACCGAGTGAGGAAGAGGCTGCAGAGGTTACAGAAAGCAGGAGTGGAGACAACAAAGATCTACAGCTGATTGACCAGCTGAGCACCTTCTCAGTGGAAGACTCTTCACTGTTTGTCCACACCTCGTACCCTCTGTTGACAACTGCACCGACTGACAGTAACTATTAGAAAGCAACAGCTTGGCACAAGGGTAAGTTGCACAGTTGTTCCATTTCTAAATATCTGAGATTTGTTGATATCTGAAAAAGAAAGTAAGATAACACATACAGTGCCTTCAGAAAGTATTCACACCCCTTGACTTATTCCACATACGTGTTAGAATCAGTTTTGGCAACGGTTTTGGATAAGTCTCTAAGAGCTTTGCACGCCTGGATTGTACAATATTTGTACATTATTCTTTTTGAAATTCTTCAAGATCTGTCAAGTTGGTTGTTCATCATTGCTAGACAGCCATTTTCAAGTCTTGACATAGATTTTCAAAAAGATTTACGTCAAAGCTAACTCGACCATTCAGGAACATTCAATGTCGTCTTGGTAAGCAACTCCAGTGTGTATATGGCCTTGTGTTTTAGGTGAATTTGTCTCTCAGTGTCTGTTGGAAAGCAGACTGGACCAGGTTTTCCTCCAGGATTTTTCCTGTGCTTAGCTTAATTCTGTTTCTTTTTATCCTAAAAAACTCCATAGTCCTTGCCAATGACAGGTATACCCATAACATGATGCAGCCACCACCATGCTTGAAAATACAGTATGAAGGGTGGTACTTAGTGATGTGTTGAGTTGGATTTGCCCCAAACATAACGCTTTGTTTTTCAGGAGTACATTTCTTTGCCACATTTTTTGCAGTTTTACTTTAGTGCCTTATTGCAAACAGGATGCATGTTTTGGAATATTTGTATTCTGTACAGGCTTCCTTCTTTTCACTCTGTTATTTAGGTTAGTATTGTGGAGTAACTACAATGTTGTTGATCCATCCTCAGTTTTCTCCTATCACAGCCATTAAACTCTGTAACTGTTTTAAAGTCACCATTGGCCTCATGGTGAAATCCCTGAATGGTTTCCTTCTCCTCCGGCAACTGAGTTAGGAAGGACGCCTGTATCTTTGTAGTGACTGGGTGTATTGATACACCATCCAATGTGTAATTAATAAATTCACCATGCTCAAAGTGATATTATATGTCTACTTTTTTATTTTTACCTATCTACCAATAGGTGTACTTCTTTGTGAGGCATTTGAAAACCTCCCTGGTCTTTGTGGTTGAATTTGTGTTTGAAATTCACTGCTCGACTGAGGGACGTTACAGATAATGGTATGTGTGGGTACAGAGATGAGGTAGTCATTCAAAAATTATGTTAAACACTATTATTGCACACAGAGTGAGTCCATGCAACTTATGTGATTTGTTAAGCAAATATTTACTCCTGAACTTATTTAAGCTTGCCATAACAAAGGGGTTGAATACTTATTGACTCAAGACATTTCAACTTTTCATTTTTATTTAATTTGTTTAAAAAAATTGACATTATGGGGTATTGTGTGTGTAGGCCACTGGCACACAATCTCAATTTAATCCATTTTAAATTCATACTGTAACACAACAAATTGTGTGAAAAGTCAAGGGGTGGGAATACTTTCTGAAGGCACTGTAAGCCTATTATTTTGAATGAAGTTTGCTCTATCTATTTTACAGCACTTGAGATAATCAGATGACTGCAGGATGACCTGGAAGGACATTCTTTGCGATCACATTCTTTCCAGAGTCACATTCTCATTGGATGATATTGCTGTAACGGTTCTCATGAGATTATACTGCTGTAACAGTTTCTCCACAATTGTGAATACATTTTTATGTTTACTAAGATATTTAATGGTTGACCCTTTTTACCAACAAAGGCTAGGTCATGAAAATGAATGTTTTCATAAAGGTTTTGATAGTAGCATCTATGTTTGCAGCCTTCCGTTTTACAGGGGACCTCTATGCGGACAACACCATTTTGTATACATCTGGCCTTGTGTTAACAAACCTCCAAACGAGCTTCAACGCCATACAACACTCCTCCCGTAGCCTCCAACTGCTCTTAAATACTAGTAAAACTAAATGAATGCTCTTCAACCTAACGCTGCTTGCATCCGCCACCCGACTAGAATCACTACTCTCGGCAGGTCTGACCTAGAGTATGTGGACAACTACAAATACCTAGGTGTCTGGTTAGACTGTCAACTCTCCTTCCAGACTCACATTAAGCATCTCCAATCAAAAGTTAGATGTAGAATCGCCTTCCTATTTCGCAACAAAGCCTCCTTCACTCATGCTGCCAAACATGCCCTCGTAAAACTGACTATCCTACCGATCCTTGACTTTGGCGATGTCATTTACAAAATAGCCTCCAACACTCTACTCAGCAAATTGGATGTAGTCTATCATAGTGCCATCCGTTTTGTCACCAAAGCCCCCTATACTACCCACCATTGTGACCTGTACGCTCTTGTTGGCTGGCCCTCACTACATATTCGTCGCCAAACCCACTGGCTCCAGGTCATCTATAAATCACTGCTAGGCAAATCCCTGTCTTAACTTAGCTCACTGGTCACCATAGCAACACCCACCCGTAGTCTGCGCTCCAGCAGGTATATCTCACTGGTCATCCCCAAAGCCAAAACCTCCTTAGGCCGCCATTCCTTCCAGTTCTCTGCTGCCAATGACTGGAACGAACTGCAAAAATCTCTGAAGCTGGAGACTCTTATCTCCCTCACTAACTTTAAGCGTCAGTTGTCAGAGCAGTTTACCGATCAATGCACCTGCACACAGCCATTCTGAAATTAGCCCATCCAACTACCTCATCCCCATATTGTTATTTATTTTGCTAATTTGCACCCCAGTATCTCTATTTGCACATCATCTTTTGCACATCTATCATTCCAGTGTTAATACGAAATAGTAACTATTTTGCACTATGGCCTATTTATTGCCTTACCTCCATAATTTACTACATTCGCACACACTGTATATATATATATTTTGTTGTATTTTTGACTTTATGTTTTGTTTACTCCATATGTAACTCTGTGTTGTTTTTTATCGCACTGCTTTGCTTCATCTTGGCCAGGTCGCAGTTGTAAATGAGAACTTGTTCTCAACTGGCTTACCTGGTTAAATAAAGGTGAAAAAAATTAATAAATAAAGGGGACAAACAGTGATGCCTTGTCTGCTGGAGGTATCAAGATTGGTTTGGAAAAAAATAAAAAATAAACACTTCAAGCCACCCCTGACTTAAGAGCCAATTTATTCTTGATCCGAAAATGTGGTCGGAGGCCCCGTATGGATGGTGTGATGAAATCGCGTAGCCTCTGGAGGCACACAGAGGCCAAATTGAGCTCCGTACCGCATCGCGGTGTGCCTCTCAGATTTTGTAACAATGCGGAGAGCTCCGTATAGTTCCGAATTGACATGATTGGCTGATGGTGGGTGAGGGCGGGAGGTCCTGTATAAACACAAACTCACTTCCTTGACAACTTCCTTCACAACAGCGCTGTGCTGCTCGGCGAAGCGCAAGAAGTATGAATACCCTGACTTCTGCAGAGGCCGTATCACCTTAAATGCTGCATGGCCAATGTGGACGTCGGATTGACCATGCAGCGCCTTTAAAGCACAACATTTTTGTGTTGATCACAGAGACCTTATTGGATGATAGTTTTGCACAGGAGAGAAAATACATTGGTTTACACAAGCTAGGTTTCCATCCAATTGGCGACAGATTTTCCTGCGAATATTCAATATGCAGATTTTCCCACCAGAGATGTTTCCATCAAATTGACTTGTTGCGGATAAAAGGCTGTGCGTGATGACGTAGTGCACATGAAAATATATTTTGCAGTTAAATTCCCATGTACCTAATAAAAAATAGAAGTTAAATGGGTTTCCATCACAATTTCAACTATTCTGATGGTTTTGCCACAACAATATTTGCATCATATAGCGAATGTGCCCACTCTGGCCTTGGCACATGCGCCAACAGCTCGCAGATACCTTGTAGGTAGGCTACCTACATGATTATTATGGATGAGTGCAAGATTATTTTTATTTGTCAAACGGCAGCCAAGCATTGATCATCATGTCACCAGAATAAGACCCTCGATATTTATTGGAAAGGAACATCAAGCTCACGACCGTGCACATTCACCAACCTGAGATGTTCATCATAACTTATTTAATCTGTAGCTTAATAAACTCCATGCTTTCCCGAGTTGTAGTGGGAGGACCACGCAACATGTGACATCATCGCGTGACTCCAAGCGTACTTTGATACAATGGTTATTATGTCATAAAGATGTTTCCACTGCCATTTCTCGCATAATACATTTTATCAACACAAAAAGATCCCACCTTGTCTAGCGTATTTTGTTTTGTCAACGTTTGGAAAGTTTACCGACAAATTAGTTGTTTCCATCAGGCCTGTTGTGACATTTTTTTATACTCGCATAAAAAGGTTGCGAAGGAAACCTGGTTACAGACGTAATTACACAGACAATGTTCTTTATTTATACTGAACAAAAATATTAAAGCAACATGCAACAATTTCAAAGATTCTACTGAGTTACAGTTCATATAAGGAAATCAGTCAATTGAAATAAATTCATTAGGCCCTAATCTATGGATTTCACATGATGGGGAATACAGATATGCATCTGTTGGTCACAGATACCTTTAAAAAAAAAGTAGGGGCGTGGATCAGAAAACCAGTCAGTATATGGTGTGACCACCATTTGCCTCATGCAGCGCAATACATCTCCTTCGCATAGAGTTGATCAGGTTGTTGATTGTGGCCTGTGGAATGTTGTCCCACACCACTTCAATGGCTGTGTGAAGTCGCTGGATATTGGCGGGAACTGGAACACGCTGTCGTACACATCGATCCAGAGCATCCCAAACATGCTCAATGGGTGACATGTCTGGTGAGTATGCAGGGCATGGAAGAACTGGGACATTTTCAACTTCCAGGAATTGTGTACAGATCCTTGCAACATGGGGCCATGCATTATCATGCTGAAACGTGGTGATGGCGGCAGATGAATGGCACGACAATGGGCCTCAGGATCTCGTCACGGTATCTCTGTGCATTCAAATTGCCATCGATAAAATGCAATTGTGTTCGTTGTCCGTAGCTTATGCCTGCCCATACCATAACCCCACCGTCACCATGGGGCACTCCGTTAACAACGTTGACATCAGCAAACTGCTCGCCCACACAACGCCATACACGTGGTCTGCAATTTTGAGGCCTTTTGGACGTACTGACAAATTCTCTAAAAACGACATTGGAGGTGGCTTATGGTACAGAAATTAACAATCAATTCTCTGGCAACTGCTCTGGTGTACATACCTGCAGTCAGCATGCCAATTGCACGCTCCCTCAAAACTTGAGACATCTGTGGCATTGTGTGGTGTGACAAAACTGCACATTTTAGCATGGCCTTTTATTGTCCCCAGCACAAGGTGCACCTGTGTACTGATCATGCTGTTTAATCAGCTTCTTGATATGTCACACCTGTCAGGTGGATGGATTATTTTAGCAAAGGAGAAATGCTCACTAACAGAGATGTAAACAAATTTGTGCACAAACATTTTGGAGAAATAAGCGTTTTGTGTGTATAGAACATTTTTGGGATCTTTTATTCAGCTCATGAAACTTGGAACCAACACTTTACATGTTGCGTTTATAGTTTTGCTCAACGTATATTCAGAAAGAAGATTTGAGATAGATTTCCGTATTTTACATTGTGATAACTTTTGTGATAAAGTTCTACAACTTTATCTGTACTGTATATGACTATCTAATGTCAGAAATTGTATCTCTGCAATTGTGACGAGGTGTGAATGAAGGAGTCAGCCGCAGGAGGTAAAATACCGAAGTCCAGAGTTTAATCCGTTTACATAAATCAAACGCCCAAAGCGTCAAACTAAACTATACAAGGGAAAAATCCACCTTGGCAATAACACAGTGAAATGTAGCTCAACCGAGCTACACGCTCTCACAACAAAACAATCACTCACAAAGACAAGGGGAACAGAGGGAACACTTATACACATACTAATTAGGGGAATGAGCACCAGGTGTGTGAGATTGACAAGACATGACAAGTGGAGTGATGAGAATGGGATCGGCAGTAGCTAGTACTCCGGTGACGACGAACGCCGAAGCTTGCCCGAACCAGGAGGGGGGGCAGCGTCGGCGGAAGTCGTGACAGCAATTCCATGCAATTTCAACCATCTCAGTTCCAGTCAGTTAAGGAATCACATTTTATTCCTTTGGAGGATTTTTAAATCCAATTGAAATGGACATGCATTGAAATATAATTCACCCAATGCATTTGAAAACATTGTATGTCATACATAGAACATACAACAAATAGCTACATAACTACACATACAGTAATAACAGTTGGTGAAATTATGAAATGTCCTAGGTAGGAAACAGTTTGTGTCAAAAAATATGTTGCTGCACACACTTTTAAGGCTGTGTTTACACAGATATCCCAATTCTGATATTTTATCCACCAATTGGTCTTTTGACCAATCATATCAGATATTTTGCCAATGATTGGACAAAAAAATCTGAATTTGCCTGCCTGTGTAAACGCAGCCTAATACCTCTACTTCTAAATATTCTTGGATAATTGATTTCTTCATATGCCATTCATTATGAATCATGTATTTTGTTTTGTTTGGTTAGGATGCATCTTGTTTATCACTGTCAAATCCAATAGAATGAAACTCAATGATTTCTCTTATTTTATTGAAAATAAAAAGCACAAATTGCCTAAGCATTCTGACGCTTAAATATGTTTTTACTGAATAGACTATACAGGTGGTATACTATGAAACATTCTCAAAAATGCCTCTTATCTGAAGAATATTTACAAGATATAAAAACCACAAAAATCTACTAAAACAGTTCAACACCATAAACACAGAACATGGTAAATAGCTTTAGGAAATACACATAACGATATAGCTTATACTTTTTTTTTTTACCCAAAGTGAACACTCAAGACTAGATCAACCAATATGTCTATGTGATAAACTTAGAAATAAGGATATGGCTTTATGACCTACAGTAATAGTGCATAGTGGAGCTGGAAGACTTCCCATGTGCGTTAGTTGCTGTCCTCGAAGCTGCCGTTGCTGCAGCAGTTGGAGTGGAAGCGCATGGTGCTCATAGGGTCTGACACGTACCCTGAAGGAGATAGGACACAGAGGTCAGGGGTTAGGGGTTAGGGGTGATCCACAGCCTGTTCCTTTCCCAACACACACCAACACCAGCTTTGATGTGCATTCTACCCAACTGGCTGTAATCCATTTCAAATGATGAAGTTCTATAATACCGATAAAGGCTTGATGAGTATCTTCATTAATATGCTTTTTACCATTTCGGTCAATAGGTGGAAACTGCATATTCCTCCTCAGTTCGTCCAGAGACGGACCTTGGGAACCACGTCGTCCCTCGCTGAAAATAAAACATACATGAGCTGTTATAAGGTTGAATATAGTGATTCTGTTTACATAAACAACTACTACATAATACGACAATCTGCATCAAATAGTACAGACACATTTTGTATAATGATCTCATTAAATAATTAAAAATTGAAGAGGCGGAGTTAGATGAGGCAGGTGTAAACACATCTCTGATGTCCTCTGATGAATCTAGCATGACCCTCTGTGTAACAGCCCAGGACCTAATAACCACACTCTCTCACTTTTACATCTAGTATAAACAAAATGGATGAAACATTCGATTAACTGCCAGTCTGCCAGGACATTTCTAACCGACAGACACTTCAGCAGTAGAGAACACACACACACAGATCTAACTCCAGTTACTGTGTCCCTGGAGACCGTTGCCAGGCTCACTCTCTACTCCCTTTTCTCTCCAACCACATACACACACTCACACATACTCACACATACACACACACAGATACTCACACATACACACTCACACATACACACTCACACACAGGCTTACAGGGCTGGTCACCAGTGGAGTCTTTAGTCCTTAGTCAGAATGCCATGTATGTTTTATTGCATTTGCTTGCCTTTGTTTTCCCTGACTCGTATCCGGGCAACTACACCTCTAACTGTTGCAGTAAAGCGTCTCTAGTGTTGTACACGTTATTGCTCAAACAGTGGGTCAAGGCGGGTGCTATCGCTGCAACAAAGCACAAATTTACAGGCCCAGACATGATGTCCATGGAATTCCTACTAGTACTGGCCTTCACACTCAACTTGGTTATGCTTAGCAATCCAGTTTATAGGGCACAGAGCACAGAAACAGAGGTCAACGTGCCCTAATAGAAAATATAAACTTTTCAAACAGTGAAACTCTCTAATCCACTCTCTCGGTATTGTGGTCATCTGTGTGTGGAGAAGACTATATGATACACTAGCCTGGTCCCAGATCAGTTTGTGCTGTGTAGACAACTCCTATGGTCATTATCAACGCCAGGCAACGCCAGATGTGGGACCAGGCTAGTGATGCCCTACCTCTGAGTCCAGACTGCGTAGGCACGGGCGTTGAGGGCGTACTCCAGTTCAAAGCGGGAGCGGAGGGCGGCCACGTGACTCCGACCAGGACTGCCCCTCGCCAGGCAGTCAGAGGAGCCAGCGGGGGACAGGGACCCGCTGCTGTTACTGGAAGCCGGGGACATCAACTGTGGATCACACACATACACACACACACACACGTATGACATTATCATCAACAAGTATCACATGGACAGACAGGAAAGCCATAAGCTAGGAATCTGTGAACTTCTGAAAATGTAAGCAGCATTTTATATTTATATGTTTATTCCCACCATTGTGTAGATTCACATGCTATAGAAAAACACCATACCTCCACATTGCATAGGCATTCCTCTAGTGTGGCCAGCACCTCAGAGAACTCAGGTCTATCCTGATTCAGAGGAGATAAAATAGCATTATTTTACCTCTAAACACTAAACATAAAAAAGACACACACACACAGCTGTGCTTTCTCGGTCTGTCTGGCTGTCTGGTCATGTGGATCTACCCACGCATGAATCAAAGGTGAACTCTGCTTCAAAAGCAGCCTTTCCATTCTACTTCACTGTAAGAAGACAAACACAGAGGCAGATCCTACTTCACTGTAAGAGGACAACCACAGAGCCAATCCTACTTCACTGTAAGAGAACAAACAGGCAGATCTACTTCACTGTAAGAGAACAAAAGAGCCTGTAACAAAAACACAGAGCCTATCCTACTTCACTGTAAGAGACAAACACAGAGCCATATCCTACTTCACGTAAGAGCAAACACAGAGCCATATCCTACTTCACTGTAAGAGAACAAACACAGAGCCAGATCCTACTTCACTGTAAGAGAACAAACACAGAGCCATATCCTACTTCACTGTAAGAGAACAAACACAGAGCCATATCCTACTTCACTGTAAGAGAACAAACACAGAGCCAGATCCTACTTCACTGTAAGAGAACAAACACAGAGCCATCCTACTTCACTGTACAGAAAAACACAGAGCCATATCCTACTTCACTGTAAGAGAACAAACAGAGCCATATCTACTCACTGTAATGACAACACAGAGTCTATCCTCTTCATGTAAGAGAACAACACAGAGCCATTCCTACTTCACTGTAGAGAACAAACACAGAGCCATATCTACTTCACTGTAAGACACAAACCAAGCCATATCTACTTCATGTAAAGAACAAACACAGAGCCATATCCTACTTCACTGTAGAGAAACAACAGAGCCATATCCTACTTCACTGTAAGAGAACAACACAGAGACAGATCTACTTCACTGTAGAGAACAACACAGAGCCAATCCACTTCACTGTAAGAGAACAACACAGAGCATATCCTACTTCACTGTAAGGAACAAACACAGAGCCATATCCTACTTCACTGTAGAGAACAACACAGAGCCAATCCTACTTCACTGTAGAGAACAAACACAGAGCCAGATCCTACTTCACTGTAAGAGACAAACACAAGCCAATCTAAATTCACTGTAGAGACAACCAGAGCCATATCCTACTCACTGTAAGGGACAACACAGTCATATCCTACTTCACTGTAAGAGGACAAACCAGAGCCATCCTACTTCACTGTTAGAGGGACAACACGAACAGATCCTACTTCACTGTAAGAGAACAAACACGAGCGCATTCCTACTTCACTTAAGAAGACAAACACAGAGCCAGTATCCTACTTCACTGTAAGAGGACACCCGAGCCAGATCCTACGTCACTGTAAGAGGACAACACAGAGCCATATCCTACTACTGTAAAGAAACGGGATCCTACTTCACTGTAAGAGGACAAACACAGAGCCAGAGTAGACCTACTCACTAATACATTGGTCATGGTCTGTGTGCTGTTTTCATTTAACATTCCCAGGAAGTATCTGAATTGTGCTTCTTGGGAGCGTCTATTATTAAAATGTACAAAATTCTACAACCTTATCAACAGCTAAGAGGTTTCAAATCTATATTGATAATAATCATCTTAGATTGCAACATTCATTCACATCTTTCTAGATTTTAAACATGAAAGTCAGATAGTCTGTGGAAACCTATAACTGTTGGGACCATGTGTACATGGTAACCTATAGGTGCATGTGGATTCTGACCCCAGCGGGAACTTAAATGAAAACACTCAGACTTGACACGGTTTCAGATTGGGTAGACTGTGGCTGTGTGGAGTCATGCAACAACCCAGCACCTTGGGAATACGGTTCCATTCATTATAGGTTTAATTATACGCTCCAAGACCCCAGTGCTAGCATCTGACCTCAGCGTTGACTCTGGTGTAAACACCTCTACAGGTCTACACAAGTACAGTGAACTTAGCTCACATGAACTTAGCATAGTTAGCACATGGACATAGCTCACATGGACATGAACTAGCAACGCGCATGCCCTGCCCACCTGAGGATCTGTCTTTTTCAGCCATCTATTTCCTGTGTTTGAGGGGTGCAAAATCCACTTGTGACTTAAATCTATCTGAATTGATTGCTTTCATTTTACTCCTTCGACTCTTTCGTACTATTGCTCGTTTTTCCCCGTTAACGTTATGACCTCCGGAATGTTTGTAATCACCTGTCAAACACACCACGGTAATGGCTGAAATGGGCTCAATGAAATACAGTACATTGTCTTTCCATTAAGTCTATAAGAACGATAGAGCTTTGTCTGGGATTTAATGCATCGTCTCGACACTAACGTCACAAGAAAAAGAGATCACTTTATTTTCATGTGTGTTCATGTTTTGGGAATTTTAAAAAGTAATAATTTAATACAGTTGAAATGTATACAAATAAGTTGCGCTGAAATAAAAGCAACTTCTGAAAATGAACATTCGGATTATAGTGATATGTCTGATCTCGCAAACAATGTAAAGTATGTTTAGATGGGTGTAATCTAGAGCCAAGCTTGTTGATTTAGAATCCGAGGGTCTTTTATTGACACACTTGATGAATTATGAAAGAGAACGTGACAACAACAATAATTAATGTGGCAGTCTAGACAGCACAGGTGAGCGCAGGTAGGGTAGACAGAGAAAGTGTTTGGCGGTTGCAGCCCTGTTCCACCCCTTTATGTTAATTTATTCATACGTAGCACTTAGCTCACATCAGCCGTATCATACTTACTTAGCACATGAACTTAGCTCACATGAATTTAGCTCATATGAACTTAGCATATGTAGCACTTAGCTCACATGAACGTAGCATCCTTAGCACATTAACTTAGCACATGAACTTAGCTCATATGAACTTAGCATACGTAGCACTTAGCATACTTAGCACATGAACTTAGCTCATATGAACTTAGCTCATATGTTTAGGGGTCTTTTACGCTCTAAGGAATCAAGGGGCTATCTATTGTAGGAGGACACTGACCTCTGGACAGACATTCCAGCCCCTCATTAGCATGGCAGAGATGGGTTTGGGTATGGAGTAGCCAATAGGAGGCCGGATGTGGTGGTAGGCCATGTCTGCAGCTGCTGCAGCTTTGATGAGGAGAGGGAGAATCCAACATATGTAACATGCTTGAAACAATTCAATACTCACTCATTGATTCACATTCTCCCAAAACAGTATCAGATTGGTGTGTTTGTATTCATGCAGGGATTACCAGGTTTCAGGTGGGCAAAGGGGATCTCTCCAGTGAGCAGCTCCCACAGACACAGGGCATAGCTGAACATGTCTGCCTTGACAGTATAGCGGGTACACTGGGTGAATATCTCTGGGGCCATCCAGCGCAGGTTCTGTACACCAACACAAAAGTCCAATTAGCAACGCAAAACACTCTGGCTACCATGGACAAATGGTTCCTCAGCGAAGGCTTCACCCCAGGGAGCATAATGCACACACACACGCACACGTGTTTAATTAACCTTGTGGGGACACACAATTTATAACCATTCAAAATACTATTTTCCCTAACCCTAATCCCAAAACCTAACCTTAACCCTAAACCTAACTGCTAACCCTAAACCTAATTATAACCCTACCTTAACCCTAAACCCCCTAGAAATAGCATTTGACCTTGTGGGGACAAATGTTGTTGTTTGTTTACTATTTTTGTGGGGACTTCTGGTCCCAACAAGTATAGTTAAACACATCCACGCACACGCACACGCACACACACACACACACACACACACACACACACACACACACACACACACACACACAGTACGGTGACCCAGGAAGTTGGACTAACCCCTGGCTGCTTGGTCATATTGTCCACAACCTCGGATAACAGAAATCTGGATTCTAAAGAGGAAATAAAAGGGTTTCAAGATTCTAATAATGAGGTTAGTGAGGCAGCCATTTTTATTTCAATATCAAATCATTTCTGTGTAATTTAGTACCCTACTGTAATAGTTTCCCATTAAAATGGTAAAAAATGTCTCAAGCAAGAATATTGTTAGGACAGTCTTGGAGTGGTCTGAGTCGGGAGGGATATGTAATCTGAAAACTAGCTGTTATCGGGCCTTTATGGCTAATTCACTATAGGAAATGGCTACTTTATCTACTGTGATCTATGTCTTCATTATACTGTATGTTTATATTTTGCTGCTTACCTCCAAAATCAGCCACCACAGCATGCCCGTCCTCATAGAGTAGAATGTTGTGACTAAAAGTAGCACATTTCATTATTGGAAGAATAACTAAAAACACTTAAATTCACATAGTCACTATAGCTTCAATTCAACATCTATACCTCTCATTATGCTCAATTTCTACATAGAGTGAGTCCCAGTATCACTTCCCCACAAAACACACAAGCACCCATTTCATCACCCCACCACCACACACAAAACCCCACTGACCCCCACCCTCCACTGACCTGTTGAGATCCCTGTGGATGATGGGCTGAGTGAGGTTGTGCAGGTACTCCATGCCCTTGGCCACGTCGATGGCGATGATGAGTTTGGACTGCAGGTCGATGATCCTGTCCGTTGACACATCATTACACATCATTAGAGGAACAACACCAACACTAAGTAACACAGATCGATGCTCCCTGGCCCTGCCAATCAACTGATACCACGGTACACAGCAGTAGATCAATTAGTCAGCTCATAGACTGTTAGACTTCATCTAAACGCAGAGTAACACTTAGTATAGATCAATGTTGGTAAGTGGGAGAAACGGATGTAAAGACATTACCAAGAAATAAGACATGAAACAGTTAACAACAATTGTTTTACGGCCACAATCTGCACGTTTTCAAGTACACTAATTTATTTCCATAAAAAAAACTGGATGATGGATTGACAACAGCACTAAACATTTAACCTACATATCAATTAAAAAGTTTAGGTAACGCTTTAATGTAGGTGTCCTTATGAATAAAGCCTTTATAACAGCTATGTAACACATTATAACATTCATAAGCTGTCATAAGTAGTTTGAAATAGTTATGAGTAACGCATGAGATGTTATAAAACCAGTTATAATGACTCGCTGACACAAGTTCTCTATAACTTTTGATATGGTCCTTTTGTGTCAGCGATTCATATAGCTGAAATTTAATGGGCAGTTTGGAGATCCAATTAAACGTTATTGAGAGCTCTTGTGCCAGCTAATCAGTTGACATTAAAGCATTATGACAACAGGATGAACAGTCATTTCTATCACCAATTATAACTCGTTTTTATAACATCTCATGTCATTACTCATTAATATTTAAAACTACTTATGACAGATTATGACAAGTGTTATAATGTGTTATATAGCTGTTATAAAGGCTTTATGAATGCATTCATAAGGACACCTACAGTAGTGTTACGAAAGTTTAAATGTGAGAGAGATATACTGTTAGGAATTCCCTGCCGGTGACTGTTACCTCACAACCCTGAGTTGCACACTCCCTCGCACCCCATTCCCCACGACCGGAGCCTGAGAGTCTAGGGGGGACCATAAACCTGCCTCTCAAACTCTCTCTGACCTGTGTGACCTGTGCCCTGATAGGTTGCTGAACACCTGCCCATGCTATTGACTATACAGGTCACACAATACTGTCAGTCTCCCTCAAGCAGTGTCAGAGAGCAACAGCTCTGTCTCTGCCCATCAACAACTGGACTAACTTATATCTCTGTCTGGACTTGTGGGATGGTGTGCGTGCCCAATGTTGAGTTGTGTGACAATATATATTGTTCTTAATAGTTAGTTGTTTATTGTTGTTGCATTATGTATGTTGCCTCTGTATAGCTTGTAACATGTAAACATGTTCAGGGATTATGTGTCATTTATACAGTCCTTTATTACTGTTATTATTCTCGTCATATCATATGTACAGTATATTCATTGTCTTTCATTTCCTTCTACAGAACCACTACTATTCCTCTACCTTTCCCACTGTTCATCCCCGTGTTCATCTTCCTCAGTGCGTTTAAATAAAGTTCCTGTGTGTTAACTGTTGGGCTGCTTTATTCCCCTTTAACAGGGGGCGGTGTCAGTGAGTCACAGACCAGTAAGATACAGTAGGGGAAAAAAGTATTTAGTCAGCCACCAATTGTGCAAGTTCTCCCACTTAAAAAGATGAGAGAGGCCTGTCATTTTCATCATAGGTACACGTCAACTATGACAGACAAAATGAGGGGAAAAAAATCCAGAAAATCACATTGTAGGATTTTTTATGAATTTATTTGCAAATTATGGTGGAAAATAAGTATTTGGTCAATAACAAAAGTTTCTCAATACTTTGTTATATACCCTTTGTTGGCAATGACACAGGTCAAACGTTTTCTGTAAGTCTTCACAAGATTTTCACACACTGTTGCTGGTATTTTGGCCCATTCCTCCATGCAGATCTCCTCTAGAGCAGTGATGTTTTGGGGCTGTCGCTGGGCAACACGGACTTTCAACTCCCTCCAAAGATTTTCTATGGGGTTGAGATCTGGAGACTGGCTAGGCCACTCCAGGACCTTGAAATGCTTCTTACGAAGCCACTCCTTTGTTGCCCGGGCGGTGTGTTTGGGATCATTGTCATGCTGAAAGACCCAGCCACGTTTCATCTTCAATGCCCTTGCTGATGGAAGGAGGTTTTCACTCAAAATCTCACGATACATGGCCCCATTCATTCTTTCCTTTACACGGATCAGTCGTCCTGGTCCCTTTGCAGAAAAACAGCCCCAAAGCATGATGTTTCCACCCCCATGCTTCACAGTAGGTATGGTGTTCTTTGGATGCAACTCAGCATTCTTTGTCCTCCAAACACGACGAGTTGAGTTTTTACCAAAAAGTTATATTTTGGTTTCATCTGACCATATGACATTCTCCCAATCCTCTTCTGGATCATCCAAATGCACTCTAGCAAACTTCAGACGGGCCTGGACATGTACTGGCTTAAGCAGGGGGACACGTCTGGCACTGCAGGATTTGAGTCCCTGGCGGCGTAGTGTGTTACTGATGGTAGGCTTTGTTACTTTGGTCCCAGCTCTCTGCAGGTCATTCACTAGGTCCCCCCGAGTGGTTCTGGTATTTTTGCTCACCGTTCTTGTGATCATTTTGACCCCACGGGGTGAGATCTTGCGTGGAGCCCCAGATCGAGGGAGATTATCAGTGGTCTTGTATGTCTTCCATTTCCTAATAATTGCTCCCACAGTTGATTTCTTCAAACCAAGCTGCTTACCTATTGCAGATTCAGTCTTCCCAGCCTGGTGCAGGTCTACAATTTTGTTTCTGGTGTCCTTTGACAGCTCTTTGGTCTTGGCCATAGTGGAGTTTGGAGTGTGACTGTTTGAGGTTGTGGACAGGTGTCTTTTATACTGATAACAAGTTCAAACAGGTGCCATTAATACAGGTAACGAGTGGAGGACAGAGGAGCCTCTTAAAGAAGAAGTTACAGGTCTGTGAGAGTCAGAAATCTTGCTTGTTTGTAGGTGACTAAATACTTATTTTCCACCATAATTTGCAAATAAATTCATAAAAAATCCTACAATGTGATTTTCTGGAGAAAAAAAATCTCAATTTGTCTGTCATAGTTGACGTGTACCTATGATGAAAATTACAGGCCTCTCATCTTTTTAAGTGGGAGAACTTGCACAATTGGTGGCTGACTAAATACTTTTTTCCCCCACTGTACGTAGAGCCAGGAAGGAGAAAGAAAAAGGACGTAACAACAAACTGATCTACCCCTCAGCCTCTCAATGTGTCTAAACAACAGATCCAGAAGAGATAGCACATATGTACAAGATGTAAAAATGAGATGCACACAGATACAACACAGCTAGCACGCAAAGCAGGGGAAGAACTGCCAGTCTTCATTCAATTGGACGACCACCAACTTCATATCTCATTGTGTAGAGCAGAATTCTACAACAACCGGACAAGAAATTGAAGCTGAAACAGATTACCTTTGACTACAGAGAAAAAATCCCATCAGATCGCTCTAACAAACCAGTATACCAGTGTTCAAGTGTTTCTACTTCATAAGAAATATGAGGCTGGTCTCTGCTCAGTTTGGACTATTGATGGTTTGGATCATTGGCTCCTGGGGTTGGTTGAGTAACAAATGCATCCTCTATGACAAGTCAATCAGTCACTGGGTTACCCCTCACAGCTACTGCTCACATGTCTGCGACCTCAAACTCAACCTCTCCATCATCCCATCTCACTACCAGTTCCTCTGGCTCAACGTCAGGAGTGGATCTGTCCTGCAGTCTGGAGCCCTCTCTAGGTTCTATCCTCTACTGACACTTTCTATAAAGGGCTGTCTGCCGACCATTCTCCCTGGCACCTTCAAGGGGCTCTCCTGTGTGAAGAAATTGTCTTTGTCCTGCAGTAAGTTCATCACTTCCAATTCATCACTTCCATCCAACACATTTACTGACCTGACTAGCTTGGAGGAACTGGAAATGATAACTACAGGCTTTCTGTGATGGCACCGGACGCATTGGGAGGGATCCCTCTTCTGAAAAAACTCTCAGTCTACAGCGGCACAGAGGAATTGTCTGATTTTGTTATGTAGGATAGTCAATATGTCACAGTCATTAACTAACCTGTACTTTAGGTCAGAGGAGATAGCCATTTTAAGACACCAGAACTGCTCTGACACGAACGGAGCTGTTCTTGAGCTTCCTCAATTCTATAGTCTTCAATAAGTTATTTTTTCTTTCCCTAATGCACGCCAGTTAGAAAATGGAGCATTTAGATGCTTCGAAAACATCTCATTGCTCACTTTGCCCAATGAGCTACAGACACAGCTTATGCAGTCTGGAATTTGGAGACTGCTTGAATTACATTTTTTCAATGAGAAAAGCATTTCCTTTGAGTCTGTTTGTAAAACAGTTTTGAGACTTTCGATTACAAAACTTGATATATGAAAACATGAAACTGGGAACTACTCAGCGTCTGCAGTGAGAAACTGTCAGGGGGTTCAGGTGCTTAGCATCTACTTTCCTGCTGGTGTTAAGGCCAGTGTTAATCTGAGCTTGATCCATGATTTGAAGAATCTCACCGAAAAGAGCGTTTCTGTTCATTTCACTGATATCCTCTCTGAGCCCCCTGATTTAAATGTGCTTTGTGACACTCAGAAGAGTCCTGTCACATGGTTGAAACAAATTCAAATCCCAAACATCACCTCAGAGCAGTTCTGTTGCTTGATCAATCTGAAATGGCTGGATTTAAGATTCAATTATATCACCACTATTGTGGACTTTACATTTAAGGGACTTGGTGAATTGAGGTTCCTAAACCTAGGGAGTAACAACATCTCTCAGATTACAGAGAACAGTTTCTTTGGCCTGCAAAGTTTAGAGATTTTAACACTGTTCAATAATCCAATCATGCAAATTGCAGCATTTGCGTTCATCCACCTCACTTCGTTGACAAATTTAGATTTAGGGTACATTCACCATCCATCCAGCCAGTGGGAGAAACATGTGAGTGTGAATCTGACGCACATATTCGGTTGAGTCTTCCCTCAAGCGCTGACTCACATGAATATAAGCTCCTGGTGTCCTCTCAACATCACCGTCGGCAGCGACAGCACCCCAAAACCAGGCTTCACCCTGCAGCTCTTCACTCCATTGAATGTGATCTTCCAGGACTGCTGGAGACCATTCTTCCAGTCTGTTGTCAACCTCAGGGCTGTAACAGGACATCTTCTGTGTGGGTCTCACTTCGTCGCAAAGTACTTCCTCTCTCCGCAGGAGTTTGAGTTTGAGTTGGTTCTCTCACCAGACTTTGTGAGAGAACCAACTGTGGACATGACTAACCTGAACAGGCTTGTGCAGCTGAGGCATCTGAAGCTGACAGGAGTGGACCTCATCGTGCAGCCAGCGCTGGGCATCATGTTCCACAACCTAACCAGGCTGGAGAGCCTGAGCCTAATGGAATGTAGGATCCTCCCTCTGGAGGAGGAGCTGAGCAGAGACCTGCACTCCCTCATTTTGATTCAAGTCCAAGCCCGAGAGGAGTTTAGCATGTTAGAGAGCTTTCCAGAGCCTCTGACCAGCCTGAGGTATATGGAGTTATTCAGTCCTCGCCTGCACTGCAGCTGTGACAACGCCTGGCTGGACAACTGGGCCAGGAGACAGAGACAAGTCCAGGTATTTTTTTGGCTAAAGGGGGAGTTGGAGTTGACATGCAAAAATGAAGACTGTTCCCTGGACATGGGCTTTGTCCTGTTCCTCTGCACCTCCCTGGGCCTGCTCCTCTTCATGCTGGCTGTGCTGCTCCATCAGCTGGCCGGGGACTACCTACTGGCCTTCTGCCACCCACATCACACGTGGCTGGCTGGAAGAGGCCGTGCGGAGGCCCAACCCCAGGGGTCATCACCGCTTCGATGCCTTTGTGTCTTACAGCGGGAGAGACGAGAACTGGGTGGTGGAGCAGCTGTTGCCGGGCCTGGAGCAGAGGGGGCCTCCCTTCCTTTCTCTCTGTCTACACAGCAGGGACTTCCAGCTGGGGAAGGACATCGTGGACAACATCATAGACAGCCTCTACGGCAGCCGCCACACCATGTGTGTGGGGAGTCATCACTACCTGCGCAGTAACTGGTGCTCCCTGGAGCTGCGGCTGGCCACCCTGTGTCTGCTGGTGGACCACAGGGATAACCTCATCCTGGTCTTCCTGGAGGAGTCACTGTCAATAATGGCTGATTCCTGGCTGTGAAACCCACCCTCCGAGGGTGTCTCAGGGGGAGTGGGATATGCAAAAAACTAATTTCCAATTCACATGCGCACAGTGCCTTCAGAAAGTATTAATACCCCTTGACTTATTCCACATTTTGTTGTGTTACAGCCTGAATTACAAATTTATTCAATTGTTTTTTTTCGCACCCATATAGACACAATATCCCATAATAACAAAGTGAAAACATGTTTTTAGAAATGTTTGCAAATTTACTGAAAATGAAATACAGAAATATCTAATTTACTTAAGTATTCACACCCCTGAGTCAATACTTTGTAGAAGCACCTTTGGCAGCGATTACAGCTGTGAGTCTTTCTGTGTAAGGCACTAAGAGCTTTCTACACCTGGATTGAGCAACATTTGCCCATTATTCTATTAACAATTATTCAAATTGGTTGTTGATCATGCTAGACAACAATTTTCAGGTCGTGCCATATATTTTCAAGTTGATTTAAGTCAAAACTGTAAGTCGGCAACTCAGGAACATTCACTGTCTTCTTGGTAAGCAACTCCATTGTAGATTTGACCTTGTGTTTTAGGTTATTGTCCTGCTGAAATGTGAATTCATCTCCCAGTGTCAGGTGGAAAGCAGACTGAACCAGGTTTTCCTCTAGGATTTTGCCTGTACTTAACTCCATTCCGTTTCTTTTTCCCCCCCCCCCCAGTCCTTAATGATCACAAGCATACCCTTAACATGATGCAGCCACCACTATGCTTCAAAATATGGAGAGTAGTACTCAGTAATGTGTTGTATTGGATTTGCCCCAAACATAACACTTGGTATTGGGCGGCAGGTAGCTTAGTGGTTAAGAGCGTTGTGCCAGTAATCGAAAGGTCGCTGGTTCTAATCCCCGAGCCGACTAGGTGAAAAATCTGTCGATGTGCCCTTGCGCAAGGCACTTAACCCTAATTGCTCTGGATAAGAGCGTCTGCTAAATGACTAAAATGTAAATGTATTCAGGACAAAATGTTAATTGCTTTGCCACATTTTTTGCAGTATTACTTTAGTGCCTTGTTGCAAACAGGATGCATGTTTTGGAATATTTGTATTCTGTACAGGCTTCCTTATTTTCACTCTGTCAATTAGGTTAGTATTGTGGAGTAACTACGATGTTGTTTTCTCTTATCACAGCCTTTAAACTCTAACTGTTTTAAAGTCACCATTGGCCTCATGGTGAAATCCCTGAGCGGTTTCCTTCCTCTCTGGCAACTGAGTTAGGAAGGACGCCTGTATCTTTGTAGTGACTGGGTGTATTGACACACCATCCAAAGTGTAATTAATAACTTCACCATGCTCAAAGGGATATTCAATGTCTGCTTTTGTATTTTTACCCATCTACCAATAGGTGCCATTCTTTTCGAGGCATTGGAAAACCTCTCTGGTCTTTGTGGTTGAATCTGTGTTTGAAATTCACTGCTCGATTGAGGGACCTTACAGATAATGGTTTGGTTGGGTACAGAGATGAGGTAGTCATTCAGAAATCATGTTAAACATTATTATTGCACACAGAGTTAGTTCATACAACTTATTATGGGACTTGTTAAGCACATTTTTACTCCTGAACTTATTTAAGCTTTCCATAACAAAGGGGTTGAATACTTATTGACTCAAGACATTTCAGCTTTACATTTTTTATTTATTAAAAAAATATTCTACAAACATAATTCAATTTTGGGCCTCCCGAGTGGTGCTAGAGACGTCACTACAGACCTGGGTTCGATCCCGGGCTGTATCACAACCGGCCGTGATCGGGAGTCCCATAGGACGGCGCACAATTGGCCCAGCATCGTCTGGGTTAGGGGAGGGTTTGGCCAGGGGGGCTTTACGCCCATTGGGGAGTTGCAGCGATGAGATAAAAATACAATAAATAAATAAAACCATTATTCCACTTTGACATTATAGGATATTGCGTGTAGGCCAGTGACAAAAAAACTCAATTTAATCTATTTTAAATTCAGGCTGTAACACAACAAAATGTAGAAAAATTCAAGGGGTGTGAATACTTTCTGAAGACACTGTATAATACACACTTGTACATACAGTATGTGAAACAGGACAAATGTAAGCACCCACCTAATTATTATTTGTATTATTATAATGACTTATCAACAAGATTATTACTTCCTCCTACGTAACTAACTGTATCACAACAGAAGTATTTTACAGAAGAGAAAATGTTTCTTTTTTCCATGGTGTTCTGTTCTATGTTCCTTTTACTGCAACAGCTTTTCCTTTCCTTTAGGTCATTTTTTCATTCAACATTTACAAATAAATTGTTCTTGTTTGATATTTTGTTCTTGTTGTTGTTGCCGTTTTTACCTTGAATAAAACTCCCTCTTAGAGGAGGAAAAGTATGTTTCTTGTGTAACTTGCTCTTTATTAAATATTATATTCGTTTATTGTTAACAATGATGTTATTGAGGATTGGCCAGTAACACATGACTTATAATAATTGAACAAGAAAACCTTTAATGAATGCCTAACAAATGTCTAACATGGCATAATTAAGCCCTATTAACTACTTGTATACACACTTATAAACTACAAATGAGTAGCTAATATGTGTACCTTATAATAAAGTGTTACCATGGTCCATTACTAGGTTCTTTGTTAATTTATATGTTGTGGAGATGCACGAGTATTGACTAATGTGTGGCCCATTGACAGCTACAGTGCATTCGGAAAGTATTCAGACCCCTTGACCTTTCCCACATTTTGTTACGTTACAGCCTTATTCTAAAATGGATTAAATTGTTTTCCCCCCTCATCAATCTACACACAATACCCCATAATGACAAAGCAAAAACAGGTTTTTAGAAATTTTAGCAAATGTATTACAAATGAAAAACAGAAATACCTTATTTACATAAGTATTCAGACCCTTTGCTATGAAACTCGAAATTGAGCTCAGATGCATCCTGTTCCCATTGATCATCCTTGAGATGTTTCTACAACGTGATTGGAGTCCAACTGTGGTAAATTCAATTGATTGGACCTGATTTGGAAAGGTACACACCTGTCTATATAAGGTCTCACAGTTGACAGTGCATGTTAGAGCAAAAAACCAAACCATGAGGTCGAAGGAATTGTCCGTAGAGTGCAGAGACAGGATTGTGTCGAGGCACAGATCTGGGGAAGGATACCAAAACATTTCTGCAGCATTGAAGGTCCCCAAGAACACAGTGGCCTCCATCATTCTTAAATGGAAGAAGTTTGGAACCACCAAGACTCTTCCTAGAGCTGGCCACCTGGCTAAACTGAGCAATCGGGGGAGAAGGGCCTTGGTCAGGGAGGTGACCAAGAACCCGATGGTCACTCTGACAGAGCTCCAGAGTTTCTCTGTGGAGATAGGAGAACCTTCCAGAAGGACAACCATCTCTGCAGCACTCCACCAATCAGGTCTTTATGGTAGAGTGGCCAGACGGAAGCTACTCCTCAGTAAAAGGCACATGACAGCCCGCTTGGGAGTTTGCCAAAAGGCACCTAAAGAACTCTGACCATGAGAAACAAGATTCTCTGATCTGATGAAACCAAGATTGAACTCTTTGGCCTGAATGCCAAGCGTCACATCTGGAGGAAACCTGGCACCATCCCTACGGTGAAGCATGGTGGTGGCAGCATCATGTTATGGGGATGTTTTTCAGCGGCAGGGACTGGGAGACTAGTCAGGATCAAGGGAAAGATGAACAGAGCAAAGTACAGAGAGATCCTTGATGAAAACCTGCTCCAGAGAGAGCTCAGGACCTCAGACTGGGGCGAAGGTTCACCTTCCAACAGGACAACAACCCTAAGTACACAGCCAAGACAACGCAGGAGTGGCTTCGGGACAAGTCTCTGAATGTCCTTGAGTGGCCCAGCCAGAGCCCGGATTTGAACCTGATTGAACATCTCTGGAGAGACCTGAAAGTAGCTGTGCAGTGATGCTCCCCATCCAACCTGACAGAGCTTGAGAGGATCTGCAGAGAAGAATGGGGGAAACTCCCCAAATACAGGTGTGCCAAGCTTGTAGCGTCATACCCAAGAAGACTCTAGGCTGTAATCGCTGCCAAAGGTGCTTCAAAAAAGTACGGAGTAAAGGGTCTGAAAATTAGCAAACATTTCTAAAAACCTGTTTATGCTTTGTCATCATGGGGTATTGTGTGTAGATTAATGAGGGGAAAAAACAATTTAATCCATTTTAGAATAAGGCTGTAAAGTAACAAAATGTGGAAAAAGTAAATGGGTCTGAATACTTTCCGAATGCACTGTATATGTTTAGACAGAGTAAAAGTACAGTGGTCCATTGACAGGTCTAAGATCAGTTCAGAACCACCTCTTCTGTTCCTGGCCATTGACAGCGCTATATGTGTCAATGGCCAGGAACAGGAACGCTATATAGTATGCTAACTATTCTAGCTAACTAACTGGCTGAATAAGTTGACGACGGACTCGCTCAAGCTGTCGGGACTAACCCACAACGTTAGACACGGACACGAATGATCTGCTTGGCGTGTTGACACACTGGTGGTTTGTTGTGGCCGAGTATTGGTGCTAAACCGTGTTGTTGGAGTCCGACATGCTAGCTGGCTGTGGCGTCTTATGACTAGGTGCCCTGGACGATTTTCACGGAAGAATACTGTACCAAGTTAGCTAGCTGAATAAACTAAGTTAGTCTATTCCTAGAAAACATTGAACCGCTGTAGTTTACAACAATTATAGTTCTGAGGTGGAAGTTGGGAGAGTTATATTTGGGTGTTGTGGTGAGGGAGGCCCCGCTCTCTCCTTTCCCAGATGTTTAGTTCATTTCATTCCGATCTCCTTTGCATTATTGTAGCCATTTTCTGTAGCCTGTCAACTATACCTCTGTCTATCCCTGTTCTCTCCTCTCCGCACAGGCTATACAAACGCCTCACACCGCGTGGCTGCTGCCTCTCTAACCTGGTGGTCCCTGCACGCACCACCCATGTGGAGTTCCAGGTCTCAGGCAGCCTCTGGAACTGCCGTTCTACTGCCAACAAGGCAGAGTTCATCTCAGCCTATGCTACCCTCCAGTCCCTCGACTTCTTGGCGCTGACAGAAACATGGATTACCACTGAAAACACTGCTACTCTTACTGCTCTCTCCTCGTCTGACCATGTGTTCTCGCATACCCCGAGAGCATTACATTTACATTTTAGTAATTTAGCAGACGCTCTTATCCAGAGCGACTTACAGGAGCAATTAGGGTTAAGTGCCTTGCTCAAGGGCACATCGACTGATTTTTCACCTAGTCGGCTCGGGGATTAGAACCAGCGACCTTTCGGTTACTGGCACAACGCTCTTAACCACTAAGCTACCTGCCGCCATCTGGTCAGCGGGGTGGTGGCACAGGAATCCTCATCTCTCCCAAGTGGACATTCTCTATTTTTCCCCTGACCCATCTGTCTATCTCCTCATTTGAATTCCATGCTGTCACAGTCACTAGCCCATTTAAGCTTAACATCCTTGTCATTTATCGCCCTCCAGGTTCCCTTGGCGAGTTCATCAATGAGCTTGACAAGTTCCTTTCCTGAGGATGGCTCACCCCTCACAGTTCTCGGGGACTTCAACCTCCCTACGTCTACCTTTGACTCATTTCTCTCTGCCTCCTTCTTTCCACTCCTCTCCTCTTTTGATCGCACCCTCTCACCGTCCCCCCCTACTCACAAGGCAGGCAATACGCTTGACCTCATCTTTACTAGATGCTGTTCTTCTACTAATCTCACTGCAACTCCCCTCCATGTCTCCGACCACTACTTTGTATCCTTTTCTCTCTCGCTCTCCTCCAACACTACTCACTCTGCCCCTACTCAGATGGTAATGCGCCGTCGCAACCTTCGCTCTCTCTCTCCCGCTACTCTCTCCTCTTCCATCCTATCATCTCTTCCCTCTGCTCAATCCTTCTACCTCCAATCTCCTGATTCTGCCTCCTCAACCCTCCTCTCCTCCCTTTCTGCATCCTTTGACTCTCTATGTCCCCTATCCTCCCGGCCGGCTCGGTCCTCCCCTCCAGCTTCGTGGCTTGATGACTCATTGCGAGCTAACAGAACAGGGCTCCGGGCAGCCGAGCGGAAATGGAGGAAAACTAGACTCCCTGCGGACCTGGCATCTTTTCACTCCCTCCTCTCTACATTTTCTTCATCTGTTTCTGCTGCTAGAGCCACTTTCTAGTACTCTAAATTCCAAGCATCTGCCTCTAACCCTAGGCAACTCTTTGCCACCTTCTCCTCCCTGCTGAATCCTCCTCCCCCTCCCCCCTCCTCCCTCTCTGTGGATGACTTCGTCAACTATTTTGAAAAGAAGGTTGACGACATCCGATCCTCGTTTGTTAAGTCAAATGACACTGCTGGTCCTGCTCACACTGCCCTACCCTATGCTTTGACTTATTTCTCCCCTCTCTCTCCAGATAAAATCTTGCGACTTGTGACGGCCGGCCGCCCAACAACCTGCCCGCTTGACCCTATCCCCTCCTCTCTTCTCCAGACCATCTCCGGTAACCTTCTCCCTTACCTCACCTCGCTCATCAACTCATCCTTGACCGCTGGCTATGTCCCTTCCGTCTTCAAGAGAGCGAGAGTTGCACCCCTTCTCAAAAAACCAACACTCAATCCCTCTGATGTCAACAACTACAGACCAATATCCCTTCTTTCTTTTCTCTCCAAAACTCTTGAGCGTGCCGTCTTTAGCTAACTCTCTTGCTATCTCTCTCAGAATGACCTTCTTGATCCAAACCAGTCAGGTTTCAAGACTGGTCATTCAACTGAGACTGCTCTTCTCTGTGTCACGGAGGCTCTCCGCACTGCTAAAGCTAACTCTCTCTCCTCTGCTCTTGTCCTTCTAGACCTGTCTGCTGCCTTTCATACTGTGAACCATCAGATCCTCCTCTCCACCCTCTCCAAGCTGGGCATCTCCGGCGCGGCTCACTCTTGGATTGCGTCCTACCTGACCGGTCGCTCCTACCAAGTGGCGTGGCGAGAAGCTGTCTCCGCACCACGTGCTCTCACCACTGGTGTCCCCCAGGGCTCAGTTCTAGGCCCTCTCCTATTCTCGCTATACACCAAGTCACTTGGCTCTGTCATATCCTCACATGGCCTCTCCTATCATTGCTATTCAGACGACACACAACTAATATTCTCCTTTCCCCCTTCTGATAACCAGGTGGTGAATCGCATCTCTGCATGTCTGGCAGACATATCAGTGTGGATGACAGATCACCACCTCAATCTGAACCTTGGGATAGGATAAAGTAATCCTTCTACCCCCCCCACTGCTGAAGTGGTTATCCCACTGGCTATAAGGTGAATGCACCAATTTGTAAGTCGCTCTGGATAAGAGCGTCTGCTAAATGACGTAAATGTAAATGTAAATGTAAATGCTATAAAGACAGTAACAGTGCAGTCCATTGACAGGTCTGAGATCTGCTCAGGGCCTCACCTCTTCTGCTCGTGCAGCAGGGAGAACAGGGAGCCCCCAGAGACATATTGGGTGGCGATGGCGAACTGGCTGGGGTCGTCCAGACACGCCCCCACAAACTGGATGACACAGGGGTGGTTGAGACGACACAGGATGGACACCTCCCTGCAGAACATGTCCACGTCTGACTTGGAGCAGTACGTGTTGGCCCGATACCTATAGAGAGGAGAATTAAAGTTAGTTCCTATTTCATTCATTTGTGTCTCAGAATTGTATTTAATATTTTAGTAGTTCGTATTTAAGTCATTTGTATTTTAGCATTTTATGTTGTATTTTAGTCCTTTGTATTTACATTCATTTTGCGAGCCAAGAGCAATGCTAACCAATGTTAGAGATGTTAATCCTTAGACTTACCTACCTTTTGATGGCAACGACCTGGTTCTTACACTTGCCTCTATAGACCTTTCCAAAGGAGCCTGTGGGTAGAAAATATATTATACTATTCAATATAGTCTGTATGTGCAAAAAGCATGTTGTTAAGGAAAACAGTATAGGGTTGAATCTGTCCGTAATACCTGAACCAATGATCTCATTGAACTCCAGGTCAGAGAGCTGCAGTTGGAAGCTTGAGTGGAGGCTGGCCCGGAGGAGAAGAACATCTGCCTTTTCTAAAGAGAGATAATAAAATGTTCAAGGTCATTTGAGTCTTATTTTGAATCAAGTGATCAATGATCAAGAAATGTGTCAAAAACAAACAGATATCAGGTAGGCTAAACTAGGAAAATATATAATTGACCATCAGTCAGTCCGCAGATTATCATTAGCCTGGTGTTTACTATATTGATTACCAGATCATAATTAAAAGACACACCGAGTCCAGGGCTGTCCCCGACAAAAATAAATGTTGGTCGACCAAGAGTCGTCTGTTCGTTCGACCAATTAATTGGTCAAAATGTTTAAACGTGTATATTTCCATATGGTGGTGGCAGCATCATGCTGTGGGGATGTTTTTCAGCGGCAGGGACTGGGAGACTAGTCAGGATCGAGGGAAAGATGAACGGAGCAAAGTACAGGGAGATCCTTGATGAAAATCTGCCCCAGAGCGCTCACGACCTCAGACTGGGGCGAAGGTAACCTGCCAACAGGACAACGACCCTAAGCACACAGCCAAGACAACGCAGGAGAGGCTTCGGGACAAGTCTCTAAATGTCCTTGAGTGTCCCAGCCAGAGCCCGGACTTGAACCCGATCGAACATCTCTGGAGAGACCTGAAAATAGCTGTGCAGCGACGCTCCCAATACTACCTGACAGAGCTTGAGAGGATCTGCAGAGAAGAATGGGAGAAACTCCCCAAATACAGGTGTACAAAGTTTATAGCATCATACCCAAGAAGACTCTAGGCTGTAATCGATGACAAAGGTGCTTCAACAAAGTACTGAGTAAAGGGTCTGAATACTTACAGTACCCGTCAAAGGTTTCGACACACCTACTCATTCAAGGGTTTTTCTTTATTTTTGCTATTTTCTACATTGTAGAATAATAGTGAAGACATCAAAACTATGAAGTAACACATTTGGAATCATGTAGTAACCAAAAAAGTGTTAAACAAATCAACATATATGTTATATTTGAGATTCTTCAAAGTAGCCACCCTTTGCCTTGATGACAGCTTTGCACACTCTTGGCATTCTCTCAACCAGCTTCACCTGGAATGCTTTTCCAACAGTCTTGAAGGAGTTCCCACATATGCTGAGCACTTGTTGGCTGCTTTTCCTTTACTCTGCGGTCCAACTCTTCCCAAACCATCTCTATTGGGTTGAGGTCTGGTGATTGTGGAGGCCAGGTCATCTGATGCAGCATTCCATCACTCTCCTTCTTGGTCAAATAGCCCTTACACAGCCTCGAGGTGTGTTGGGTCATTGTCTTGTTGAAAAACAAATGTTAGTCCCACTAAGCACAAACCAGATGGGATGGCGTATCGCTAAATAATTCTGTGGTAGCCATGCTGGTTAAGTGTGCCTTGAATTCTAAATACCACCAGCAAAGCACCCCCACACCATCACACCTCCTCCTCCATGCTTCACGGTGGGAACTACACGTTTGGAGATAATCCGTTTACCTACTCTGCGTCTCACAAAGACACGGCGGTTTGAACCAAAAATCTCAAATTTGGACTCATCAGACCAAAGGACAGATTTCCACTGGTCTAATACCCATTGCTCGTGTTTCTTGGCCCAAGCAAGTCTCTTCTTCTTATTGGTGTCCTTTAGTAGTGGTTTCTTTGCAGCAATTCGACCATGAATGCTTGAGGTGAGATGTGTCTGTTACTTGAACTCTGTGAAGCATATATGTGGGCTGCAATCTGAGATGCAGTTAACTCTAATGAACTTATCCTCTGCAGCAGAGGTAACTCTGGGTCTTCCTTTCTTGTGGCGGTCCTCATAAGAGCCAGTTTCATCATAGCGCTTGATGGTTTTTGCGACTACACTTGAATAAACTTTCAAAGTTCTTGAAATGTTCCTGATAGACTGACCTTCATGTCTTAAAGTAATGATGGACTGTCGTTTCTCTTTGCTTATGTGAGCTGTTCTTGCCACAATATGGACTTGGTCTTTTACCAAATAGGGCTATCTTCTGTATACCACCCCTACCTTGTCACAACACAACTGATTGGCTCAAACGCATTAAGAAGGAAAGAAATTCCACAAATTAACTTTTAAGAAGGCACACCTGTTAATTGAAATGCATTCCAGGTGACTACCTCATGAAGCTGGTTGAGAGAATGCCAAGAGTGTGCAAAGCTGTCATCAAGGCAAAGGGTGGCTACTAAAATATAAAATATATTTTGATTTGTGTAACACTTTTTTGGTTACTACATAATTCCATATATTCTACTATGTAGAAAATAGTACAAATAAAGAAAAGCCCTTGAATGAGTAGGTGTGTTCAGACTTTTGACTGGTACTGTATGTAAATGTTATATTTCAGTTATTTATTTGTAATATATTTGCAAAAAAATCTAAAAAACTGTTTTGCTTTGTCATTATGGGGTATTGTGTGTTGATTGATGAGGCGGAAAAAACGATTTTATCCATATTAGAATAAGGCTGTAATGTAACAAAATGTGGAAATTGTCAAGGGGTCTGAATACTTTCCGAATGCACTGTAAATACATAATTTCTGACCGAAAAGTTCTGTTACCAAACTCCCTCGTTTGCTTAGGAAAAACATTCCATATTCCCTCAACCGCTTTACGTCACACATGTATGCATCGCATGCACGTGACCAAAGACCTATTCTCACAGGACTAGTATTATTAGAGAACATCGGTTATCTAATTATTACTTCAGAATGTCCGCTATTCCAGAGTAAGATTCGGACGGCATTAGTTTTTTCCCCTGTAATTTGTATTTTTAAAAATAAATACATTGACAGTTATGACGGAAGCCTGGATGTTTAAATTCTAGGTATGAAGATACAGTATTTCAACATGTCCAGGTGATAGGGACACACTGATAACTCAAGCTTGGTTCCCAAGTTTCTAAACCATACCAAACCATCTTTGGTATATTATCGCCATAATATTTGAATTGAGGAAGTGTGATCATAATCATTAGGCTATTTTAGCGATCAACAGTACATCCTAAATGCCCCCCAGCCTTCAGATGTGAGCAATTTCACTTGAGATGCGTTTTAAGGCTTTGGATGAGAAAATGAATGTATAATTTCAAACGTTTAGGTCAGTTGTATGCTGCTTTTGCGATCTATTAACAGCAAGGGTTGCATTAAATAGGCTCAAGAATTGTTTTTTACGGATGCGTTTGCCAATATTATAATCATACGCACAAAACATATAAACAAAAGCATTCACTGGGAAAGTTGCTAGGCTACATGTAGGCCGTTCATATATAGTTTATACGCAGCACTTAGTTCAATTTATCCAATCAGTTATTGTTTTCTTGCGCAAACCGCGAGCAACACCTGTCAAACTCAGACCTTTCTTTCAAAACACAAGGATGTCGATTCGCACGGGACTAGTATTATCAGAGGACCTTGGAGTTCGCAAAAAAAGCAGTAGGTTATTCTGGCTGGAATTGTTACTCACCTGCATGTACAAATTACTGACATGGCAGATTGGTATGGGACCAAAATTACAGATGTGGTGTTTTGTGCTCATGCACATAATTACATTGCCCAACCTCCCCTAGTAAAACTAATCAAGTCCGAATAGGGCACAATAGGGTTTGACCTATAGCATATCATAATCACATAAAACGGTATAACAAACTCTGAACACTGTAACCCATGTGACAGCAAAATGGATGCAGATGACCTGACAAATAAACTGGAAATGGGGAATGTTTACTGGTTGCGCAGGAGGTAAAGGGGAAGACAGATGTGTAGAATACATTTTTACTAGTTGTGGAAAATACTGGCGATCAAGAAAAATAAGGTATGGAGCAAGCACTGCGTCATATTATGTGCACCAAACAGGTGCTTTATACAATATAATTTTCCTGACCATTTGGAACAATGTAAACACTCAATAAATTATAAGCGTCCAGAGAGTCTGTTGTAACGTTTTTTTTTTAAAGCCTTTATTACAGCAAAGACTAAAAACAGGCATTCATTCGTGAATGCCATTTCCGAATTGGAACGTTTTATTTATTGTTTAAGCGAATTATTCAAAGCTCGCTTTATTTTATATGAAAACTAAAATGCTTGATTGCATTTCAAATCAGGAATGACTGGTATGCTGTGGCCTAAGTAAGTTATACGGTATTAAGACTAAACAGGATGTGCTCTTAGGCCTACAGCTCAATGTTGGTTCTACAAGGCTGCTATACTAAGCCTACTAATGATAACGACATCTCTTATTATTATAATGATGATCATAATATTATTAATAACAATAAGAAGGAGATCAAGTAAAAGGAGGGTTATTATTATTATATATATAATTATTCTGACAATTTGGAACAGTTTAAACAACAGTAAATAAATTATAAATAATACCAGACAGGCTGTTCTATCAAAAAAAAGTATGAAGCCTTTATTACAGCAAAGCAAAGATTAAAAACAGCCGAATTTGTGGAATTGTTTAGTTGACATGTCGTTGCATGAGGCTTGGTGCTCACGGAATCAGTAGGCTATTAAACTCAAACAGGCAACAGAAGCAGGATCTGTATTATTTCTGTAGATATATTGATGGTTTATAAACCAGGCACATTTAACAGTTAGGCTGTTGAATATAGACCTAATTAAGTTGGGGTTTCCTCTCTCCTCACTTTTCTTAGACAATAAGGCGAGGGCTGTTTTCTCATCTCCTCATTCTGCTGCTGCCTCCGCCACATTGTTCTCAACACCAATATGCTGGTTAACTTTGCTATTATGCACATAGCAACATGGTCTAGGAAAAGGCGCCAATTAAACAGCGCATTGATGTGTTTCTGAACCGCGGACAGCGACCACTATCCAACGAGGGAGAAAGCGCATTTGTTATAAAATAATATTATTTGTATTAGTTTTGAGTCATTGTTCTTATGTAATATAACCATATACAATTTCAGTAGTGTAACAGTGTTGCTTCTGTCCCTCTCCTCGGCCCAACCTGGGCTTGAACCAGGGACCCTCTGCACACATCGACAACAGTCACCCTCGAAGCATCATTACCCATCGCTCCACAAAAGCCGCGGCCCTTTCAGAGCAAGGGAAACAACTACTTTAAGGTCTCAGAGCGAGTGACGTCACCGACTGAAACGCTACTAGCGCACCGCTAACTAGCTAGCCATTTCACACCGGTTACAGTAGCACACGTCTTAGACTGATGGACTGTGCCATCCCAAAGGCCTCCACAATAGATCAGTCCACTCAGACAGGCGCCAATCAGACAGGTGTCTTATACACCATGATTACTTATTTTTTGGCTACTGCTGGACTAAAGAAATCTCGGTCGACCAACAGCTTATCGACCAAACAATCGACCAGTCGACTAAATGGGGTCAGCCCTACCTGAGTCACATAGCAACAGTAACCAGTGAGTTTTTTCTCGCTCTTTTTTTGTTGTAGTTTCTTTTACATTGGCCTGTTGTTTGCTATTGTCGATTACCATATCATCATATATAGGAGACACACACTAATAAGTCCCATAGCAACAGTAACCAGCGTCAGTATGACAGTGATGTGAAGTGCTGCTTGGATGATGCGTGTCATGTACTTCGCTTCACTCCAGTACCTTTAGTCATGCTTTTGATCTTGCCCAGGGGAGACGGCACAGACACGTAGGACCCATCTGAAAGAGTAGTGACAAGATAAACAGGATGAAGGAAATGCCCCATGTTTCTGCTCAATCTTTATTCCTTTTTAGAAAATCACATATACAGTGTTGTTTGTATTCAGCAATCTTGGTGAGGTGTTATCTTGCACTTTGAACATTACACATGTTAATAATCAACATTCTCTCCTTTGTAGGCCTATTATTTAACATTTACTTGTGTTGTATTCAATCATCTTGGTGAGGTGTTATCTTTGAACATTACTAATGTTAATAGTCAACATCCTCTCCTTGGTTGGCCTCTCCTAAAGACATATAGCATTAGATGTACAGTATATTACATAGCAAAGACATACAGTATAGCATCAAAAATAGAATATTAGTTCTCTCAATTGTCTTTGCTTAATTTCTTACATCCTCTCTCCTTGGCTCCTTAAAACGTATTGGAGAAAATCTGAGGTATCTCCCCTCTCACCTTCTCCCCCAATGTGTTTTGAGAAGGCAGTAAGTAGAGAGAACACAAGGAATCAAGCAAATACAATTGAGATTCACCCTATGAGATGGCCCTAGATGCTAGGGCCTTGAGGTCAAAGTGCACCAGTGACCCCCACCTCTCCCACTCACCTCCGCCAGGCTGAGAGTACTCATTACAGGGGGAGTCGTCCAGGGGACGCTTGTAGTGTTTGAGCAGAGTGACGATGGTATCATGACCTGGGGTAGGGACACCGGGACAGGGTCACAGATACAGGGATACACAGACAGGGTTGTTACGGTGGCATTCACTATAAACTAACCCATTATTACCGCATTATACCCATCTACCAAAGTCACCATTAGTAGTTGTACTACTACTAATACTACATGTACACTACCAGTCAAGAGTTTGGAAACACCTACTCATTCAAGGGTTTTTCTTTAATTTTTACTATGTTTTACATTGTAGAATAATAGTGAAGACATCAAAACTATGAAATAACACATATGGAATCATGTAGTAAACAAAAAAGTGTTAAACAAATCAAAGTATATTTATATTTGAGAATCTTCAAATAGCAACCCTTTGCCTTGATGACAGCTTTGCACACTCTTGGCATTCTCTCAACCAGCTTCATGTGGTAGTCACCTAGAATGCATTTCAATTAACAGGTGTGCCTTCTTAAAAGTTAATTTGTGGAATTTCAATTTCAATCCTGCCTGATCTGTCTATCTGAGACCTGGATTACGGAACAGGATCCCGACTCCGTTGTGGAGCTACACAATCGTTAGAATGGACCAAAACATCAACTCTGGTAAGAGAAAAGGTGGTGGAGTTTGTGCATTCATCAACGAGAAATATTGCAATCCTGCCCATATTACAACTAAGCACCAGGGCTGTACTAAAGACATTGAACTCCTTGCTCTTAACCTACGGCCATACTACCTGCCACTGGAAATAAATCAGGTCCTACTATTTATTGTTTACATAGCCCCCTCCGCTGATACCCATATAACTGCCGACTTGATTCATGACCTTGTATCCCAGGCTGAGACAGAGTCACCTGAAGCAATAGCTGCCGACTTGATCCATGACCTTGTATCCCAGGCTGACACAGAGTCACCTGAAGCAATAGCTGCTGACTTGATCCATGACCTTGTATCCCAGGCTGACACAGAGTCACCTGAAGCAATAGCTGCTGACTTGATCCATGACCTTGTATCCTAGGCTGAGACAGAGTCACCTGAAGCAGAAAAGCTGATCTGACTTTAACATGTGTAATCTATCTGAACATTTACCATCATATAAGCAATATGTTACATGTCCTACCCGTCTGGACCTCTGTTATGGTAACATCCCAGTGGGGTATTTTTCCAAGGCACTACCCAATGTTGGGGGTTCGGATCATAACATGGTTCAGCTCATCCCAGTCTACAAACCGCGTTTGCAGCGAGAGAAGACTAAAAAGGTGGAGATGAACAGCTGGACTCCTGAAGCTACAGAAGCTTGCAGGACTGTTCTGAGTCCCCTGACTGGGCGGCCCTGACGGGCAGCTCCCATGACCTGGAAGAGAGTCCCCTGACTGGGCGGCCCTGACGGACAGCTCCCATGACCTGGAAGAGAGTCCCCTGACTGGGCGGCCCTGACGGACAGCTCCCATGACCTGGAAGAGAGTCCCCTGACTGGGCGGCCCTGACGGACAGCTCCATGACCTGGAAGAGAGTCCCCTGACTGGGCGGGCCCTGACGGACAGCTCCTATGACCTGGAAGAGAGTCCCCTGACTGGGCGGCCCTGACGGACAGCGCCCATGACCTGGAAGAGAGTCCCCTGACTGGGCGGCCCTGACGGACAGCTCCGACGACCTGGAAGGAGAGTCCCCTGACTGGGCGGCCCTGACGGACAGCTCCCATGACCTGGAAGAGAGTCCCCTGACTGGGCGGCCCTGACGGACAGCTCCCATGACCTGGAAGAGAGTCCCCTGACTGGGCGGCCCTGACGGACAGCTCCCATGACCTGGAAGAGAGTCCCCTGACTGGGCGGCCCTGATGGACAGCTCGATGACCTGGAAGAGAGTCCCCTGACTGGGCGGCCCTGACGGACAGCTCCCATGACCTGGAAGAGAGTCCCCTGACTGGGCGGCCCTGACGGACAGCTCCGATGACCTGGAAGAGAGTCCCCTGACTGGGCGGCCCTGACGGACAGCTCCGAGACCTGGAGAGAGTCCCCTGACTGGGCGGCCCTGACGGACAGCGCCCATGAACCTGGAGAGAGTCCCCTGACTGGGCGGCCCTGACGGACAGCTCCCATGACCTGGAAGAGAGTCCCCGACTGGGCGGCCCTGACGGACAGCTCCCATGACCTGGAAGAGAGTCCCTGACTGGGCGGGCCTGACGGACAGCTCCCATGACCTGGAAGAGAGTCCCTGACTGGGCGGCCCTGACGGGACAGCTCCGATGACCTGGAAGAGAGTCCCCTGACTGGGCCGTCCTGACGGACGCTCCATGACTGGAGAGAGTCCCCTGAACTGGGCGGCCCCGACGGGACAGCTCCCATGACCTGGAAGAGAGTCCCCTGACTGGGCGGCCCGACGGACAGCTCCCGATGACCTGGAAGAGAGTCCCCTGACTGGGCGGCCCTGACGGACAGCTCCGATGACCTGGAAGAGAGTCCCCTGACTGGGCGGCCCTGACGGACAGCTCCGATGACCTGGAAGAGAGTCCCCTGACTGGGCGGCCCTGACGGACAGCTCCGATGACCTGGAAGAGAGTCCCCTGACTGGGCGGCCCTGACGGACAGCGCCCATGACCTGGAAGAGAGTCCCCTGACTGGGCGGCCCTGACGGACAGCTCCGACGACCTGGAAGAGAGTCCCCTGACTGGGCGGCCCTGACGGACAGCTCCCATGACCTGGAAGAGAGTCCCCTGACTGGGCGGCCCTGACGGACAGCTCCCATGACCTGGAAGAGAGTCCCCTGACTGGGCGGCCCTGACGGACAGCTCCGACGACCTGGAAGAGAGTCCCCTGAGTGTGCGGCCCTGACGGACAGCGCCCATGACCTGGAAGAGAGTCCCCTGACTGGGCGGCCCTGACGGACAGCTCCGATGACATAAGAAGAGAGTCCCCTGACTGGGCGGCCCTGAACAGGACAAGCTCCTATGACCTGGAAGAGAGTCCCCTGACTGGGCGGGCCCTGACGGACAGCTCGCGATTACCTGGAAGAGAGTCCCCTGACTGGGCGGCCCTGACAGACAGCTCCTATGACCTGGAAGAGAGTCCCCTGACTGGGCGGCCCCTGACGGACAGCTCCCCGATGACCTGGAGAGAGTCCCCTGATGGGCGGCGCCTGACGGACAGCTTCCCCATGACCTGGAAGAGAGTCCCCTGACTGGGCGGCCCTTCGTCTGACGGACAGCTCCCATGACACTGGGAAGAGAGTCCCCTGACCTGGGGCGGCCCTGACGGACAGCTTCCCATGACCTTGGAAGAGAAAGGCCCCTGACTGGGCGGTCCCCTGACGGACAGCCTCCAGATGACCTTGGAAGAGAGTCCCCTGAACTGGGCGGCCGCTGACGGACCAAGCTCCCGATTACCTGGAAGAGAGTCCCCTTGACTGGGCGGCCCTACAGGACAGCGTCCGATGACCTGTGAAGAGAGTCCCTGACTGGGGCCCTGACGACATCTCCGATGACCTGGAAGATAGCCCCTGAAGGGGGCCCCGACTGACAGCGCGATGACCTTGGAAGAGAGTCCCCTGACTGGGGCGGCCCTGACGGACAGCTCCCATGACCTGGAAGAGAGTCCCCTGACTGGGCGGCCCTGACGGACAGCTCCTATGACCTGGAAGAGAGTCCCCTGACTGGGCGGCCCTGACGGACAGCTCCTATGACCTGGAAGAGAGTCCCCTGACTGGGCGGCCCTGACGGACAGCGCCCATGACCTGGAAGAGAGTCCCCTGACTGGGCGGCCCTGACGGACAGCTCCGACGACCTGGAAGAGAGTCCCCTGACTGGGCGGCCCTGACGGACAGCTCCCATGACCTGGAAGAGAGTCCCCTGACTGGGCGGCCCTGACGGACAGCTCCCATGACCTGGAAGAGAGTCCCCTGACTGGGCGGCCCTGACGGACAGCTCCGATGACCTGGAAGAGAGTCCCCTGACTGGGCGGCCCTGACGGACAGCGCCCATGACCTGGAAGAGAGTCCCCTGACTGGGCGGCCCTGACGGACAGCTCCGATGACCTGGAAGAGAGTCCCCTGACTGGGCGGCCCTGACGGACAGCTCCGATGACCTGGAAGAGAGTCCCCTGACTGGGCGGCCCTGACGGACAGCTCCGATGACCTGGAAGAGAGTCCCCTGACTGGGCGGCCCTGACGGACAGCTCCGATGACCTGGAAGAGAGTCCCCTGACTGGGCGGCCCTGACGGACAGCTCCGATGACCTGGAAGAGGCAACAGATACCGTCTCGGAGTACATCCGTTTCTGTGAGGATCTCGTTATTCCCAAAAAGAAAGTCAACATCTTCCCCAATAATAAACTGTGGGTAACTCTGGAATTAAAAGAGCTCCTCAACCAGAAAAAAAAACTAGTGTTTAAATCAGGTGGCAGTAAAGAGGAAAGGAAAAACATTGAGAGGCGACTCAAAAACAAAATCAAGGAGTGCAAGGCAGCATACAAAGAGAAATTAGAAAACCTTTTCAATCACAAGGCCAGTAGGAAAGCCTGGCAAGGGCTACAAACCATCATAGGATACAAACCAAAGAGACATTGTATGACTGTTGAAAATGACCTTGCTTTTGCTAATGATTTAACAGTTTATATTGTAGGTTTGACATGTGTGATTTTACATCGCAGCAGAAAGTGGCCTTGGACAGTATAGACAGCATACCAGCTGTTGATATACAGATCTCTGTGAATGACGTCAAGCAATCCTTTCAACGTGTCAACCCACGGAGATCATATGGTCCAAACGGCGTCAGCAGCAAGGTACTTTAGGCATGCGCAGACCAGCTCGCATTACCATTCCAGAAGCTGTTCCAGCTGTCACTGGACAGTGGGATAATTCCAGATTTATGGAAGTCGCTGATTGTCCAAGTACCCAAAAACAACAGGCCAAAAGAATGAACGATTTACGCCCTGTAGCCTTGACATCTGTACCTATGAAATGTTTTGAAAAAATAATTCACAAAACATTTCTCTCTGGTCTCTCCTCCCGATAAGATCCAAACCAATTAGCCTACTGTGCCTCCAGGGGTGTTGATGATGCGTTACTGGTAATGCTGAATAACATCTACAAACATTTAGAAAAGGCAAATAGCCTAGTGAAAATGGTTTTCATTGACATCAGTAGCGCGTTTAAAACCATCCAACCCCACCTACTGGTGGATAAACTGGTGTCAATGAATACTGTGAAGCGTACTCAACAAGTGAAGTTTAACTCTGCCATCTCTACATCTAGAACGGTGAATACGGGAGCCCCTCAAGGTTACGTACTTTCACCGATACTGGACACACTGTACACAAATTATTGGCAAGCCTCTAACTCAGCCCCAAATTATTTAAATATGCAGATGACACCCAGACCAAGCCTCTCTTCAAGGTTTTGACAGAGAAACGGCAAAAATTCATCCAGTTGCGCGCAGATAACTTTCTTGAAATAAACGTTAAGAAAACAAAAGAGATGGAAATTGATTTCAGAAGGAACAAAACTCACAACCCCCTACGAAGATCAATGGGGAATCAGTTGATAGAGTGACCACATATAAATACCTGGGAATCGAAATAGACAATAAACTGAAATGCAATGACTGTGCCTTTGCAAAGATAAAAAAATTGCAATTTTTAACGCAAACTGAACCATTTTAATGTTGACCGCCATATCTTACAAATGTTCTATAAATCTGTCCTGCAGAGTGCGCTGTCCTTTGGTCTGATATGTGTGTTTGGAAACATGCGAGTGCAAGACCAAGTCAAACTTCAGAGCTTGATCAAGACGGCGGGAAGGCTAATTGGTATAGATCAAGAATCAGCCACCAACCTGCACACAAAACTCATCCTCCTAAAACTTGAAAGTATTTTACAGGACAGTACTCATCCCCTTCACTCAAAACTCAGTCACAGCAGCAGCCGGACAAGGGGAAAGAGACTTCTTCAAAATAAAAATAAAAAATATAGATATGGGGACTCTTTTATTCTAACAGCCATTAGGCTGTATAATCGATAGTCTGTTGGTCCCTCGAGTATACAGCATATTGCACTTTCACTTTAAATGTGTAGTTATAGCACTTTTAATGAATTATATTGTGTAGTTTCTGTGTGTTCATGTTTTTTGTACCATCCTTTTAAGCACATGACCAAATGAATTTTCCCCTGGTGGGATAATAAAGTTGATCTGAATCTGAGTACTACTACTACTACTACCTCTGCTGGGTAGTACTACAGTCACTACTACTACAGTCACTACTACTACAACAGTCACTACTACTTCTACTACTACTACCTCTGCTGGGTAGTACTACAGTCACTACTACAACAGTCACTACTACTTCTACTACTACTACTACTGCTGGGTAGTACTACAGTCACTACTACAACAGTCACTACTACTTCTACTACTACTACCTCTGCTGGGTAGTACTACAGTCACTACTAATACTCAAACTCTTCACTATTTATTCTACTGAGACAGGGGTAGGGTGACAGTGTGGGAGACTAAACAGCCAGACTACACTTAATTACAAACAGTTACTCAGAGTACTGTACTATCAAGGTTTCCTAGCAACACCACCGCCACAACTCTGAAAGTGACAAAACATCTCCTCACAATTCAAGCAAAGTCAATCATCTGTGAAAAAGAGATCGTACAAATGTCATAATCTTAATGTTTTCAGCTCTATTTCGTGTTGCTACAAAAGCTAGCTTTTCTGAGATACAGGTTTGTCCTTGGCCTCTCATTGGACAGACCGATCTGTCCATCACTGACTAACCTTTCTCATAGGCCCACATGAGGCAGGTTTGCTCCTCCTTCTCCCCACTGGACCGGCTGGGGTCACAGGCCACCAGGTTCATATCTGCCCCGCTGTCCAATAGGAACTGGACCAGACGTATGTGGCCGTGGAAACATGCACTGTGCAGACCTACAGAGACAGTGACAGGGTTCAAAGGTTATTAGCCCAAGCAGTCAGATCAACCGCTCTTCTCCCATTCATATGGACCTTATTTGTGTTGAAGTCCTTGCTAATTGTCAGTCATTTTTTATGTATGACTATTGCTGCAAAACGAATCTCCTTCTGGGATTACAAAGTTGGAACTTGACCTTATTGAGTGCTCTCGGCTGGTTTAGATATTATTTGTAGGGCCAAGAGTTTTTCCTCTTCAGTTCTGGTCAACAAAAACTCCTGGCCTCAGTCATACTTCATCATTAGGGTCAGTATATTGTTCTGATCACGTAACCTGGCCAGGGAAAACCTCCTGGCCCTAGATTAGGTAACGAGGAGAAATAGCCACCTGTGTGTCCGTCTCGACCCTGATGGTTGATGCTCATGGCATTCTGACCGAGCAGGCACTTGACCATCTCCAGACTCTTCCCATAGGTGCAGGCACTGTGGAGAGAGGTTAGACACTGATGTTACCTTGGACCAGTACAGACAGATAAGTTAACTCATAGGGGTACACTAGGGTTATTACCTGTGAAAGGCGGTCTCGCTAAATATATTCTCCTTGGACAGACTCTCTGTGCCTGACAGCTGCACAATCTCCTTCACCACCTCAAACTTGCCATTGTAGCAGGCTCTGTGGAACACAGGGGCAATGACTTGCAGATACAGCTAGACACATAAGGAGATTATAGTAGCTTTTATCAGTCTCAGTGAATAAGACCAGGGACCATATGTATAAAATAAATTAAAATAGTATTTCTGTAAACAACAGGTGTAGACTAACAGTGAAATGCTTACTTACAGGCCCTTCCCAACAATGCAGAGAGAAAAATATAGAAAAAATTATAACACAAGGAATAAATACACAATGAGTAATGATAACTTTGCTATATACACGGGGTACCAGTACCGAGTCGATGTGCAGGGGTATGAGGTAGATATGGGCAGGGGTAAAGTGACTAAGCAACAAGATAGATAATAAACAGTAGCAGCAGTATATGTGATGAGTCAAAAGAGTTACTGCAAAAGAGGGTCAATGCAGATATTCCGGGTAGCTATTTGGTTAACTATTTAGAAGTCTTATGGTTTGGGGGTAGAAGATGTTCAGGGTCTTGTTGGTTCCAGACTTGGTGCATTGGTACTGCTTGCCGTGCTGTAGCAAAGAGTACAGTCTATGACTTGGATGGCTGGATTCTTTGACAATTTTTAGGGCCTTCCTCTGACCGCCTGGTATAGAGGTCCTGGATGGCAGGGAGCTCGGCCCCAGTGATGTACTGAGCCGTACGCACTACCCTCTGTAGCACCTTGCAGTTGGATGCCAAGCAGGTGCCATACCAAGCGGTGATGCAGCCAATCAAGGTGCTCTCAATGGTGCAGCTGTAGACCTTTTTGAGGATCTGAGGGCCCATGCCAACATTTTTCTTCCTCCTGAGGGTGAAGAGGCGTTGTCGTGCCTTTTTCACGACTATGTTGGTGTGTGTGGATCATGTAAATCCCTTAGTGATCAAGTGTCTCAGAGTAGGAGCACTGATTTAGGATCAGTTTTGCCTTTCAGTTTAGATCACAATGAATAACAGTTACATTGACAGTGGGGGGGGACCAGATTCTAGATTAGCACTCCAACTCTGAGACACCTGAGACATACAGCCCCAGTAGAGTTCAATCTACTGCTGCATGCCTCAGAGGGTACTCACATGAGCCAGTGATATCATTCTCTGTCTATTCCCACCGTGTTGTACTCTAAATGGTTTCACCCCAGATGTTCTTATCATTATGATGTACTGTATCATTAGTTAACTCACAGGTGGAGAGGGGTGTCTCCGTAGATGTTGACGGAGTGAGGCTGCAGCTCAAAGTTGCCCTGCAACAGGAAGCGGACCACTTCATGGTGGCCGAAACGGGCACAGAAGTGGAGCGGGACGTGGTCCTCGTTGTCCTGAGCATTCACTGTGGAGGAAGAAGGACTGAGTTGTTTTCTCGTTGGGCAACTTTAAAGAAGCTAGTAATTTCCTTACTAAAACCATGTACAACTTTGAAGACTTGGCTGAATCCATTATGTGATGTCATTGTGTGACTTGTAGATAAACATGATGGTAAGTACCGGTAGACCATAATGAACATCAGGTCCACTTTGCAGTTACATCTTAATGTTCCCCACTCAAGCGCACGTCCCATCAAGATAAACAGTATATCACCTGAACCGAGGATTGTATTTTTTGACAATGTCTGTATTGAGAGCATGTTTACAGACACAGTGAAACTCAAGCATGTACCATGTAGCTCCCAGACCTACTGCAATTGACTCTCACCTTCAGTCTTGCTCCCCTCTGCCAGCAGCAGTTTGACGACGCTGAGGAAGCCCTTGGCGGCTGCCAGGTGTAACGGTCTGTCTCCCACCTCCCCGCTCACATTTACATCCGCCCCAAACTTCAACAACAGTTTAGCCACCTGAGAGATTCACATTTACATTTTAGACATTTAGCAGACGCTCTTATCCAGAGCGACTTACAATTAGTGCATTCATCTTAAGATAGCTAGGTGAGAAAACAACACATCACAATCGTACATCACAATTTGGGAGGGGAGGGGGGTGTCGAGTGAGCCTAGAGAGTTATGTAAGATACTCTGCAAAGAGGTAGGGTTTCAGACATTTTGGGACGATGGGCAGGAACTCCGACGTCATGACTTTAGGGAGAAGCTTGTTCCACCATTGGGGTACCAGGACAGAGATCAGCTTTGACTGGGCTGAGCGGGAGCTGCCTTCCCATAGGGGTGGGAGGACCAAGAGACCAGAGGTGGCGGAACGGAGTGTGCGGGTTGGGATGCAGGGTTTGAGCATAGCCTGAAGGTAAGGAGGGGCAGTTCCTCTTGCTGCTCCGTAGGCAAGCACAAGGGTCTTGAAGATGATGCGAGGTTCGACTGGAAGCCAGTGGAGTGTGCGGAAGAGCGGGGTGACATGGGAGAACTCAAATTGTATTGGTCACATACACATATTTAGCAGATGTTATTGCGGGTATAGTGAAACGCTTGTGACTGCAAAGTTGCTTAGGAGCTAGAAGCAGAGCTGCCATGTCTGTCGGAGCCATCTTACTCATCCTTAGGAAGGTTGAACACCAGGCGGGCTGCAGCATTCTGGATAAGTTGAAGGGATTTGATGGCACAAGCGAGGAGCCCAGCGAACAGAGAGTTGCAGTAGTCTAGACGGGAGATGACAAGTTCCTGGATTAGGACCTGCGCCACTTCCTGTGTGAGGAAAGGTTGTTCTCTACAATGTTGTAGAGATTTAACCTGCAGGAGCTAGTCACTGCTTTGATGTTTGCAGAGAACGACAGGGTGTTGTCCAGGGTCACACCAAGGTTATTTGCACTCTGGAGGGGGGACAGCATGGAGTTGTCAACCGTGATGGAGAGGTCTTGGAGCGAGCAGGCCTTCCCCGGGAGGAAGCGCAGCTCCGTTTTGTCGAGGTTGAGCTTGAGGTGGTGGGCCACCATCCAAGCTGAGATGTCTGCCAGGCACGCAAAGATGTGTGTCGCCATCTGGGTGTCAGGGGAAGGAGAAGAGTAGTTGATAGGAGAGCCCATGTGAGGATATGACAGAGCCGAGTGACTTGTAAAGAGAAAAGAGGAGAGGGCCTAGAAGCGAGCCCTGGGGGACACCAGTAGTGAGAGCACGTGGTGCAGACACAGATCCTCTCCACGCCACCTGGTAGGTGTGGCCTGCCAGGCAGGATGCAATCCAGGAATGTGCAGAGGTTGTCCAACCCTGAGAGGGTGGTAGAGGAGTATCTGATGGTTCACGGTCTCGAAGGCAGTGGGTAGGTAAGGGAAGGGAAAGTCAGTTGCACAACTGAATGCATTCAACCGAAATGTGTCTTCTGCTTTTAACCCAACTCCTCTGAATCAGAGAGGTGTGGCGGGCTGCCTGAATCGAACGTCCACGTCATCAGCACCCAGGGAGCAGTTGTTCTTGGGGGTTAACTGCCTTGCCGGCTCGGGGATTCAAACCAGTGAACTTTTCGTTTAATGCTTTTAACTGCAAGGCTACCTGGAGGTTGAGAACAGAAGAGAGAGAGTCAGCTATGGCAGAGTGGAGAGCCTCTGTGACACAGAGGAGAGTAGTCTCAGTTGAGTGAAACACGTTGAAGCCCGACTGGTTAGGGTTTTGAAGATGGTTCTGAGAGAGATAACAAGAGAGTTGGTCAGAGACAGAACGCTCAAGTGTTTTCGAAAGAAAAGAGAGAAGAGATAGAGGTCTGTATCTTTTGACGTCAGATTAATCGACTGTTGGTTTCTTGAGGAGGGGAGCGACTCTGGCCATCTTGAAATCAGAGGGGACACAGCCAGTGGAAAGGGATGAGTTGATGAGGGAAGTGAGGAATGGAAGAAAGGCCTCCAGAGATGGTCTGGAGAAGGGAGGATGAGATGGGGTCAAGTGGGCAGGTTTTTGGGCGGCCAGTCATCCCTAGTCGCAAGATTTTATCTGGAGAGAGAGGGTAGAAAGAGGTCAAGGTGTAGGGTAGTTCTGTCTGAGTGGGACCAGTGGACTCAATAGGCTGAGTGAATGAGAAGCGGATGTCGAATAAGGATGGAGGAGAAAGTGGAGACGAGTTTCCCAGGGTTGGAGGTAGAAGCTTGAAATTTAGAGTGATAGAAAGTGTCTTTAACAGTGGATACAGAGGAAGAGACGGTAGAGTGAAGGGAGTGGATGATAGGTCGTTTCCGCTCAGCTGCCCGCAGCCCTGTTCTGTTAGCACGCAGTGAGTCACTCAGCTGCGGAGTGGGAGGGGAAGGAAAGTGGACAGTGGGAATCAAAGGAGGCGGAAAGAGAGGAGAGTAGGGTCGAAGAGGCAGAGTCAGGAGACAGGAGGGAGAAGGATTTAGCAGAAGGGAGAGAGGATATGATAGAAGAGGAGATAGTAGTGGGAGAGAGAGAGTGAAGATTGCAGTGGCGCATGACCATCTGGGTAGGGGCTGAGTGGGTAGTGTTGGAGGAGAGAGGGAGAGAGAAGGAAACAAAGTAGTGATCAGAAACCTGTAGGGGGGTTGCAGTGAGATTAGTCTGTCTGTCTTGTGAATGGGAGATGACTGGGAAAGGCTGAGATCAAAAGAGGAAAGGAGTGGAAAGAAAGAGGGGGAAAGAAATTAATTGAAGTCAGGGTTAAAGTCGTCCAGTACAATGAGTGGTAAGCCATGGTTGGGAAATTAGCTTATCAAGGTGTCAAGCTCATTGAGGAACTCTCCAACAGCACCTGGTGGGGGATATATGACAACAATGTTAAACTTGATTGGACAAGTGACAGTGACTGCATTGAATTGGAGTGAGGAGATAGACAGGTGAGAGAGTGGGAAAATAGAAAATATCCACTTAGGAGAAATTAGTAGCCTTGTGCCACCACCGCAACGACCAGATGCTCTTGGACAATGAGAGAACAAATAGTCAGAGGACGAGAGAGCAGCTGGAGTAGCAGTGTTCTCTGGTGTAATCCATGTTTCTGTCAGGGCCAAAAATTGTAGGGACTGAAGGGGTAGATACACTACCGGTCATAAGGTTTAGAACACCTACTCATTCAAGGGTTTTTCTTTATTTTTACTATTTTCGACATTGTAGAATAATAGTGAAGACATCAAAACAATGAAATAACACGTGGAATCATGTAGTAACCAAAAAAGTGTTAAACAAATCAAAATATATTTTTTATTTGAGATTCTTCAAATAGCCACCCTTAGCCTTGATGACAGCTTTGCACATTCTTAGCGTTCTCTCAACCAGCTTCACCTGGAATGCTTTTCCAACAGTCTTGAAGGGGTTCCCACATATGCTGAGCACTTGTTGGCTGCTTTTCCTTCACTCTGCGGTCCTCATCACAAACCATCTCAATTTGTTTGAGGTCAGGGGATTGTGGAGGCCAGGTCATCTGATGCAGCACTCCATCACTCTCCTTCTTGGTAAAATAGCCCTTACACAGCCTGGAGGTGTGTTGGGTCATTGTCCTGTTGAAAAACAAATGATAGTCCCACTAAGCCCAAACCAGATGGGATGGCAAATCGCTGCAGAATGCTGTGGTAGCCATGTTGGTTAAGTGTGCCTTGAATTCTAAATAAATCAGTGTCACCAGCAAAGCACCCCCACACCATAACACCTCCTCCTCCATGCTTTACGGTGGGAAATACACATGCGGACATCATCCGTTCACCCACACCGCGTCTCACAAAGACACGGTGGTTGGAACCAAAGATCTCCAATTTGGACTCCAGACCAAAGGACACATTTCCACCGGTCTAATGTCCATTGCTCGTGTTTCTTGACCATGAAGGCCTGATTCACACAGTCTCCTCTGAAGAGTTGATGTTGAGATGTGTCTGTTACTTGAACTCTGTGAAGCATATATTTGGGCTGCAATCTGAGATGCAGTTAACTCTAATTAACTTATCCTCTGCAGTAGAGGTAACTCTGGGTCTTCCATTCCTGTGGCGGTCCTCATGAGAGCCAGTTTCATCATAGCGCTTGATGGTTTTTGCGACTGCACTTGAAGAAACTTTAAAAGTTCTTGAAATGTTACATATTGACTGATATTCATGTCTTAAAGTAATGATGGACTGTCGTTTCTCTTTGCTTACTTGAGCTGTTCTTGCCATAATATGGACTTGGTCTTTTTCCAAATAGGGCTATCTTCTGTATACCACCCCTACCTTATCACAACACAACTGATTGGCTCAAACGCATTTGGAAGGAAAGAAATTCACAAATTAACTTTTAACAAGGCACACCTATTAATTGAAATGCATTCCAGGTGACTACCTCATGAAGCTGGTTGAGAGAATGACAGGAGTGTGCAAAGCTGTCATCAATGCAAAGGGTGGCTACTTTGAAGAATCTCAAATCTCAAATATAAAGATTAACTCATCCTTATTGACTGCAGATTGGCAGTTCCAAACGCTGCTGGAGACTAGGAATTCCACATTGGTTGTGCACGCAGGGTACACAAAATTAGAAGGTTTGCATACACGGGCTGGTGAGCATCTGTAAAACCTACAGGGAGAGGAGCGAACTGGGAGAGAAAACACACACATAGTTGCCAAAGCTACAAAAGAGCAAAATGATATCATCAGAGAATAACTAGGTAAGATACTCAAGTGAGAGAGTGGTGTAGAGTGGTGGGGGACATCCATGTATTCAATCTACATCAAGATTGTGGGAGATGGAGAGACCTAGCTCTGGTCCGGGGCATTAGTGCGCGTTCCTCTACTAACAGAGCAGAGGCAACTCGTTGTTTTTGTCACGTGATGGGAGCAGAGCTTGGAGAGACCCAGACGAGACAGACTTGACATGGAAGTGGAACTGGGCCTGGGGGGTTACTGTAATAGACACTGTACGGCTAGGTCCCAAACAGCACTCTATTCCCTATAGCCCATAGAGCTCTGGTCCAAAACTAGTGCACTATGAAAGCAATAGGAAGCCATTTGGGACGCAGACTAGATCTCTGGTGACAAGAAAAAGGGATGAACAGATTTCAACACATCCCCTGCTTGGCAGAAGGTAAAGAGGGATATCTTGGATGAAGCTACCTACACTGTTATATTAGGACAAAACTTTTAAACCATTACCTGGTCATGGCCATAGTAAGCAGCAATGTGCAGAGGAGTAAAGAACACAGCATCCTGGACGTTGACATAGGCTCCGTGCTGGAGAAGGATATCCACTGCCTAAGAATGACAACATGTAGGCTATATTACAGGACATATTATTATCATATAATCACATCACTAAATCTCTTGTTGGAACACCCATTGTTGCTGACGCCAGCAGAACGATTCATAAATATGAATAGTACTGTACAGAATGTGAGGTAATGTCTGAGACTGGTATAAACAGGGGCAGTGAGGATTTATTTATTTTTAAACCCAAAAAAAAACAGAGGCAGTGCCCACCTCATGGTGCCCAGCGATGGTGGCGATATGCAGGGCGGTGAGGGCACCGTACCCAACTTGCTGGATGTCTGCCCCTCCGTGGAGCATTGCCGTCACCAGCTCAGCATTGTCCTGGAAGGACACACAACTACTGTCAATCACGTAGGTTTGTTTTCACTTTAACACTTGAGGAGAATTGTATTCCTTTATTCCTTGTGTCCTCTCTCAAAACACACTGGGGAAGATAAGCTTCCTCCCGTCTGACCTTCTCTTCAGGCATTTTGAGGAGGTAAGGAATCAGGGAAATACAGATGACGTTCACCCCAAGTCATCAGCACCTTGATTAAGCCGAGACCTCAAAATAGACACATCTGTAATACTGATCCTGTGTGCCTCAGGACTAGATGAACTGTCTCTAGTCCTTAGCATGAGAGCAAAACAGAACATATCACACTGTTCATAGAACAATGTGTGCATTGTGATGTGACTTGCGCTCCACCATGTGGTAAAACCATGGAATGTCTCCAATTCATTTAACAATAAAGGCCAATCCACAGCAACATTCTTATAACGTTCAGCAAATCCCAATATAATCACACATCATAAACAGTAACCTACTCACTACAGACATATCTTTGTAACTATATCAATAACACTGTCTTCAAATGAATGCATTTTCCATCTCTTTCCTCATTTTTGTGTGCGCATAAAAAAAATATATATATATTTATGAAGGGAACAGGTGTCTAACCATTCTCTCACCTTATAGACAGCCAGGTGTAGAGCAGTGAACCCATTCCTGGTAAGCCTGGATGGACGTAGGCCTTTCAACATCAGAGTCCGTATGTGGACTTTATTCCCTGGAGAAAACCATATACTAGCCTGGCATCAGATCTGTCTGTGGTATATTGTCTCTGTTCCTAGATCTATATTTAAGCAATAAGGCCCGAGGGGGTGTGGTATATGGCCAATATACCACTCTGCATGACGCAACGTGGAGTGCCTGGACACAGCCCTTAGCCGTGGTATAGTGGCCATATCCCACAAACCGTGAGGTGCCTTATTGCTATTATAAGCTGGTTACTAACGGAATTAGAACAGTAAAAATAAATGTTTTGTCATACCCGTGGTATACGGTCTCATATACCACGGCTTTCAGCCAATCAGCACTCAGGGCTTGAACCACCCAGTTTATATTGCTGGTTAGACAGCATAAACAGATCTGGGACCAGGCTAACAAAACAATGGAGCACAATCAAAGCTAATGAGCTCATGGGCGTCAAGCCAAGAGTGCAGCAGCAAATGTAACACTTTAATGTTTTGGTAAGAGGTTATTAATAGTAATAATCGTACATACCGTCACACATGCAGCAGAGATGCAACAGGGACAGCCCGCTCTCTGTCCGGTAATTCAAGTTCACTTTCTGGAAAGCTTCATCAGAGCTGAGCCATCCAAATACAACATACTGATGTAAGTCCAGCGTACAAATGTGTAATTACAATAGCTATTACACTGTCCTTCCTTTACACCATAATTAGGACACTGATGTAAAACATATAATCCATTTAATATAACATATAGCAACAGTAATAATCGACCCAGAAGACATTTGGACAATGTCTAGAACTATATGGAGACTGGGCATGAGTCACTATCATAACATTTCTGTGATGTTATATCATGACATGATGTTATATCATGACATGTGAAAGACTGAACAGGGATGAATGCATCACTTTAACCACAGAGAGCTACTGTTACCTGAAGTCACTATCATAACATTTTGTGTCACCTTATGACATTACAACATGACACATGGAAGAATGAATAGGGAATAAATGTATGGCTTTTATCACAGAGAGCCTCTGTTACCTGAAGACCTGTTTGAGGTCTATCAGCTCGCTGTCTTTGATGCGTAGGTCATCCTCCAGCCTCTCGATGATCACGGAGTACGACTCGCTCACCTTCTTCTTCCACTCATCTTCAGAAAGGGAGTTAGGCAAGATACTGTTAGCATAGGTATAGCATCATTTACTGAGTTATTAGCCTGATTGCGACTGAGGTACTGTAATTTTAAAAAGCTGAAACGCTTTCCATAGGTTACACACTGAAATGGATTTAGTACATCTACAGACTGCATTTCCCATCACTTGTATTTTCCAATGTTAAATAATGTAACTTCTCTATATCCTAGTTTAAATACCAAAGGAAGTGGGAAAATGGCAGCAAAAGTTACTCCCACCCTATTGGACATACATTTTCCAAAGCGAAGCTTCTTAATAGGCTTCTATAGTACATATTTAGACCCCGACATATACTCTCAGGCAGCACAAAACACTGAAAGAGAACAAGCCATTACCTGTACATGTCTGAGTTGGTCTTGATTTATAATTACCCATTGAACCTCTTTTTTCTTCCTGTGTACGTTGTATAGTTTGGTGGAACAGAGGAGTGAAGCAGTAACACTATCCCTATCGCAGTCACAATAGAGTAGGACCAGATAGAAGAGGGATCATGGCAGAGGGCTAAAAATAACATCTCTAAAAGGAATGCCTGACCACTATGACAACTGATCTGTGTGTGTGTTGCTCTTTTCAAACAGCAGGTGGCCATTAGCTTACATTGTCTTGCACAAGCCGTCGGTCAGTTTTCACATTTTGAAGTTGTCAACTGCTTGATGGCCTGAAAACGAAACAATGTAGTCAGAATGGCAAGGACACTGTCTTAGCGTTTAACTACTGACAGCTTGATCACAGAAGAGTACTACTGTACCTTGCAGTGATTAAGTAAAAGCATTTGAAGAATGGGGACCTGTGGAATTTTATTTTTTATTTTTATTTATTTAACTAGGCAAGTCAGTTAAGAACAAATTCTTATTTACAATGACGGCCTACACCGGCCAAACCCGGACGACGCTGGGCCAATTGTGCGTTGCCCTATGGGACTCCCAATCACGGCCGGTTGTGATACAGCCTGGAATCGAACCAGGGGGTCTGTAGTGACGCCTTAAGCACTGAGATGCAGTGCCTTAGACCGCTGCGCCACTCGGTCTGTAGTGACGCCTATAGCACTGAGATGCAGTGCCTTAGACCGCTGCGCCACTCGGTCTGTAGTGACGCCTATAGCACTGAGATGCAGTGCCTTAGACCGCTGCGCCACTCGGTCTGTAGTGACGCCTATAGCACTGAGATGCAGTGCCTTAGACCGCTGCGCCACTCATGGACGCCAATTGAATGGCATCCATGTTGCTAAGCCTTCCAGTTCATCGCTACATCACAAAGCTGCCACAGACCATGCCCCAGTCCAATTTGACATAATGGTCCGTGTGGTGGATATCTGACATTCTCTCTGGGGAAACCTATAGGGATGCCAGCATGACATCATTGACTACTTGCTTGCCGATAGGCCACTACCTATACCTAACTCTGCATAGGATGTAAAGAGCTGTCCCTTACACTTGTGTTCAAAAATAGAGCAGAGCACCAGTGGAATGCACACAGAAATAGAATCAGAACTGATGGGGGTGATACCAGCTTAGAACAATGAAGAGACACACAACTTTCAAATATTTTTTGAAATATTTTCAGTCATTGTTACAAAATGGATTGTCATTACCATTTAATTTCCCCATAGACACATTTTTAAATACCACAAAAATATAAAATATTTGCAACAAAACAAAAAAATCTACATCCAAAATATCAAACAGCTGATCCAACCTTTCCACCTGTTAATCATTAACATGAACGCCATCAACTACCCACCGCATTCGATTCCTTTTTCAGTTCAAGTTAACACACAATCATTCCTATCATGATTACAAAGGAACAATGGTATTACAATCAATATTAGCCTAGTTATCACTATAGTTCACAGTCAGCTCCATTTCTTCTTCTCCACGTCCTCCATGAGTCTCTTCCTGTACTTGAGCATCTTCTCCAGGTGTTTAGATTGCAGGGCCTCCTGTAGAGACATCAGCTTGGTGCCAAGAGGCAGTGTGACAGTGGATACGCCTGGCTGCAGTGCCTGCACCATCTCCAGAGTCAGGGAGAACGAGTCACGCATATCCGGGCACACAGGGAACAGACAGGCGTTCCACAGACTACAACTCGATGTGTCTCCAGAGAACCTCAGGCTCTCAGGGCTCAGGCCCCACTTCGCCAGGCACTCCACCAAACTTGCCCCGAACAGGTTCAACCCCTCCATATTTGCAGGGGCCCCCACAGCCTTTTTGAGGTTGTCCTCGATGCCGAAGGCGACGGTGACGAAACCTGTTTGGCCCTGGCGGTTCACGCAGAGGGAGTGTATGAAGGTTCCATCTGGCACCTTTAGGCCCGCGCCTACCCAACAGCCGCTGAGGATGGTCCGCCCACCCACGTGGGCGCCGGCCTCGAGCCTACAGTACTCTACCACCGAGCCTGGAGTTAAAGAGGAGCCGGGCTTCAAGTCACTGAGCATCTCACAGCAGACCTTAAAGCTGAAGTTTTGGTTGCAACCTAGCACCTTGTATAGGCCCAGCTCGCTCCTCAGGCACGGGTCCTCGCTGAGGTAGAAGAGGTACTCGGTGGTGGTGCCGATGTGGTAGAACTTGGAGTGGTTGAGGGCCACCACATTGAGCGGGGTTCCCTTGAGGCGGTGGAAGATCTTCTGACGCATCTCCACCAGGCTGCTCTCCTGCTTGGTGACGTTGGCTGTGTTGTTGGTGTACGCCACCGTGGCTTGGGGACCCAGGGCCTGAAGGAAGTCCCCATAGGCATCTATCTCGCAGCCCAAAGGACGCACCTCTCTGAACAGACTAAGTAAAGACATCACAGTCTGGTAGTCCACATAATATGTACTGTCTGTGTAGACAAACTCTGCATCACTCAGCAGAGACACACAGTTATCCTCGTTCTTACACACAGCACCGTTGTCATGCATCTTCTTGACGCTAGGTTTGTGCAGAAAATGGAGGCAGGTCCTGTATTCCATGTCGGCCAATCCAGACTTCTCCTGCTGGTCCAGCACAAACACTCCGTGTGTGGTTCCAATGGAGATGGGGGAGGGATGGGCTAGGGCAGTGAACCCAGACCTGTCAAACCTGATACTCTCATCCTCTGCTATGCTGTAGAGCTCTATGCAATCCGCACTGGTCACCAGCACACCCGGTTTCATGTGCGAGGGGAAATTGACAAACACGGCCAGTTTGAGCTCTAGCATCTGGTACAGAGGATCTCCCAGAGGCATGGGGGTGAAGATTTTCCCCAGGGCACTGGCATTGGGCAAGCGCTGGCTGAATCCCCCTTGGAAAATCAAAGCAATTTTAAAACAGTCAATAACAATCATGCCATTTAGCAGACATTTTTATCCAAAGTGTCTTCCAGTAGACTTACAGTAGTGCTTGCATACCATTTTTCAATAATATAGGCCTGTCTTACATTTATATCACTTTTACATAATTTCCAACTAATATACGGTTTTAAAATGTTATATTCACACAGTAAATCATGACTTGTCTCCTGAGTGGCGCAGTGGTCTAAGGCACTGCATCGCAGTGCTAACTGTGCCACTAGAGATCCTGGTTCGAATCCAGGCTCTGTCGCAGCCGGCCGCGACCGGGAGACTCATGGGCGGCGCACAATTGGCCCAGCGTCGTCCAGGGTAGGGGAGGGAATGGCCGGCAGGGATGTAGCTCAGTTGATAGAGCATGGCTTTTGCAACGCCAGGGTTGTGGGTTTGATTCCCACGGGGGGCCAGTATAAAAAAATAAATAAATGTATTCACTAACTGTAAGTCGCTCTGGATAAGAGCGTCTGCTAAATGACTAAAATGTAAATGTACTTAAGTGTAGATGAATGAGTGATTATACCTGCATGAATTAGGAGGACCCTGTATCCACCCAAAGCCTTCCCATAGATGTCTTCCAGCTGTTGTAGGGAGTGCAGTGTCGCGCCTCCATTTCCTGAGAGCGAAGTTCAATTCAGTCAAAGTGAAATGCTTCAACGAAATCAGGGGCTGTATGTACCAAGCATCTCAGAGTAGGCTTGCTGATCTAGGATCAGGTCCTCCTTGTCCATGTAATCTTTTTCAATGTGATCTTAAAAGCAAAACTGAAAATGTGTAAATGTACCTATACTCTTCTATCATGTGTAATTGTCCTATGTTTATTGTACTATTTTACTCTGAGACACTTAATAACGGAATATTTAAATCAGAAACAGAACAATAATATAGGTTATCCTCACCTATTTTGGCTCCTGGTGGATCTGAGAACACGTGATAAGGAATGCCAAGTGGGATCTCTTTCCTCTCAAGTTTCTCTGAGATCTGAAGCTCATATGCTTCTCTCTGGTCATCATCCACAGCAGTTAACACAACTAGATCCCAAAACTCTCCAGGTTGCACCTGCTTACCTAAATGACAAAAAAACATGGCTGTGTTTAGACAGGCAGCCCAATTCAGATCTTTTACCAATTATTTGCATATCTGATACCTATCTGGTCTCATCCCTAATGTGTAAACAGCAACAACATAAAACACATGGAATCTGATCTTTTGACTTCCAATTTAAAGCACCATCCTACATATATGACCTCTGTCTGGAAGTTCAGATCACATTTCTTTTTTACTCTTGAAGTGTTGTTGTTGTTATTGTTGTTTTGCACATGACCTGCCGTTACCATGACAACCACCCAACAATTTCATTGAACAGTGATAGGAAATGAGCATGGCATCTGTGGGCTACTTCAGAGCCTACATCAGAGTGAATGTGCAAATCTGATGTGGGTCACACATAAAACTGAGTGTGGACAGTCAGAAAAAAAAGATTGGATATAGAAAGACAAACTGATTTGAGTTCTTAGGGTGTGCAATATATGACACACATATATTAGCTTCTGTGGGATTGTTCGACATTGAAGCCGACAGTGCAGGCGACTGCCGACTGACTGATCTACAAATCACCTTGCATCATAAATAACAACTCATTATTATTTGTAGATCTTGTAGATCAGTCAGTGAGAATTGATCCCTGAAACATCACAGTTTTGATGCTCTCCAACACAACATGGCTAGTGACTAGCCTAGCCCTTGATCATGACTCTCAGTTCCATTGCGTTACACATAAGAGTCATTGGACGAAGGTGTCTTCTGTACGGGGGAGTTTTGTCAAGAGCCCTGACGCTTGGTCTGAACATTAACACACATCGCTTGCGGTACGGTTTTGGAAGGACCTTATCTTTCATATCAGCTAGAAATAATTTTCAAAAAACTAAAATGTTAAATTGATACACATTAGTGTTCCCACACAGACATATCTCCATGCTACAGCACGTGTTAACGGATGACAGACGGAAGACAGAGGGACGACCTGTGCTAATTAGCTTTCTAGCATGCTCGGAACACCTGTGTGTAAAGGAAGAAGGCCGCCAGAACTGTGTTGTCACTGAAAAATACTGTTGGCTGCAATGGCGATTAAGCCGGTTAAAACAGTGCACAGCAGTGGAGGCTGGTGGGAGGAGCTATAGGAGGACAGGCTCATTGTAAGGCTGGAATATAATTAATGGAATGGTATCAAACATATGGTAACCACATGTTTGACTCCTTTCCATTGATTCCATTCCAGCCATTACAATGAGTCCGTCTTCCTATAGCTCCTCCCACCCGTGTACAGTAAGTGTATGTTTTGATGTGATATGAAAGTAAAGGGCTTTATGTTTCTAGAACCGTATCGCAATTGAGAATCGATTCACCTCTGAAAATAACATTTAAGGAGTAATGATAGGCTCCTTAAGAGTATGACTAACCTATGCAGCCAATCAATCAATCAAATTTAACAGCAAAAGCTTTAGGTCAGGTAAATTAAACTTTTGCATTGAAGCTTTAAGTATGAATAGTTACAACAAGCTACACATAGAGATCCTATTAAATTAGTCTTTTAATTCCTAATTCTATAAGGCTACACTTACCACGTAAAGTATCGAATCTTTGAAGTTTCTCACTTGTTGCGATTTGCAACTTCTTACTTCCTTGTTCGTTCATTCTCCTGGCTCAAAGTCAAGTGGTCTAATAATGGATACCAAATGGGGCCGCAGAATGAGTTACATAACATTAGCGTCATTCACCTTTTAGCTTGTAAAACAAAAAAAGTCTATACACTTCTTGTGGATATGGATTGAAATGCTGTGACTAAGTGTTGTTGCCTGCCTCATTTCCGGGTTTGGTCACATGGTTATTTAGTATGCATGATGGTCATGGCTACAATGTATCACTGCAACGTTGTCGAACTCTGCAAAACGAGCAAGGCGGCCAAAAGGAGCCGTTCTGTCAAGTAACAAATTATTGAATAGATTTAGTGAAACAAAAGGCTTTGGCTACAACAAGTCATTTTATGATTGGTGGTTCTTCTCTTCACCTGTGGTTTTGTAGGCATGATGCCAGTTGGGCTAGTGTGGGACTTGTGGTGGTTGTAGAAATGTGTGTGCTAAATGTTCAATGATGAACGCAGTCCAATTCATAGCCTAGTGTCAGATAAACATTTATTTTCAACATTTAGTCATCCGTTCGTTTCTTTCAGACGTTTAAATAGCACATAACCCCGTTATATATATACAGCTTGTTGTCGATATTGACATTGGCCAAAAGTTTATGATAACACCTATTTTATTTGGCAGCAAAGCGAGAAACGCACGCTCAACACACCATGCTTGCTGTCTGCAGCCTCCGCACAACGCAAACCTTTGCAAATGTGCATATTAACTGTAGCCATGACAACATTAAAACCTTGCTGTTCACAGAGACGGCAGCACTGCACAGTGAGTAGCTTAGTTTTATAAGAAATCTAATTCTCTGATGAAATAGCAAAATATTTTACAATCAAATCATTGCAGACTATGTTTTACCTGCTAACTTTTGGTTTTATTAACTTTGTTATTTGTTTAGTTTTTTTAAACAAATGTGGCTAGGCTACTATTGTAATATGACTATTAGCCTATGTAATATGCCTCTTCAAATCAGAGGGAAAATGTGAAGACCCATGAAGAAATGGATTCACTTGATGCCCAGAGGAAATACCTGGTGACCTGCTCAGAGTCCCTTATATTGAGCCATGGTCAGGGACCAGGTTTGGACCTGGAGGAGAAAGAGTCTGACCCTCAACAAGTTGTTATGGTCAATCTGAGCCGCTTACTGCTGAAAAACCTGGATAATTTGGGAAGTTGCAGGTCACTAACAGTATGCATTTTGGCGGACAATTTTATATCCAAGATAGATGCTCTCATCACATGTGTACATATAGTGAAGTTGGATCTTAAAGGAAATCAGGTACTTTTTATTTAATTAAGGCCTAACCTTTATATAACCAGGAAATGCCATTGATGTCAGAAGACCTCTTTCCGAGGGAGACCTGGATAGGACTCAATTCACATGATTTGAGTGGTATATCTTATTCCTTTGCTATACCTGATTGCTACTGTCTGTATCTGATTGTAGAAAACCATTTATATTCTGTATCATACTAAACATCATGGTTAATACTGTATCTTGCTCTCTTTTTTTGAGTTTTGCATTCAGAATATGAAATGTGAGCGTGATGTATTCTAGCTCTGGTCCAGGGTGTTACTGCTACTCCTTAGTAGAGGAACGGGCAGTAAAGCCCTGGACCAGAACTAGATAGATGTATTCCATCTGTCTTTCAGATAACCCAACTCCCCGGCGTAGTGTTCTGGGACAGCCTGAGACGACTCCAGCTTCTCCATCTACATGACAACAACATGGGGACTAGAAAGAACATTGAGGGGTTGTCAGGCTGTCCTAACCTTACGGCGTTGACCCTCTACGACACACCGCTCAGCCTAAAGGGAAACTACAGACACTGCATCATCAACAGCATCTGGTCACTGAAGGCTCTGGATAACTATGTGGTCTCTGACGAGGAGATCATTGAAAACTGGATTCTCCCTCTGCATTTCAAACCCCTCTATCCTAATTTTTACTTGAACCTCTATCCAACAGCTAAGACGGTTTGTAGGCCTTCTTGTGCTCCTTAATGTCATTTGCAATCTGTGTTTCCCATGTTATGTCCATGGTGTATCCTCCATAATTTTTCAATAAACTTTTAAATTGTCTCATCCAGGGGCCTTATCAGAGTGAAATGAGAGCAATCCATAAGATTATATCAGAGGTCAATAGGATCCAGTCCGTTTATTCTCCAACGTTGATCATCCAACGATGGATCAGGGGACATCTGACCAGAAAAAGGCTTGGGTAAAGCGTTTACTGTTGCCATACTGTTCATTGAAAATTGACACAAGTATTCCAATGTACCCATTGATTCTTGAAGAATATAACTGTCGTAACTGAACCCAAAATATAAGCTTGTTTTACTCCAATGTTTGTAAAGAAAGTAAATGTGAACAAACACTGTATAGCCTCAAAACATGGTTAAAACTATAATGTTGATATCATGGATGATCAGTCCTTTGAGAGTAATTACATTTCTCCAGTCCCATCCCTCAGCTTTTTACCGAAACAGTGGCGGGGAGCCCACTGTTATTGTTTCACTTCTGATTGTCCCTTTAAAGAATTGATTTATATAGGAAACCAAATCCTTGTATAGGAGATCATTTTCCTATAGATCATTGACTGCAGACAATCACCTCTCTTTCCTTGTGTATTCTGTGTCATCGTGTTTCACTGAAATGTTATCTGTTTTTATTCTGTCAGACTTGTCCCTGCTGTGCCGAGCCGTAAGAGGTTCAGCCTCAGAGTCCATCTGCCTCCCATCCCCTCTGTGGAGACAGACAGTCAACAGACCCAGGGGGAGACATGGGTCAAAGAGTGCATAGCTGAACAGCACCTGCAGGTTTGGACCCCCCAATAATTTCATTATACCCTGTAGTGTAGCTCAGTGTCAACCGTCTCCGAGTGGGTAATGCTGATCTAGGATCAGTTTTGCCTTTTAGATCATAATAAATAAGATTACATGAACAGGGTGTACCTGATTGTAGATCAGTACTCCTACTCTGAGACACTTGATACTCCTAGAATGAAACACCCACTCAATCCAGCTCTTATGGCCTCCATTAATCCACTTTAATTTGCAGACATGGATGAAATGGGTCTTGTATAAGTTCTCTGAATACTGTCATTGTGGAACCATTTAAAAATAAACAACTAGGAAAACATCTGATATTATTTGTAGAGTTTCTGTTTAAGTAAATAACATTTTCCAATATTTTTCAGAGGCACGAGGAGCGAGATGCGAAAATCAAGAGTTTGTATGTGAATCTGAAGAAATTGGTGCAGGCTGGTAGCCCAGAGGTAAAATGAATCAAGTTAACGTGTTTCTGTGACAGCTATTTTCGTTTTCCCATGCAAAATATGTAATAACATGTGAACTAAATAAGTGTTTTTTCTGTTTGGCAGGTTTTACAAGAGGTGGTGACAAGCCAGGTGTCTTTAGAGGCCAAGAAACAGAAAGACATCAGTCCTCCGCATAACACCCCTCAGAACAGTAAGACCCTGAGGTCCAGCAGAGCCAAGCACAGTGAGGGGGAAAGAGGTAGGCTGCGTCTCAAATGGCACACTATTCCCTATATAGTGCACTACTTTTGACCAAGGCCCTATATAGGGAATAGGGTGCCATTTGGTATGCAGATGTAAGAGTAACATTACAGACTCAAACTCCAGTATGACCATTCTAATCATCACAACACTGTTGTTATTGGAGTATATTTGTGATGATCTTCTCTGTCTCTGATCAGACTTCACTGCTACAGAGGAGTTCTATGAAGAGAAGCTTGGGAAAATGTGTTTCCGCCTCATCGGCTTCAAGGCTCTGATCCACCAGGTCGAGCCTGTCAGCGACATGCTCATCTCCCGGCAACAGGGGGGACAGGACATCCGCAGCGCCATCCGCCTGTTCCACACACAGCGTCCCGAGCCACCCAAGCTGCCTCACCCTCGGCCGCCCCTAATCAACGTCGAGAAGCGTCTGATGGGTCGCTGCCTCGGCTCCATCAGCCTAGCCCCCTTCCAGGTGATTAAGCGGGCCTACCGGATGAGGGAGCAGGCCGAGGCCCTGCAGAGGAGGGCCCAGCAGGTGGCCCGTTCCCAGGCTCGGAGGGAGGGCGCCCAGGGCCAGCGCCACGGCCTCCTGGAGGCCCGCAGGAAGGAGGTGCTCCAGGTGAGAGAGAAGGAGCAGGAGGAGGTGGAGGGGGCCCTGGCCCTGCTGAGAGCCAGCCGGGACAGGGAGATGCAGGAGGTCAGGCAGAGACACGCTGTGTTCCTGGAGGAGAAGAGGAGGCGGGCGTCGGAACGGGCCATGGTTGTTGCTTTCAGCAGGCAGCATGCGTTTCTGTCCAAGACGGTCAACAGGCATGCTGTGCGGCAGAGGCAGAGTCACACCCAGCAGGAGAGGAGTGACATGGTTGCCAGCAGCAAGCAGCAGGCCAGGATTCAGAGGGAACTCATAATGGGGTGCATAGAGGACAGGTACTGTACTTTATAAAGCCTAAATACTGTAGCTGCTTCATGTGACATAGAGATGATATAACAGACCCTTTTTTCCACCACCTATTTAGCATGGCATGCTTATTGATCATTTGAGAGGCATCTATGAAGGCCTTATAAAGGGTTTATGAAGGCTTCATAAAGCCTTGGAAGTTGTTCTTTTAAAGTGGGACCATTCTCATAATGTTTTCTGTTTCGTATTACAGGCAACAGTCTCTAAAGGAGGAGGCCATTGCATCCAGAGTGAACAGAGACACTTATCTGGCCACGAAGCACACCTACCAACTCCTCCGAGCCCAGGAGAGAGTGGCCAGTGTGAAGGCCAGCCATGCCAAGATGGAGGTCCTGCATCCTGTACCGGTCAACCAGACTGCCTGATCACCACCTCTGGTCCCCCTGTATCCCTCTACCATGCTTCTCAAGAGTTAAATGCTATGAACCGTTTTTTGGGGGGCTATTTGTTTATCTTTAATTCTGTTTATGAAACCACAAGGAGTAAGGAATGTGAGGATTCCGGGAGGATGAACAAGAGAGAGGTCAAACCAAGGTCTATAGTGTTTATTGTTTGAGTGAAATCACAGCGATTCATTCACCTCATGGCTTCTACTCATGTTGAAATACTTTTATTTTATTTTTTTAAAGCAAACCATTTGGGTCTCTTTCTGAGATTAGTCTCTCAAATCAAAGTGCTATCACAATTACAGTAAATGTACATCTTGACTACAGTTTTGAAAGGTTGACTACGAACATGATTTAATGAGGTAGAAAATATCCTACCAGTATTTTAAAACAAGCTGCATCTAAATGCTCAGGCATGAACTAGTCTGCTTTTTTTAAATCCATAGTTCAGTAGCTAGAGACAAGGCAGAACATGTACAAGCATGTCAGACTCCAACTGCAGCACAACAAACCAATTTGCATACTTATCTCATGTTCATAGGGCTACTAACTGTTTAATGCCCAGATAAGATCTAACATTTAATACAGAGCTTAGTATTGCACATTTTAGAAAGACGAGGTGAGGTCTAAATAGCCTGGTCCCAGATATGTTTGTGCTGTTTATCCAAGTCATATGGTAATTGTCATGCCAAACTGAGACCAGGCTAAGTTCTGGCAGTCTAAGAGTAAGTAACCTGTAGTGTGGAAATGTACACTGGAATATCACATCAAAGATAGTAACAATAACAGTAACAACAATAAGTCCTTTGACTAATCCCACATTTGAAAATCCCACATTTTAGAAATGCATTAGTTCTGATTTCCTTGGCATTTGGAGTCGATTTGGGGAGGAGGGGGATATCCCAGAACTGGCTCTCCTAGATCTCCTAAGGAGGAGAGGGGTGGATAGGGTAAGCTGTTCCCCAGTGCAGAAAGGGTTTAAAGGGAATGAGCTATCCTAGTTCTCTCCAAGTGCACATAAGGGTAGGGGTGCTGGGCCAGCAGGACAGTACCATTCTGTTGCAGGGCAGAGGGGTGCTGGGCGATACCATTCTGTCACATGGCATAGGGGTGCAGGGAGGCCAGGACGATACCATTCTGTCACATGGCAGAGGGGTGCAGGGAGGCCAGGCTGTCTCTATTCTCCTCCAGGTACTTGTTGCAGGAGTGGAAGGTGCCGTAGAAGCTGGAGGAAAGGCCTGCGATGTCGTTGGAGATGTAGGGGAGGACTCCCGGCGTGGCCTGGTTGTAGTAGGAGATCTGAGGTAAAACACACAGAGACAATGAGAGCAGTGGCCAAAAAAAATGTTATATAATAGTTATGACTGAAAACAATGTAGAAGTACTATCTATCTAGATGTAATGTATATCAAAATATCAAATTACTTTCCTCTTGCTATGTAACTACTGTAGAAAAATAAATTAAAAAATGTATATAAAATGTGTGTAAAAGGTACATGTAACAACAAAAGAAAAAGCTGTAAAAACAACGTTTATTTTTGTCCTCCGAAGAGGGGGGGTGGTGGATGGGCCCCCCAAATGTATTTGTATATACAGTGAGGGAAAAAAAGTATTTGATCCCCTGCTGATTTTGTACGTTTGCTCACTGACAAATAAATGATCGGTCTATAATTTTAATGGTAGGTTTATTTGAACTGTGAGAGACAGAATAACAACAACAAAATCCAGAAAAACGCATGTCAAAAATGTTATAAATTGATATGCATTTTAATGAGGGAAATAAGTATTTGACCCCCTCTCAATCAGAAAGATTTCTGGCTCCCAGGTGTCTTTTATACAGGTAACGAGCTGAGATTAGGAGCACACTCTTAAAGGGAGTGCTCCTAATCTCAGCTTGTTACCTGTATAAAAGACACCTGTCCACAGAAGCAATCAATCAATCAGATTCCAAACTCTCCACCATAGCCAAGACCAAAGAGCTCTCCAAGGATGTCAAGGACAAGATTGTAGACCTACACAAGGCTGGAATGGGCTACAAAACCATCGGCAAGCAGCTTGGTGAGAAGGTGACAACAGTTGGTGCGATTATTCGCAAATGGAAGAAACACAAAATAACTGTCAATCTCCCTCAGCCTGGGGCTCCATGCAAGATCTCACCTCGTGGAGTTGCAATGATCATGAGAATGGTGAGGAATCAGCCCAGAACTACACGGGAGGATCTTGTCAATGATCTCAAGGCAGCTGGGACCATAGTCACCAAGAAAACAATTGGCAACACACTATGCCGTGAAGGACTGAAATCCTGCATCCACCACTTCTTTCCACACTCAGTTTACATGATAAGGTGGGATGAAGAAAGTCACTGAGCTAGCTGGTCCCAGATCTGTTTCTACTGTCTTACCAACTACGGTTGCTGTCATGTTTGACATGACAACAACCATAGAAGTCGGCTTTACAGCACAAACAGATCTGGACCAGGCAAGCTTTTCGTTTAGCTAGCGAAGAGCCCCATTGGCCCACCTTGGTGACAGCGTTGGACTCCTCCCAGATACTGAATCCGGCACAGAGCACCTCCCCCCGGGTGTAGTCCTTAGTGGCAGGGTGGGTCGGCAGGGTGACAGAGCGCAGGGCAATCAGGTACGGGTCCCTGAGAGGGACAGAAGAGGCAGATCGCACCATTAGAGCGTGATTAAAGATGTGGAATTGGGCAGGATGATAGATACAGTACTGTGGGACACAACCAGACCTGGGTAAGTTAGGGTGCATTGAGAACAGAAAAAGAATGCAGTGCCATTGGAAAGTAGGACGGATTGTTGAGTCATTGGGGAACAGTGACCAAGCAAAAAATAAAGCATATTGGTGAAGTCAGGATGCTGATGGATGGATGACAGGCAGGCAATGTTACCTGGAGTCACAGGGCTTCCTCCTAGAGGCCAGGAGGATGAAGTCCTGGCCCTTCCCCCCTTTACTGACACACGGAGTGGCTACGCGGTAGATAGTGTCATCCTCATCTGCCTGGATGATCACATCACACTGTCTACATTGGACGAAAGGGTAAAGGCACACTGTGAAATGGAGGTTTCAATCCAAATGGAGGTTTCAAAAGGATTATAGTAACTACTTTGTGATTGGTTGTGACCACTTGTGGCTGTGTTCTGACTAGCTGTGACTTTGTTGTGACTAGCTCTAACTAGTTGTGACTACTTGTGGCTGTGTTCTGACAAGCTGTGACTTTGTTGTGACTAGCTCTAACTAGTTGTGACTACTTGTGGCTGTGTTCTGACTAGCTGTGACTGTTGTGGCTACATCAGTTGTGAATAGTTGTGGCTGTGTTACCCACTGGTAATGCCTGTCCCACTCATGTCTCCTGCGCAGGTCTGAGAGCAGATGGAAGGCCTGTTCAGCAGGGACGGTGACATGAGTCTCCACCTTAAAACACAGGATCTGGTTCTCCTCCAGCGTGTACAGACTGACCTGGGAACAGATCAGGAAGGAGGGGGTTAAACCATGGAAATGACTATAGGATCTTTACGGGTTAAAGCAGAGTCTATTCCTTTACTACCACAGATATCATATATTATTGACATTTACTGCTATTTTGTGGAAATGTTTTATGTAGCTAGCAGCTTTAAGAAAGACGGTTGACTTGGTCCACATTGCTTCCTCCCAACTTAATCAAATCAACGTGTGGGCCGAATTTGGGGGGGAAAAACTGACTGTGCAATAGAAAGTAATGATTTGATTAGACAGTGGGGAGGAGGAGAGGGGAGACATGCAATTCTTCAACATCATTCTAATGAATAATATCAATGGCATTCAATCATATTCTTACACTGTTCTACACCCTGTACTAACCTTATTTTTCTCAGAGCTTAACATCCAGTTGCTTCGAGCAGCCATTATTTTCAGTGCAGACACATTGTTGTAGCTGAGATACATCTGGGGGAAATAAAGTTTGGATTCAGAATCTGAAGAACGATTTTTTTTTCAAAACAAGCACAGGCCAGCACACAGGGAGGCAGTAGAGAGTTAAATCTGTTACCAAACCCCAACACAACACATGTAATCTAGGAGTAGTAGTAGGTTGTGGTCCGTTTGTGTGTGTGTGTGTGTGTGTGTGTTACCTGGTTGCTGATGTCCCAGGGCACAGACAGAGGAACCTCTGTTTGCTTGCAGGAGATGATGTACTTTCTGTAAACAGACAGTGTATAGTGATGTCAAAACAGATGAAAATGTGTTATGACTCAATGGTTTGGTTTACTGTTTACAAACTAATTCAGGGGTATCACTCAATCAACCCGATTTAATGTGGCCTAGCATGATGTCTTAATAAAAAATAATATACTGTATATCATTTATTTTTAGAGGGGGGGGGGGGGGCTCAATCTACTGAAGGGGGAAAATGAGTTTGACACCCCTGCACTAACTGATAGAAATGGGGAATAGAACCTCACCTGTCCAGACGGATCTTCTTCCTAGCGATAGCCTCTTGATAGCGTCTCTTCCCATCCTGACAATTAAATAAACAAGTGAAATGGGCTTTCACAGTTCTGCACCGACATTGGATGAGCAGAGGCATGTATCTCTTAACATTACAAAATCAACAACCATATGGCATTTCTCAATATACATTGACCTCCATAAACACACACACACACACACACACACACACACACACACACACTCTATCGCTCTCACTCACACACACATACTCCACAGGTCTAACAGCCTGTTCTTCTGAGGTCATCTGCAGAACTCACCACAGGTTCGGGTCGTATCCGGGGCAATGTGCGTGGCTTCCTGTCCTTGTCCAGCACCTCAAAGGTCATGAAGGCGCTGTTGATGTGGCGCAACACACCCGCACCCTGGTAGGCCTCTGCACACACACCCACCTCCATACTGGAACACACACACCCACATACAACTAATATCATACAAACATAAAAGGTTGCCATACCACTTTCCCATTCATTGTTTGTTGCCAGTAAATATCCCTCAAAGCTGAAACTCACTCTCGGGTTGAGTTCATTAGGGCTCACCGTAGCAACAAAAACGAAATCTACGTTTTTCAACAGAAATGAAAACCAGCGGTAATTCTTGGACAGCGGTTGAGAACAAGCGGTTCTCATTTTCTTCAGTTTGGTGCCTAATGAATAAGACCCTATTATTAGGACTCACCTGTGCTTGAAGGCATTGTTAACAATGGCCTTTAGCACCAGCCGGTCCCCAATGTGAGACGGGCCCCGGAAGTGGAACATGTCTATGGTCCTCAGAGTGGGGTGAGCGTTACACAGACGACTGGAAAGTAAGAGTGAGATGAGATACAGAGAGAATGAAGGAAATATAGAGAGTATATTAGACTAAGAGCTCAACCTGGTTTTGATCATCTACTCATTCTACTAAATATACTGAACAAAAATATAAACGCACCATGCAACAATTTCAAAGATTTTACTGAGTTACAGTTCATATAAGGAAATCAGTCAATTTAAATCAATTAAGTCCTAACCTATGGATTTCACATGACTGGGCAGGGGTGCAGCCATGGGTGGGCCTGGGAGGCCCACCCACTGGGGAGCCAGTCCCAGCCAAACAGAATGAGTTTTTCCCAACAAAAGGGCTTTATTACAGACAGAAATACTCCGCAGCACCCCCCCCCCCACCCCACCCAGACGATCCCACAGGTGAAGAAGCCGAATGTGGAGGTCCTGTGCTGGCGTGGTTACACGTGGTCTGCAGTTGTGAGGCCGGTTGGACGTACTGCCAAATTCTCTAAAACGACGTTGGAGGCAGCTTATGGTAGAGAAATTACCATTAAATTCTCTGCCAACAGCTCTGGTGGACATTACTGCTGTCAGCATGCCAATTACACGCTCCCTCAAAACTTGAGACATCTGTGGCATTGTGTTGTGTGACAAAACTGCACTTATTTTTTTTGTTTAATCAGCTTCTTGATATGCCACACCTTTCAGGTGGATGGATTATTTTGGCAAAGGAGAAATGCTCACTAACATGGATATAAACAAATTTGTGCACAAAATGTAAAATAAATAAGCTTTGTGTGCGTATGGAAAATGTCTGGGATTTTTTATTTCAGCTCATGAAACATGGGACCAACACTTTACATGTTGTGTTTATATTTTTGTTCAGTGTATATTAAAGGCCCAGTGCAGTCAAAAACAAGATTTTTCTGTGTTTTATATATATTTCCACACTGTGAGGTTGGAATAATACTGTGAACTTGTGAGAAATGATGATAATGCCCTTTTAGAGTAAGAGCTGTTTGTTAAGAAAACTGTTTGATGGGATGGAATTCTGGCCTGCCTAAATTAGTTAATAGACCAATAAGAAAGAGTTCTAAACCTAGTTTTCAGTTTCCCCCACCCCACTCAGACAGTCCTAGCAAAAGTCTTGCTTGAGAAATTGATCTTTGCTAAGAAGCTAGTTCTGTTTATTTTTGAAAAAAATCACAATAAGGTACTTAATTGTTACCCAGAAATGATTGGATATTGAGATAAAAACATCTGCATTGGGCCGTTAATATATACTAACTATCTCCATATTCTGTCACAGTAAGAAACCTGATTATCTCTATGAGAAGGACAGGCTACTGACACACAGGCTACAGACAGACACTCACCATGCTGCGATGGTGGCCACGTTCTCCATCCAGGCCATGATCTGACCCCCGAAGGTACTGACTTGGTGGTTGGCATGGGGAGGCAGCACAAGCTCCACGCTCTCCACCCGCGTCCGCTCGGCTGACACCGCACCCTGGTACTCCTGGCACTCTCCTGTTGACACGCACGCACACAAACACACACACACACACACGCACACGCATGCACACACACACACACACACACACACACACTAGAGGGTAATACTGCTGTTCACCAGGCTGGGCACGGGTGTGACTGCCACTGATTTCACTTCACATTAGAGATAAGTGTGACTTGGACATCTGAGGCATCCTGTGACATATAAAGGCTATAAATAGGGCCTTATAAGATGTAACTAGGGCCTTATAGGGCCTTATAAGATGTAACTAGGGCCTTATAGGGCCTTATAAGATGTAACTAGGGCCTTATAGGGTCCTTATAAGCTGTAACTACCTTCACATCATTTAGCATTCACATCATCTTATCCAGAACGACTTACAGGAGCAATTAAGGTTAAATGCCTTGCTCACAGGAATGTCGGCAGATTTTTCACCTAGTCAGCTCTGGGATTCGAACCAGCAACCTTTCAGTTACTGGCCCAACACTCTTAACCACTATAATACCTAGTTGAGCTTTGTGTTGATAGTAAAATACCTAGTTCAGCTGTGTGTTGACAGTGTGATACCTTGTTGAGCTGTGTGTTGACAGTATAATACCTAGTTCAGCTGTGTGTTGACAGTGGGATACCCTGTTGAGCTGTGTGTTGACAGTATAATATCTAGTTGAGCTGTGTGTTGACAGTATAATACCTAATTGAGCTGTGTGTTGATAGTAAAATACCTAGTTGAGCTGTGTGTTGATAGTATAATACTAGTTGAGCTGTATGTTGACAGTATAATACCTAGTTGAGCTGTGTGTTGACAGTATAATACTAGTTGAGCTGTGTGTTGACAGTATAATACCTAGTTGAGCTGTGTGTTTCAGTGTGTTGACAGCATAATACCTAGTTGAGCTGTGTGTTGACAGTATAATACCTAGTTGAGCTGTGTGTTGACAGCATAATACCTAGTTGAGCTGTGTGTTGACAGTATAATACCTAGTTGAGCTGTGTGTTGACAGTATAATACCTAGTTGAGCTGTGTGTTGACAGTATAATACTAGTTGAGCTGCGTGTTGACAGTATAATACCTAGTTGAGCTGTGTGTTTCAGTGTGTTGACAGCATAATACCTAGTTGAGCTGTGTGTTGACAGTATAATACCTAGTTGAGCTGTGTGTTGACAGCATAATACCTAGTTGAGCTGTGTGTTGACAGTATAATACCTAGTTGAGCTGTGTGTTGACAGCATAATATCTAGTTGAGCTGTGTGTTGACAGTATAATACCTAGTTGAGCTGTGTGTTGATAGTAAAATACCTAGTTGAGCTGTGTGTTGACAGTATAATACCTAGTTGAGCTGTGTGTTGACAGTATAATACCTAGTTGAGCTGTGTGTTGACAGTATAATACCTAGTTGAGCTGTGTGTTGACAGTATAATACCTAGTTGAGCTGTGTGTTGACAGTAAAATACCTAGTTGAGCTGTGTGTTGACAGTATAATACTTAGTTGAGCTGTGTGTTGACAGTATAATACCTAGTTGAGCTGTGTGTTGACAGTATAATACCTAGTTGAGCTGTGTGTTGACAGTAAAATACCTAGTTGAGCTGTGTGTTGACAGTATAATACCTAGTTGAGCTGTGTGTTGACAGTATAATACTAGTTGAGCTGTGTGTTGACAGTATAATACCTAGTTGAGCTGTGTGTTTCAGTGTGTTGACAGCATAATACCTAGTTGAGCTGTGTGTTGACAGTATAATACCTAGTTGAGCTGTGTGTTGACAGCATAATACCTAGTTGAGCTGTGTGTTGACAGTATAATACCTAGTTGAGCTGTGTGTTGACAGCATAATACCTAGTTGAGCTGTGTTGCTGCTCAGTAGGTCTGTTATGATCTCAGCATGGGTCAGTCTCATCCTCCTCCTCTCTGCCGCGATGCTGTACTCCATCTGCTCTGTCTGCGTCCGCGGAATCACCTGCTTCAGCTGCACCTGCACGCACACACACACACACACATACCCACACACACACACACACACAGTGTTGGTGTGTGTGCCCTCCTATTGAAGCATGACATATTGATGTGGTTGATATGTCTAACACTGTCAAACCAAGATGGGTGCCCTCTCTCTCTTTCTCGCTCTTCAGCCCTCACCTTCCCCTCCTCAGTGCGTCGCGCCACAAAGGTGGCAAAGGCATTGCACACGTTCCACTGGCAGCTACTGAACAGGTCCTCACAGCTCACCGCGATGCCCACCTGAGGATAGTGCCCACATGGCATCACATCATGACACCAGGCAGAGTGTCAGACATATTGTTACATAAAGTTCAAGTCGGAAGTTTACATACACTTAGGTTGGAGTCATTAAAACTCGTTTTTCAACCACTCCACAAATTTCTTGTTAACAAACTATAGTTTTGGCAAGTCGGTTAGGACATCTACTTTGTGCATGAGAAGGAATTTTTCAAACAATTGTTTACAGACAGATTATTTCAATTATAATTCACTGTATCACAATTCCAGTGGGTTAGAAGTTTACATACACTAAGTTGACTGTACCTTTAAACAGCTTGGAAAATTCCAGAAAATGATGTCATGGCTTTAGAAGCTTCTGATAGGCTAATTGACATCATTTGAGTCAATTGGAGGTGTACCTGTGGATGAATTTCAAGGCCTACCTCCAAACTCAGTGCCTCTTTGCTTGACATCATGGGAAAATCAAAAGAAATCAGCCAAGACCTCAGAAAGAAAATTGTAGACCTCCACAAGTCTGGTTCATCCTTGGGAGCAATTTCCAAATGCCTGAAGGTACCACGTTCATCTGTACAAACAATAGTACGCAAGTATAAACACCATGGGGCCACGCAGCCGTCATACCGCTCAGGAAGGAGACACGATCTGTCTCCTAGAGATGAACGTACTTTGGTGTGAAAAGTGCAAATCAATCCCAGAACAACAGCAAAAGACCTTGTGAAGATGCTGGAGGAAACAAGTACAAAATATTCTATATCCACAGTAAAACGAGTCCTATATCGACATAAACTGAAAGGCCGCTCAGCAAGGAGGAAGCCACTGCTCCAAAACCGCCATAAAAAAGCCAGTCTACGGTTTGCAATTGCACATGGGGACAAAGATCGTACTTTTTGGAGAAATGTCCTCTGGTCTGATGAAACAAAAATAGAACTGTTTGGCCATAATGACCATCGTTATGTTTGGAGGAAAAAGGGGTATGCTTGCAAGCCGAAGAACACCATCCCAACCGTGAAGCACGGGGGTGGCAGCATCATGCTGTTAGGGTGCTTTGCTGCAGGAGGGACTGGTGCACTTCACAAAATAGATGGCATCATGAGGAAGGAAAATTATGTGGATATATTGAAGCAACATCTCAAGACATCAGTCAGGAAGTTAAAGCTTGGTCGCAAATGGGTCTTCCAAATGGACAATGACCCCAAGCATACTTGCAAAGTTGTGGCAAAATGGCTTAAGGACAACAAAGTCAAGGTATTGGAGTGGCCATCACAAAGCCCTGACCTCAATCCTATAGGAATTGTGTGGGCAGAACTGAAAAAGCGTGTGCAAGCAAGGAGGCCTACAAACCTGACTCAGTTACAACAGCTCTGTCAGGAGGAATGGGCCACAATTCACCCAACTTATTGTGGGAAGCTTGTGGAAGGCTACCTGAAACGTTTGACCCAAGTTAAACAATTTAAAGGCAATGCTACCAAATACTAATTGAGTGCTACACCGGCTCTGACGCTCGTCGAATGTGGCAGGGCTTGAAAACTATTATAGACTACAAAGGGAAGCACAGCCGCGAGCTGCTCAGTGACACAAGACTTCCAGACGAGCTAAACCACTTCTATACTCACTTCGAGGCAAGCAACACTGAACCATGCATGAGAGCACCAGCTGTTCCGGATGACTATGTGATCACGCTCTCCGTAGCCGATGTGAGTAAGACTTTTAAGCAGGTCAACATTCACAAGGCCGCAGGGCCAGACGGATTACCAGGACGTGTACTCCGAGCATGTGCTGACCAACTGGCAAGTGTCTTCACTGATATTTTCAACATGTCCCTGACTGAGTCTGTAATACCAACATGTTTCAAGCAGACCACCATAGTCCCCGTGCCCAAGGACACTAAGATAACCTGCCTAAATGACTACCGACCCGTAGCACTGACGTCTGTAGCCATGAAGTGCTTTGAAAGGCTGGTCATGGCTCACATCAACACCATTATCCCAGAAACCCTAGACCCACTCCAATTTGCATACCGCCCCAGCAGATCCAAAGATGATGCAATCTCTATTGCACTCCACACTGCCCTTTCCCACCTGGACAAGAGGAACACCTACGTGAGAATGCTATTAATTGACTACAGCTCAGCGTTCAACACCATAGTGCCCTCAAAGCTCATCACTAAACTAAGGATCCTGGGACTAAACACCTCCCTCCGCAACTGGATCCTTGACTTCCTGACGGGCCGCCCCCAGGTGGTAAGGGTAGGAAACAACACATCTGCCACACTGATCCTCAACACGGGGGCCCCTCAGGGGTGCGTGCTCAGTCCCCTCCTGTACTCCCTGTTCACCCATGACTGCATGGCCAGGCACGACTCCAACACCATCATTAAGTTTGCCGACGACACAACAGTGGTAGGCCTGATCACCGACAACGATGAGACAGCCTATAGGGAGGAGGTCAGAGACCTGGCCGTGTGGTGCCAGGATAACAACCTCTCCCTCAACGTGACCAAGACAAAGGAGATGATTGTGGACTACAGGAAAAAAAAGTGGACTGAGCACGCCCCCATTCTCATCGACGGGGCTGTAGTGGAACAGGTTGAGAGCTTCAAGTTCCTTGGTGTCCACATCATCCATGGTCCAAACACACCAAGACAGTCGTGAAGAGGGCACGACAAAGCCTATTCCCCCTCAGGAGACTGAAAATATTTGCCATGGGTCCTCAGATCCTCAAAAAATTCTACAGCTGCACCATCGAGAGCATCCTGACTGGTTGCATCACTGCCTGGTATGGCAACTGTTCGGCCTCCGACCGCAAGGCACTACAGAGGGTAGTGCGTACGGCCCAGTACATCACTAGGGCCAAGCTTCCTGCCATCCAGGACCTCTATACCAGGCGGTGTCAGAGGAAAGCCCTCAAAATTGTCAAAGACTCCAGCCACCCTAGTTATAGACTGTTCTCTCTGCTACCGCACGGCAATTGGTACCGGAGTGCCAAGTCTAGGTCCAAAAGACTTCTTAACAGCTTCTACCGCCAAGCCATAAGACTCCTGAACAGCTAATCATGGCTACCCAGAATATTTGCACTGCCCCACCACCCCCACCCCCCACCCCATCTTTTTATGCTGCTGCTACTCTGTTAATTATTTATGCATAGTCACTTTAACTCTACCCACATGTACATATTACTTCAACTACCTCAACTAGCCGGTGCCCCCGCACATTGACTCTGCACCGGTACCCCCCTGTAGATATAGCCTCCCTACTGTTATTTTATTTTACTTCCACTCTTTTTTTCTCAACACTTTTTTGTTGTTGTTTTATTTTACTTTTTTATAAAAAATAAATGCACTGTTGGTTAAGGGCTGTAAGTAAGCATTCGGCGCATGTGGACAATTAAATTTGATTTGATTTGATTTGTATGTAAACTTCTAACCCACTGGGTAAGTCGCTCTGGATAAGAGCGTCTGCTAAATGACTAAAAATATTTTTTAAAATTGCAATGTGATGAAAGAAATAAATCACTCTACTATTATTCTGACATTTCACATTCTTAAAATAAAGTGGTGATCCTAACTGACCTAAGACAGGGAATTTTTACTCGGATTAAATGTCAGGAATTGTGAAAAACTGAGTTTAAACGTATTTGGCTAAGGTGTATGTAAACTTCCGACTTCAACTGTACATATATTACTAAGGTTGGGTCCCAAATGGCAACCTCTGTTCCCTATATTGTGCATCATTTTTTACAAGATCCCTCATTGAACGCTGTTCACTTTAATAATGTTTACATACTGTTTTACCCACTTTATATGTACATACTGCTGTACACACCATTCACATATATTTAATTATATTGCTCATTCTCAGGTCTTAATACTTGTTATTTTCTTCTTTCTTTTGAGGGGGAGGAGGATTATGTGTGTATTGTTATTGTATTGCTAGATATTGCTGCATTGTTGGAGCTAAAAAAAACATAAGCATTTCGCTGCACTTGCGATAACATCTGCAAAACCGTGTACGCGACCAATAAACTTTGATTTGATTTCAAGTAGTGTACTATATAGAGAATAGATTACCATTTGGTGAATTAAATGGGACTAGATTCTACAGTAAAGAACACAGGTTGTAAACAGGGATCATCTATTATGGAACAGCCTTGTGTATCATTTCTCTCCCCGACATACATTATAAATGATTTCAAAACAAAAATTCCAAAGATTAAATATTTACTACACAAAGATCAAAGATGGTGTCCCCACAAACCTCCATGCTGGATGTGAAGGCTCTGTTGACTTTTGCCTTGATGTTAACAACCTGTCCGACTCTGCGTGCAAACAAACAAACATTTATATGATCAACATTGGACAGTGGTTACAGTGTAAACAGAAGAACACCAGCCCCTCCTTTCTGTGGCTAAGCTAAAGGCTATAAGTCACTGTAAATATACTGAAAAGGTCTGTTTCAGGAAGTGAAATACATACCCTATAGTGTGCTCAAAGTGGATGTCGTCAACAGAGGCAGTAATACAGGGAGACCCAGCGTGTCTTTCAGCTGTGACAACATAGAGGTCCATAAACATCACATGTACAGTACATACAGTGGGATGAAAAAGTATTTAGTCAGCCACCAATTGTGCAAGTTCTCCCACTTAAAAAGATGAGAGAGGCCTGTAATTTTCATCATAGGTACACGTCAACTATGACAGACAAAATTAGGAAAAAAAAATCCAAAAAATCACATTGTAGGATTTTTAATGAATTGATTTGCAAATTATGGTGGAAAATAAGTATTTGGTCACCTACAAACAAGCAAGATTTCTGGCTCTCGCAGACCTGTAACTTCTTCTTTAAGAGGCTCCAATGTCCTCCACTCGTTACCTGTATTAATGGCACCTGTTTGAACTTGTTATCAGTATAAAAGACACTGGCATAGTGTACCTATGATGAAAATTACAGGCCTCTCTCATCTTTTTAAGTGGGAGAACTTGCACAATTGGTGGCTGACTAAATACTTTTTTCCCCCACTGTATATGCCTTCTCGGCTGACAGGACTCCATAGCTGTTGATCTCAATCCACGTCTTGGAGGGCTGCAGTCAGAGTCTGCGTCCCAAATTACACTTTATTTCCTATAAGTGTACTATTTTTGGCCAGAGCCCCAGGTTGGGACTTGGGAGGGACCACTTTTCTTTAGAGGTCATCCTATGAGGTTAAGGTCATAGCTCACCAGACAGGCAGGCTGTGGAGTCCATCCACTTGAGCAGCTGTCCCACACTGAGCTCTCCACAGTGGTTGGTGTGGCAGGGCATCACGATCTGGCTCATCTTGACCTCCGTGGGGTTCCTGTACACCTCGCCACTCTCCAGGATGAAGAGGGGGTCCTCCATGGGGTCCCGGTCGCCCTTCTCACACGACATGATTCTGTACTGGACAGGGGGGGGGGTTGGGGGGGGCACAGGGGAAAAGTAGAAGTCAAAGTTTATTACAGTACATGAAAGGGATAGTCTCAATCTAGTGTGTCATGGTCATGGAACACTATACAGTATAACAATTTATTGTACACTGTTTCATCTCTTTAAAAGTTGCTGCTAGGTTGGTTTTAGAATACAAACAACAAAGAATATTGTAGTTATTCGAGCTCTTTGAATAAATTATATTATTTCATTATGCCAAGGTCTTAATGGCACCCTATTCATCACATTCGAGGAAGTCCTAATCTAGTTACAAGGAAAACTAATTCAGAACAAAACAGATTATTTCACAGTCTGAGCTAGGCCTACTTGGCTCACAGAAGGATTGAGGTGAACAACAGGCAATTCCCACCCTAACTGCTTTGTTTATACAATGGGTCTCATGGAAATATCAAAATAACTTCTAAAAGGAGTAATCATTGGTCACATCTCTGAAACAAATAACTAAACATTTTGTTCCTCTATTTTGTGCTATTTTTTCTGTTTTTGTGCCTTCAAATAATACTTTATTCGCTCAAGCAGCACAGTCATTTTGGACCAGAGCCACTGCCCCAACAAAATATTGATTGTGCTTCACAAAACAAGGTGCTTTACTAGGGAATAATCTGCAGCCCACTTTGTCATCTGACAGATTGCTTAAAACCACTATTTTCCCCCCTCGACAAACTAATAATGCTGTATTATAATACCCTTAGTGAATTGGATAGGAAACTGGACAGACTCGCTGACTGTAGACTACACATAAGGTTGAAACGAAATCAACTTCAAGAAATAGAAACGAAATCAACTTCAAGAAATAGACTACAGTGTATTCTTCTATCACGGCTAAAATAGAATGTTGTCGTTAATCCATTCGTATTATCAACTGTCTGTTCCAGCTGTCTGTTGACATGACCTGGTCACCTGTCTAGTGCTTGCCGGGCATGCGACATAGCGGAGCAGTAGCAGTGACGTCCAATAGACTGCTTTACTGTACTGACGGGATTCGTCCAGTTATTCGGTTATTATCTCACACTCATGAGATAGCTAGACTACTAGGCTATACGCGTGGTGGAATGAGTCACTCACTAATGGAATAGATTGACAGAGTAAAACGTGACAGAGTAAAAACAATGATTAGGCAATCGCTTTTAAACGTTTTACATAATTTCCCAAGACAATAAAATAGACTTACCCAAAGTTAACTTTTCTGCTGACGGTCAGGTGACATTTGCATGAATTAATAAGTAAAACAAAACGTCAGTCTCGTGAAGAAAAGTCTGCACACCACCCCCTCTCTGTCCATTCCTTCATTCTTCCGACGCAACTGTGTGGCATAAATGTCATCATGTGTATAAACCCGGGACGACTGTAACACCGCCCAGCCATCTTGGTACTCCTCCTCCGTTGGAAAAAAAAAAAGATTTTGGAAGCTATAGAAATGTATTTACTAATGTCTACATTCGTTTTTGACACGTTTATTGTATTACAGACCTTAATGCATACTTTTAAATACATTATGTGAGCTAAACATTTTTTTTTTTTTTTTTTTTATGTTTTTTAATCCTTCCAGTATGTTTTTCAGAGAGTACTAATGTTACTGTCCCCACTACAAAATATATATATATATGTTATTTTGTCCTTGAAACATTTAATTGAAATACTGAAGAATTCCATTCATTCCTATGGAGGACTGCTACTAATGGAGAGTGCCAATATGGCCGACCAGTTGCTTCCAAGCCTTTCAACTGCCAATACATAGTGTTAGCAATCAAGGGTTTATATACATCACTGGTGGCATGACGCCGCTAAACAGAGCAGACACACCTCCTGTTGGTGGAGTTGGGGGACCAATTTAACTTAAACTTTTTAAGGTGGAACTTTAATGTGGAAATGGTCCATTAATAGTACTAAATATTTAAAGCTGAGATCTGCATGAAAAAGCGCCAACGGTCGCCCCAGGGTATTAAAAAAATTGTTTTAAACGGGGCAGAGGAGCATCCTGCAGCATGGTAGAAATATTTTATAGTAGGCTAAATACTCTGCTGTTGTATTGGGCTTGCAATGAGTTGCAATGACGTTTGAGAGAGAAAAAACAACGGTGTTCGTTGTTTAAAGTAGCATCTTTGTTGTTGTTGTTGTTGTTGTTATATCGCAAACGGATCTTGGAAATGGTTCATAATTCTAAAGTGAATATTTACATTCATCTACTGAGAAATAAACCAAACAAACAGGTGCGAGTTGGCAGCTATAATGCGCTTGCATTGATTGGGGAAATCCAATAATTGGGGAAAGTCCATGCAAGGCTTGATCCAGCGCCCCTGCGGAAATTGAGCAAGTACATTACCATCCTGTGCCATAGGTCCACACCTCTTGGCAGACCTCTGTCCAAGGGAGGTAACACTATTCCTCCTTTCTCATACACAACCCAATGTGAACAGGGACATTTTAGGGATTACCATACTTCTATCACCAGCGATTGAGAGTGAACAACCCGAATGGGGCTTAATCCAGATCCAATGACCATGTACTGAATGAGCTGTGCCATAAAGGTTCAGATCTATTGCCTGAGATGGCATATAATAATAATAATAATAAGCCATTTAGCAGACACTTTTATCCAAAGCGACTTACAGTCATGTGTGCATACATTTTTACGTATGGGTGGTCGCTGGGATCGAACCCACTACCCTGGCGTTACAAGCGCCGTGCTCTACCAACTGAGCTACAGAGGACCACTATGGCAAATATTATATATTATTATAACGAGGCTGTAGTAGCATAGACACACGTGATCACGCTTTCTTACCTGTTTAGTCTGGAAGGAAAGTAGGACCTATCCTACAAATACATGTCCCCCTCACATTCTGAAATTGAATTTTTGTCCCCCCCCAGTTGTATCATTGGAATGTGATACAAAACGAGGCAACTGTGTGCTTTAGGACCATGCGGATGCGTCTGATCGGTCAGGTAGGCTGTTTGGAGTGTTTATCCGACTGGATAAAAAAATAAAAAAATATGATTATGCCCCCCCCCCCCCCCCCCCCCCCCTTCTAAAACCAAAGTTGTGCCCCTGTACAGGCCTATACCCCAATGTCCCCTGACAGATAACTCATATAGTCTATAGTGAATTTAAGGTTACAGGTTGAGAACCAAGAGATTTGTCCTTTTATTTTTTTTTAACACAATGTTTACAGAACGAGTGCTGCACTATGGCAGGTTTGTCCTGTCACAACTTACCCCATTAAGTTAAGATTCGTTCATAACCAAGTGGGAAGGTGGTAATTACTAGTTGTGAAGTTGTAAATACCAGTTCAAATCAAATCAAATTGTATTTGTCACATGCGCCGAATACAACAGGTGTAGACCTTAACGTGAAATGCTTACTTACAAGCCCTTACAACAATGCAGTTCAATAAATAGAGTTAAGAAAATATTTACTAAATAAACTAAAGTAAAAAAATAAAATCAAAAAGTAACACAAGAAAATTACATAAAAATAACGAGGCTATATAGGGTACCAAGTCAAAGTTGAGAAACGCTGTTTGACTAATGGCCAACAAGCTGCATCAACCATAAGATAAAAGTAAAGCTATCATGCTTTTAAACCAATGATAGTGTTGAAAAACCATATTAATAGATTTATTTTTTATAAATAAGGTTTGCTGTTATTTTTAACTGCCGAAAATCTTGTTATCGAGATAATTTCCTTAGTAGGCGACGTCAGAGGTCAGCATGTGGGAGAAGTCGGAGCTCAGGGATGGATGAGGAGTTACCCACTTGTAATTACCAGTTGGAGGGGCATTCAAGTTCATTTTTCCCAGTCATATGTGGTAAATACCACCTTCCCAGTTGGTTATGAATGCAACTCGGCTTTCGAGTTGAACTGCATTCTCGTATCTGGAGGCCTATTTGGTTTACATAAATTCACCGGCCGATCAGGTATTAGATGTGAGTTGTCAATGAGAACAAAAATAGGTTAAACAAAAAATATATATACTTTCAGCTAACTAGTTTGAGTCTAATCGGATTCAAACAAAATGAGAAGACAATGTTTTAACGATTGTGGAGAAATGATCAACTGTATGGGTATGTGAGGCTACAGTAGGATAGCTTTTAATTTGCAAAGTACCAGAAACAGAAGGCTAATGACAATACAATTGGTAGCAATGTGATAACAGGACATTCTAATTGAACGTTTTAGGATACAATACTCCTTTTCAGCCAGACGCGTGACAGAGCGTGTAGCTTGTTTACCTACGGGGCTTCTTCACAGTCAACAGTTTTCAGGGACCCGTGAACCTATTCCATATCAACAACCAATAAAATGTCTCTTTTTACTTGCAGTTTTCTTAAAGGGGAAGATGCTGCTACTTCAGTTCAAATCAAATCAAATTGTATTGGTCACATACACTTGTTTAGCAGATGTTATTGCGGGTGTAGCGAAATGCTTGTGCTTCTAGCTCCGACAGTGCAGTAATATCTAACAAGTAATATCTAACAATTTCACAACATATATATATATTTTTTTATTTTTTTATTTCACCTTTATTTAACCAGGTAAACCAGTTGAGAACAGGTTCTCATTTACAACTGCGACCTGGCCAAGATAAAGCAAAGCAGTGCAATAAAAACAACACAGAGTTACATATGGGGTAAAAAAACATAAAGTCAAAAATACAACAGAAAATATATATACAGTGTATATACCCAATACACACAAATCTAAGTAAGGAATTAATTAAGAATATATACATATATGGATGAGCGATGTCAGAGCGGCATGGACTAAGATACAGTAGAATAGTATAGAATACAGTATATACATATGAGATGAGTAATGCAAGACATGTAAACATGATTAAAGTGGCTAGTGTTCCATTTCTTAAAGTGGCCAGTGATTTCTAGTCTTATGTCTATAGGCAGCAGCCTCTAATGTGCTAGTGATGGCTGTTTAACAGTCTGATTGCCTTGAGATATAAGCTGTTTTTCAGTCTCTCGGTCCCAGCTTTGATGCACCTGTACTGACCTCGCCTTCTGGATGATAGCGGGGTGAACAGGCAGTGGCTTGGGTGGTTGATGTCCTTGATGATCTTTTTGGCCTTCCTGTGACATCGGGTGCCGTACGTGTCCTTGAGGGTGGGTAGTTTGCCCCCGGTAATGCATTGTGCACCCTCTGGAGAGCCTTGCGGTTGCGGGTGGTGCTGTTGCCGTACAAGGCGGTGATACAGCCCGACAGGATGCTCTCAGTTGTGCATCTGTAAATGTTTAGGTGCCAAGCCACATTTCTTTAGCCTCCTGAGGTTGAAGATGCTCTGTTGCACCTTCTTCACCACACCGTCTGTGTGGGTGGTCCATTTCAGTTTGTCAGTAATGTGTACGCCAAGGAACTTGAAGCTTTCCACCTTCTCCACTGCGGTCCCGTCGATGTGCATAGGGGGGTGCACCCTCTGCTGTTTCAGATCTAATACTCTTGAATAGTAAATTATAAACATTAGACTAGATGGAAACAGGTGGTAGCCTACACCTATGATAAAAACCATAACATAAATAACCTACTTCTTGGGAAAAAACCTTTGCATTTCACAATAGTCTATGGACTGTGACATTTCAACCACAGAAATGAAACAGAATATGGGTTAACATTAGCAAAAGCAGCTAGGCTACAATGAAAATACACAAAATGTTCTATTTGCTTATGTCCTATGGATAAAGTATAATTTAGGCTCATTGAGAGGGCTAAAACTGAAGTGCTTGTCTAGATGATACCACTCAATGTTGAAGATATTGTGCCTTTTATTCTAACTTTGCATGATAATAAACGTTGGGATATGTAAAGTAGATGGCCTACTGCAACAGCCACCTCCAATTGGCAACAGAAAAGCGTGACATACGTTAAGGCAGGGCTATATGGAATTCCTGTACGCTCATTGGTGAAAAAAGTTGCCAGTCAATTTAGCACTATCCCCTTCTCCTTGACCATGCTCGGTTGAGAAGTGCGGTAGGAGTGCGAGAGAGGTTCGCGGCGGTGGCTGACTGATGGTCGGACAGATGAAATAGCGAAAATAGAGAAAGAGAAGGCGGGCGTTCTCCCTCACAAAATCATGTTCCCTAAAGGCAAAGGGTCCGTTGTGCCGTCGGATGGGCAAGCACGGGAAAAGTAAGTTTTCAAACATATTTCATACCTAATGCATATTGTACCCCCCGTTCCTCGGCTTTGTGGTTTGCCGGACAGCGAATTTCCTCTTACCGAGGGGGATGGAATTGAATGAACCGCCTTGTCTGCTCGCCATTCGTTCCCGATTCTGACTTCGGCTTTATACTCTTCCTTGGCCTCATTACTGAACGTAAATGGTTGCTTTTATTTTCAGTTCAGCGTCTGTAAACTATATCTATAGATTTTGTTTGTGGAAAAATGAGTATCGTGAACAAATGCACCTTCCAATTTGCTTTATGTATTTTTTCTGTTACATTAATTGATTAAAAGGTTGCTTCCCCAATGTTTCGGTTACTACTTCGTTTGAGTTCGCCGCTACGAAGGTCGTCTCCAACACTCATTTATCGACCTATAATTACGCGTTTTCTTCTTGGTTACAATGTTTCCAATTTGAAGTGTTTGGAAAGCCATCGTGCGAAAATACCCTTTGGAGTCGGTGTTCCATGCAAAACGTTGAATGAAAATTCAGGGGTGTATTCATCCCGCCGATTCTGTTGCAAAACGTTTCTTAAACTGAAGTGAACCAAATGGGGCGGGACCTACCAGAATTTCTCTAATAGAAACTCTCGTTTTAGTTGAAAAACGGAACTGCAACTGTTTGGACAAATGATTACACCCCTGGTCTGTCGATCATGTGCCCCAAAGTGCAAGACATCTTAGTTGATTGGAGACCCAAACACCCATTAGGCCTAATTAATTTACCTCCGTTTGTGTAGGCTAATGTGTCTGCGTTGAAATGGAGTCAAATAAGGCTAATTTAGAGTAGCCTAAAATACTTGCTTTTTATGCCATAATATTATTCAAACTGTTTTTTATTTATTTCACAGGTTAGCTTTATACGTCTATGAATATTTGTTACACATAGGAGCACAGAAGTCCGCACAGACCTTTTTATCAGAGGTGAGTATCTTACTACTAACTGGATATCAGTCCTATCCATGTGACCATACTTCAACAACAAACTAATTCCCATTTTGAATCAATAAATGTCATAGTTTTTTTTGTTAAAGTAGGCCCTATTGTTCATGCACAATTTTTTTATTCACCCCTTTTCCAGATCCGATGGGAAAAGAACATCACACTCGGGGAACCCCCTGGGTTCCTACACTCTTGGTGGTGGTAAGTGTTCCGTATGTCAATCAGTGGAGGCTGCTGAGGGAGGACGGCTCATAATAATGGCTGGAATGGAGTCAATGGAATGGTATCAAACGCGATTTCCATGTGTTTGATGCCATTCCGTTGACTCCATTCCAGCCATTATTATGAGCCATCCTCCCCTCAGCAGCCTCCACTGATGTCAATACACCATATTGTATCATGTACATTATTCCGTTGCTCCACGAGCTGTGTGTCTTGTCCACAGTGTATTTTGGGACCTGTATTGCGCCGCACCAGAGAGAAGAGAGACGTGTGACCACTCCAGTGAAGCGAAGGCCTTCCATGATTACGTGAGTTCTGCTCCTCCTCATAAGACTTGCTGCTGCACATGTTGCTGGGGTTCTGCTGAAGAGCCTGGGCCCGTATTCATAACGCGTCTGAGTGCTGATGTAGGATCAGGTCCCTCTGTCCATATAATCGTATTCATTATGATCTTAAAGGGAAATCTGATCCTAGATCAGCACTCCTACTCTGAGACACTTTATGAATACAGGCCCTGGTTTCCTTTGAGCCTACATGAATGTAGAATGAGAGCGCACCCAGATGAGCAGAATAATAAATAAAGACATGTTTTGCTATGAGTACCTGTTTTTCTCAGGTGTTGGAAAGCAAACTTATGCAATGAGTACTTTCCTCTGCTGTGAGATCTAGACCTACTACATAGAGACCCATCTTCCTTGTTACCCCTTGTATGGTTTTGATGCCTTGGGTAGTGGCGATAGAGAGAGGTATCTTGGGCCATACCTTCTAATCTTAATTTAAATAGGCCCCAGTTGTACTCTCCTGCATATAGCTGGTGTGTTGCTCCTGCTCTCCGGGTAGTGTACAGAGTATGTCAGAGCAGTAGGGCAGGATGTTTCAGAGCCGTGTGTGTGTAGCTATTTATCAGGCTTCGTGGACTTCAGGTGTGTGTGATGTAGGCTATAGTTTGTCAGGGTGTCTCGGCAGCATCCTATAGCTGTCCATCCAGCTGTCATCTTGCCCTGACGATGACCCTCCGACAGTACAGAGCTTAAAGGCTTCTGGGAAAACGGTGCTTACGTCAGCATGTCCTGAGCCAGACATGTCTGATCTGATGTGGACTCCCCCCTCCCTGTTTCTCCACCGTGCTGCAGCACTCACCTCTCACTACCTCTCATTTCATCACCCAGAGGAAAAATACTGACCCATGTTTCCTGTGATTCAGACCTGGGTGTTGTTCATTAGGGCACCAAACAGAAGAAGAAAAGACTGAAACAGGGAGGTATTACCTGGACCTGTCCAAAAAGAAACGCTCATTTTTGTTTTTGGTTGCAAAGTGTTTTCTATTGCGTGCTCCAATGGACATGACCCTGCTCTCTGTTTGTTGTGTCCAGTCACTGTTGTGCAATGTTCGTAAGCAGAGTTTGAGCAAAATGGGTTCAGATTCTCAATTATCTCGAATGGTAGTGGCCAAGAGTAAAAAAAAAAAAAACGAAAGATGAACCTGTCCCCATCTTGTGCTACCATGTTTTTTCCTGAACTTACAGGATGGTAGTAGCCTACTCCAATGGAACTCAAATTCATAGAGCTTGTAGTTTTCAATATATTTCCACAGCGCTTGTGGCCTGTCACTAAACCTGGCTGTTGCATATTGACCATTTGCATATTGTCTTTGCATGTTCAGAACACTATGCACTTGGGGAAATGGCTTTAGTCTCCCCATCATCACTCCTATCTCATACTACTGCTGGTCAGGTCAGAGGTCAGACTTCCCCAGGACAGGTAGTCCAACCTGGGAGTGTCCAAATAGCCTCCATTCTTCCTCTTTCTGTTTTCTTCATCTGTTATGTTTTTTCACTAGGAACCAAAAATGGACAAACAGGAAGGGACTATCCTGAAGTTGTCCAATGAGAAACGCTCGTTTTCATTGCAAAACCTCTTCTGTTGCAAAAAACAAATGTTTTGCTATGGTGTGCACTAATGAGTACACCCTTCACTGACCTAAGAAGACAAGATAGGAGCCAGTACCATAGCAGAAGCCCACTGAGGGATGTACTTTCACCTGTACAGTGCTGCAGGCCACTAAGACCAGCCCAGACAAAGGAAAACATACTAGTTGGAGAGGAGGCCACTGTAGACTTGAGATCCACCCATTGTGGGGTTGACATCCCAGGAAGGGGTTAAAGCGGGGATGTTGGGCCTTGCTCTTGCCAGAGAGGGTTGTCAAGGCAACAATAGCCCTCCTGATCTGGCAGGTGACCTGGGAGCCAGTAGGAGGAGGCACACAATGGAGCCTCCTTAGCTAGCTAGCTAGCTAACAACCATACATCTTTAGCGTTAGGCTAGTGCTAGCCAACAGAAATTGACAGCTTTTTGACACAGAGACGTGCTGTGATTGTGAAGGAGAGCAGTAGGGTGTGCAAATGAATAGGCTTGTTTGGCTTTTGAATACATTTGTTGATATGTCAATGAAACTAGTCAACTGTGTTATGTCTGTGGCGGTATCGAGAGATGGGATCCCTGTGTATTGATGTTGGTTCTTCCTGTGTTCACCTTAGGCTAGTACAAATACACATGGACATTCTGTCTTTGTTTGCGTGGGCCCAGACTTCCTCCTCTCCCTCTCTCTCTCATTTTCCTTTCTCTTATCTTTCTCTCTCCTCCTCCCTCCCTCTCTCTCTCGATCTCTACTTCTCTCCACCCCCTATCTCTCTTCTATATCTTTCCCTCTCTCTCTCCCCCAGTCTCGCTCTCTTTCTCTCCCCCCTTTCAATTCGAAGAGCTTTATTGGCATGGGAAACATATGTTGACATTGCCAAAGCAAGTGGAATAGACCGTAAACAAAAGTGAAATAAACTATCAGAAATGAACAGTAAACGTTACTCACAAGTTTTAAAAGAATAGAGACATTTCAAATGTTATATTATTGGCTATGTACAGTGTTGTAACAAAGTGCAAATATTTGAAGTACAAAGGGGAAAATAAATAAACTGATAAATATAGGTTGTTTTTACAATGGTGTTTGTGCTCCACAAATCTGGATTTGTTGTCAAATTCATCTCTCTGTAGGTGAGGGCTTTGTTATGGGTGGTTGTAGAATTTAATTGCTCTTTTCTGGATTTTGATAATTAGCGGGTATCGGCCTAATTCTGCTCTGCATGCATTATTTGGTGTTTTACGTTGTACACAGGATGTTTTTGCTGAATTCTGCATGCAGAGTCTCAATTTGGTGTTTGTTCCATTTTGGGAATTTTTGGTTGGTGAGTGGACCCCAGACCTCATAACCGTTGAGGGCAATGGGTTCTATAACTCATTCAAGTGTTTTTAGCCAGATCCTAATTGGGATGTCAAATGTTATGTTCCTTTTGATGGTGTAGAAGGCTGTTCTTCCCTTGTCTCTTCACGGCTTTGTGGAAGTTACTTGTGGTGTTGATGTTTAGGCCGAGGTATGTATCGTTTTTTGTGTCCTCTAGGGCAACAGTTTCTAGGTGGAATTTGTATTTGTGGTCCTGGCAACTGGACATTATTTTTGTCTTACTGAGATTAACTGTCAGGGCCCAAGTCTGCCAGAATCTATGCAGAAGATCTAGGTGCTGCTGTAGAACCTCCTTGGTTGGGGACAGAAGCACCAGATCATCAGCAAACAGTAGACATTTGACTTCAGAGTCTAATAGGGTGAGGCCTCTCAAGTGCTCTCCTTCTCTCCACCCCCCCGTCTCTCTTCTGTCAGTCTCTCCCTCCCTCCCTCCAGGGCCAGTAGTCCCATGGCTCTGTCTTTGTCTCTGCAGGCTGTGCGTGGGGGGAGGTGGCTGGCTGGGCTGTAGGTGGGGGGGAGGTGACTGGCTGGCTGGCTTGGCTGTATATGGGGGGGAGGCTGTCTGGGCTGCTAGCATGCAGGGAAGCAGTGCTGCATCACGGCTCGTAAAGCGCAGACCCTCCTTCCCTGGCATATTCACGCTGGGTCTGACAGATGCTCCCCTGGGAATCCCGTCGCCATGGTGTCAGCCGCTGATTGATGGCTGTCAGGGAACTAAGGGACAGATTGGAAAAGGGGAGGGGGGAGAGGCCACTGTAGCATATGTCCAGCAACCAAGGGAGGAGCAGAGGGCATACGGAGAGAGGGGAGGGGGGGAAGGAGGGAGGGAGGCAGAGATGAGGAGGAGGGAAGGGGAAGGAGGGAGGGAGGAAGAGTCCACTAGCATATGTCCAGCAACCAAGGGAGGAGCGGAGGGAGGGAGGCAGAGAGGAGGAGAAGGAAGAGGGGAGGAGGAAAGGGGAAGGAAGGAGGGAGGGAGGGAGGGAGAGGCCACTGTAGCATATGTCCAGCAACCAAGGGAGGAGCAGAGGGAATACGGAGGGAGGGGAAGGTGGGGGGAGGAGGAGAGGGGAAGGAGGGAGGGAGGGATGGAGGGGAGGGGGGCGCTGTTAAATATGCCCAGCAACCAAGGGAGGAGCAGAGGGAATACAGAGAGACATAAGAGCGTCTGCTAAATGACTAAAATGTAAATGTAAGATGCTCTCAATGGTGCAGCTGTAGAACTTTTTGCCAAATCTTTTCAACCTCCTGAGGGGGAAGAGACACTGTCGTGCCTTCTTCACTACTGTGTGCATGTGTGTGGACCATTTTAAGTCCTTAGTGATTGGACACCAAGGAACTTCTCTCAACCCGCTCCACTACAGCCCTGTGGATGTGGATGGGGGCGTTTGTCTGTTTTTGTACAACAACAGCGGCTGTGACCTACCCTTTCATAACCCCTCTTTAATGACTCTGTATGGCCTTTCTCTTAAATACACACACTGACCCAGAGGCGTTGGTCTAGTCTGTCATAAAGAAGCCCCCGCCCCGCCCCACCCCACTCCTCAGGCCCCCAGGCAGCAGAGTATGACATCTGCCCCCTCCTTTACTAAAGTATCTGGTAGTCCTGGCCCTCCTCCCGCAGCAGAACAGCGGCTCCGGCCCAAATGACACTCTATTCTCTATATAGTGCCGGCACTGGTCAAAAGTAGTGCACTATATAGGGCAGTGGTCACCAACCTTTTCTGAGTCAAAACGTAAGCCTAGAAAATAACACTAGAGTTTACATTAAGATAAACACTGGCAACACACTGGTGTGTGATGGAAAAAGGCAATTTTTAAGGAGTAAGGTAGTGTACTGGACTTGGTTTTATATAGTATAGATCAGAGTTGGGGTGAATTCCATTTAAATTCAGTCAGTTCTAGAAGGAAATGAATAAATAAAAAATTCTCATAGAGAAGCATTGAGGAAAATTGGAATTGCAATTTCAGTTTACTTCCTGAATTGAATAAATTGAAATGGAATTGAACCCCAGCCCTGGAATAGATATTGAGGAAAATTGTTATGGAACGTAACTATGACTGTTAATGATTTCGAAGGTATCATTCTTAGAGAGGATTGTGGGTTGATCACACTATTCTATGACAACAATACTAGTCTCCCATAGCTGTGTATAGCTCTGTAGGCTCAATACAGGAGTGGTAGTATTGGATTCCCCCTGAACATAGCTAACTGTTGTCTGTGCGTTCCAGTAACAGGCTGGGTGATTCCTGGCTGGCTCCCTCCGGCCTCACTTCTCTCCCTGCTGTGGTATTTCAGTGGCCCTGCAGGGCCCGGCCTAGATAGAATTAGGAAGGGGTGCAGTGAGTCGATATACCAGGGACCATGGCTATATCGACTCGTGATGTCTGAGGAGGTCTACTGCTTTAGAGAGGCAGGTGTGTGTGAAGGATAGAGTAAGGTGTGTGTGAGCCTGTGTGTGGCTTTATTTTCTCAAGATGTGTGTGTGTGTGTGTGTGTGTGCATGCCTTTGTTTTCAAGGTGTGTGTGTGTGTGAGCGTGCGTATGCATAAAGGCGTACCTTATACCGTTATTCCCCTACTTACGACAGCTCTATTAGTCTCAACCGCCATCAATCTATAGCCATGGATACCAGATACTAATGTCAGTCTGTCCTGTAGGCATTAGCCTCTGGTCAAAGGCTCCTACTAAAGAAGAGCGAAAGCGTGTGACCAAAGCAAATGGCCCATTAGTGAATTATGGCTGTGGTCGAGACAGGAAATGGCCTAGCAGGGAGATCCTGCTGTGCCTGAGCACTTTGAAGTGAATGAGTGAATCCCACAGATTCTTATCAAATCTACTGGGCCCCTGCTGGATCAGCACATTTGGCTGTGAAATTAGATTCCAACTCTGTCAAACTTTTGAGTGTGTGTGTGTGCGCGCGCTATCTGTTGTTTAGCATTCCATCTATCTAATGGCTATGCTGTCTATGATTCCAGACATGTTGAATAACATATGTTGAAAGGTTTTATAACCCTACAAATGCTTACAAAGCAAACAGTTAGATCTGCAACCCGTATTTCAGATGCAACCCCTCTAACCGGTGTTTGTTTTGTTTCCAGAGTGCGGCTGCAGCCCCCAGTCCTGTGATGGGGGGGATTCCCCCTGGGGGGGGGATTCCCCCTGGAGAGGGGATGCCCGGTGGACCCATGCCCCCTGGATTCTTCCAGGTCAGTGTTTCCTACCTCTCACACATCCCTCCATCTACACTCTATGGCAGGGGTAGGCAACTAGATTCAGCTGCGGGACGATTTATTTAGGTGCGAATTGAACATAATTGTAATCATTTGTACACAGGCCAAAAATATAACAATCATTTCATACCTTGAGACACGATCAAATTTGTTGCTTAATTTCTGGACACTATCTTTCCCCTGCTGAATTCCTGGTGATTTTAGTGTATTTTAATTGTTTTAACTAAAATGTTGTGGTTTTGGCCTGCAGGCCGCCTGTTGCTGACCCCTGCTCTATGGTTCCCAATTCTTTCCTTTCAGAGGACCACCATATCTCTTTATTATCATTTTATAGGGGAGGGGGGGGGGGGGGGGAGAATGTGTGGACCACCTGAAGTACCTTCCCTGACCACAAGTGGTCCCAGGACCATAGGTTGGAGACCACTGCTTTATTAGCTGAATCCTAACTTAAGATCCACAAGCAAGAAAAACTGACTTCAATTTCTGCTGAACTCCATTGATGTCAATAAAGCATCGATAAGTTACTGTATGTGTGATTCTCAAGTAAAGAGTTTAGCCTGTATGTGCGTGCATGAGCCACACTATTGTGCAACTTTCCTCACTCTCATCTGCTCTGCTGTCTCTCTGTTCTACCGCCCTGCTGACGTGCCTTCCACATCGGTACCCGTTGTGTGTGTGTGTCAATGATGCTCTGCTCTGCTGTGGTCTGTAGTCTAGTTCCTGCTCTGAGCATGTGGCTATAGCCCAAATGGCACCCTATTCGCTACATAGCACACTAATTGTTCTTGTCAAAAGTAGGGTGCCATTTTGGATGCAGCCCGTGTTTTTAGTAGACATCAGAAAATAATTTGTCTGTCTACCCATTCAGTGTACTGTAGTGAAACCGGGCGGTGCATTTGGGCCCTTAATCGAGAAATGGAAAGGTGCTGTAACACCTGCCGTAAATCAATACCCCATGAGGATAAACTCTTGGCAGCTTTCCCTCTGTAGTGAAGTCAAACCACTCACTTCTGTTTCTTTAGGTAGGCTATGTAGGCATGTTGTCTATAGGATTAGTCATAGATGTTTGTGTTTTGAAAACCAGAGAAGTAATTACAGTATATGTAGCCCAACTCACTGTAGGCATGGCTGTGTGTGTGTGTGTGTGTGTGAGAGAGAGCGAAAGAGACTTACACATGCATACATACACACGCACAGAGATCTCCCTTTATCAGAGTCATTTGAATATGTAAGTGGTGTTAATTAAGCCACCCTGTTAACAGCAGCATTGGCCCACAGTGACAGTGTTTGGGGGCGGCTGCCGTAAAGCTAATTGCATAGGGCTTAATTGATGCTGTGGTAATTGGCAGAGGGGGAAATTGCCAGTGATGACAAGCTGGAGGCTGGCTGCTGTTCTGACTGGCAGGCATCAGAGCACACATTCTCTCTCGCTCTCTCTCTCTCTCTCTCTCTCTCCTACTACTGCGGAGTGAATAATCAACAGATATACCGCGCAGCTTTTTGTATTTGCACAGCAGCCTCTCACTCTTCTCTGCTCAGCTCAGTAATCCTCCTTTCTCTTCTCTCCTTCCCGCCATCTGTCGCTCTCTCGGTCTCTCTGTGACGCCACAGGGTCCTCCTGGTCCCCAGGGCTCTCCTCACCCCCAGCCTCCTCTCCCTAACAGTATGATGGGACCACAAAGCCAGGTACTGCTGCTCTCTCCTCTGGATGTGTCCCAAGTCACACCCTAATCTGTATATGTGTATTGCATTTGACCTGGGCCCTGGTGGAAAGTAGTGCACTATATAGAAAATAGGATGTCATTTAAATTGGGACGCAACCTCTGTCTCTCTGTTGGAACTCTGTTTCTCTGTGCTTTCCTATTTGGAAGACTACTGTTATTTCACCCCCATGGCTCCTCATGCTATCTCTGTCTGTACGCTTCCACATCTGTCATTCGGCTTGACGCTTTTGGATGCAGCGCAGAAACGTCTTTTTAAAACAAAGTGGGATATAGGAAACCGTTATTATAGGTGTTTATACACATGTTATAGATATTACAAGTGAAGCAACTACCTACTTATGGATGGTTGCAATGGTTGTTTCTTCAGTTTAATTGTGTTGACGTTATGTTGTGACGAAACACTAATGAATGTAAATTAATTGTTTGTTTGTAGTCTTTCATGAACCCACGCTTCGCCACAGGCCAACGAGGTCCTCCTATCCGGATGGGCAACCAGGTAAACAAATTACAGTACCCCGCATTCTCCACCACCATCACCATATAGTACTATCATCAGTCTACCCAGCACTACTACTGTTGTTTTAACAAAGGGATTTACCTCCGTATGAGTTGCTGTTGGGATAACTTGTCTTGGCATCATGATTGTCAGTGTTCCTCTTTCCCCTGTCTGTCTCGTAGCCTCCTGGCGGTGGCCCCGGCCCCCATCTCATGCTCCAAAACATGGATCACACACGACCACAAGGCCATCCTAACTTGGGACCGATGCAGAGAATGAGTGGGCCTCGAGGCTTGGGCCCTATGGGTCCAGGACCCCAGGTAGACTGCTATGTCCCCATTATCTCCCATTCTGTCAGACTAGTAGTGTTACACACCAATCTATAAGTAGCCATTATCTCTCAGCAGTTTACAAAATGCCTGTAGTCTTTCGCAGACTAGCCCCCTCATTATTGAAACTGCCTGCCCAACATCACCCATCCAGTCTCTCTCGGTTCTTGGCCTTGGTTCTTTCTGGTTATGGTAGTCTGATTCTTAGCTATCGTTGCAGAACTTTGGTGGTGGGATGCGGCCTCCACACAACGCCATGGGCCCTGGGATGCCAGGAGTGAACATGATGTGAGCCTTCTCTCTATCACTCCCTTTCCACATGATGCATCTCCAGTGTGTGTTGTTTTCTAACTGGGGTTTCTCTCACCACGATGCAGGGGCCCAGGCCCAGGTGCTGGACGACCATGGCCCAATCCGAACAACGGCAACTCGGTGAGTCCAATTTCCCCTCTAGACACACACACACACTATATACACTGAGTGTACAAAACATTATGAACACCTTCCTAATATTGAGTTGCACCCCCTTTTGCCCTCAGAACAGGCTCAATTCGTCGGGGCATGAACTCTACAAGGTGTCGAAAGCGTTCCACGGGGATGCTGGCCCATGTTAAAAATCCTTCTTTAACCTGTCTCCTCCCCTTCATCTACACTGATTTGAAGTGGATTTAACAAGTGACAGCAATAAGGGGTCATAGCTTTCACCTGGTCAGACTGTCATGGAAAGAGCAGGTGTTCCTAATGTTTTGTACACACACACACACCATGATGTTGTCGGTTCAGATTGCAGCAGTCTGTCTGTCCTCTCTCAGTAAGAGCTCTGGAGGCCTAATGCATTACCAAGTTCCCCAGTCCTGGATGTAATTGAAGTATTATGTATCCCAGGCTACGTCCTAAATGGTACCCTATTCCCTTTATAGTGCACTACAGAACCCATAGGACTCGTGTTAAAATAAGTGCACTATATAGGGAATAGGGTGCGGGACACACCCCCAGCTTCCATGTAAGCTAGATACCGATTAGGTTGCTGATGTTAGAGCGATGCTAAAATGATGAATGATGGCATTTTGAGAGGTGAACACCGATTTCGATTCCCTGTTCCTGGTCTGAAATGTTTCTGTTGTGATTGTTTCAGATACCTTACTCATCACCTTCTCCTGGAGCATACGGGGTAAGGACACTCCCTGACGATCACACACTTCAGTCAGACGCCAATATATTATTGTTATTGTCCTGGTGTTTGTAGAATTTGACCTGATACAGATACATTGCTAGTGTTGTAATTTACTGTTGAATTATAAATGGTTTGTGTTCTTCTGCCACTCTCTAAAGGGAGGTTCTGGAGGAGGGGGACCCCCTGGAACACCCATTATACCTAGCCCTGCTGGTAGGTACCCCATAGTCCAGTATTAAAAATGTATGCACTCACTAACTGTAAGTCGCTCTGGATAAGAGCGTCTGCTAAATGACTGAAATGCAAAAAATAGTCCACCTTGGGGAACAGAAATTAATGTCAAAATGTTTTGACGAAGAAAACGTCATCTTCAATGACTGCGTTTGCCATCTTGGCTGTTCTCATTGCCTGAAGTACACTTGTCTATTGATTATCGTCATAATAATTGAGATTTGATTGATAATCAACCACGTTTCAGACTCTAACAACTCTGGCGACAACCTCTACACCATGATCAACACTGGACCTGGCAACCGATCAAATGTGAGTCTCCTTCTCGTACCAGATATTTTGTAGTAGTCGCATTGTTTCATGATTCTTCATCGCCAGATGATGTGTCTTATAATCATATCTTAAAAGTTAACTACTCTTCCATAATGAAACTGTGTTGCATCCCAAATGGCACCCCATTCCCTACATAGTGCACTATGGGCCCTGGACAAAAGTAGTTCACTATATAGGGTGCCATTTGGGACATTACCTGGCCTAGTCTGTTGTGATAGTGGTGCCTGTCCTTTTGATGTGTAGTAAGGCAGTGCTTGTCTCCTGCTACAGTTCCCTATGGGCCCTGGCTCTGACGGACCCCTGGGGGCCATGGCAGGCATGGAACCACACCACATGAATGGATCGCTAAGTAAAGCACTGCACTCTACTCTGCCAATGTTACAACACAACATAGTCCTCTAGATCCTCAAGTGCCGATTCAGGTTGAGTTCAGTTTAGAACAGTATTGACTAACTAGTGCATGACTAGTTGGGAATAATAGTTGCTGACTCAGACAATCTGAACGTAGGCTACCTCAACTATGGTGTCCCAAATGGCACCCTAATCCCCATGTAGTGCACTACTTTTGACCAAGGCCCATAGGGTTCTGGTGAAAAGTAGTGCACTATATAGGGAATGGGGTGCCATTTGGGATGCACACAGTACAGTGTAGTAGACCAAGCAGTAATGTGAAGCAAGCAGACATTCTCAGCAATAGTGCTAGGCTGTAGCATAAATATGGCCAATGATGCAGTGAACGCTTTCGTCGGGCACCTTTTGCATTATTATTTCAAGAAAGAATCTAACGTTTTAATTTGTGTTCATAGACTATAAACATTTTATTTTTTAGGCTCTGGTGATATGGACGGAATCAACAAGGTGAATACTATAACATGGCTATACACATAAATTACTATCAAAACATGACAAATCATTTGGACTCTGAAGCTGTCTTAAAAGTTCAACTAAATTGTGCAATACATTTGTTTGAACTTCTTGTTTAGCCTGCTCTTGCCAACTCCATTGCTGTCAATGTCAAGAGTGACAATGAGTTGGCAGGATGGCACTTACACTACTTGTTGTTGCCTCTTTACTTAGTCTCTTTCCTGCCCCCTCGCAGAACTCTCCAAACCATCTAAGTGGCATTAGTAACCCTCCTGGAACCCCGAGGGACGGTGACGAGTTGGGCGGGAACTTCCTGCACTCCTTTCAGAGTGAGAATGTAAGGCCCCTCCCCCACCATGCAATAGAAAACGTTTTAATGTTTTTTTTTAGTGTAGGAGAGGATGGAATTATTTGTCAAAATTGTAAGTAGTGTTGAAGAAAACGTTTTAAAATGGATTACAATTTATTGTTTCCTAATGAACAAGATCAGGTAGTCACTATGTTTCAGTCCGTTTTCTTCCATTTGGTGCCTAATGAACACAACAAGATGAGGTCACTGTTGCCAGTAATGAAGCTTTGAAGAAGCCTATAGTGCCTATAGGGCAGCATTTACTCTACACTAAAGCAACAGTCATGGCACATTGACACTCAAGGGAAGCCACAGTGACAGAATCATTGACCCTACAGTGGCAGTGTAGTGTGGGGGCACGGGGCAGTTGCCAAGTAACAGTTTTTTGGCTAGAGTGAGGAAGTGCATTTCCTGTCTACGGTTGCAGTATGTGGTCTATTGTTTGTTGTGTGGCATGCCATAACAGCAAGCTCTCCTGATTTTAACTCTTTGTCGTCTGTGCCCCTCAGCAGTACTCCCCTACCATGACGATGAGTGTGTGACATCCCCCTCCATCTGCCATCACTCAGAGGATCCGAGCTCATAACAGGACATGGCCAAAACACATCAGCACAGAACCAGGGACAGGCGCCATTTTGGTTCCATGCAATTCCAGAATGCTGATATACACATTTTCAAAATGGCGACTTCTTGCGCCTCTTCGCTCCAAATGAAGGACAGTTCTTCATTCATCACCACCCCAAGTGTGACGAAACCAGCTACTGAAACTACTGCATACATGCCAAGTTTTTTTTTATTCTTTGCAGAAATGATTATCCCCCCCGAGCAAAGAAAATGGTTGACCTCTTTTGCTTTTATTATTGCTTTGTGGTGCAAGATGTTCAGTCATCTTATGTTTCAGCTTATAGCCACCTAAAACACTGATGTGCATTAAGCATTGTGAACTAGGAAAAACTCTTTTTTGTTTTCATATTTCAGGTCCCTCGTTCAGCCACGTAGTATGTGTCACAAAACGAGTCTAAAAACAGGTGTCTGAATCTGCCTTTAACTCTGACAACTCCTTTAAATGACTTTGTCCCAATGTACTATTTAGCCACATTTTAAAGGGGAAGTGATGTGATCTAATGTGATCGAACCTTTAACAGTTTAAGTGCTCAGTGGGTTTTTAAAATGTAAAATTGGATCCCATTCAATGCGTCAACAGAATCTCATCGATAGGGAATGTTTTGTGGGTTCTGTTTTTGTCGATGAGGAGAGCAATCTTATTCTGCACTGGTTTTATTAAGCTTTTTATTTTAACAGTCTCACTGCTGTTCTTGTTCTCTGTCAAGGGGGAAAGCAAACTTGGGCTAAACCATGGGTTTGGAAACAACAGGGGTGCATGAATGCTGAGATCTGTGTACAACATACTACCTAGAGCTGCTCCAGTCCACGTGTGACGTGTTTAACCCCTTCCCTGCCTGTGCTTAACACTCTGTGCCCCTTTTCTCACCATGGTTGTAGCCGTGTTTTCCTACTGTTCCATGACGAAGACGTGATGATGAAGGAGTTAAACCCATTGTATCATTGGTAGTTCTGTTTTTCTTCTTCTGTCCAGGTATTCATTGTTTGTTCTTTTTTGCCCTCTTATTGCTGTTTTTTATATTTTGATACCAATGTGACTATGTATATTGACCCAGTTATTTTGAGATTAGTCCAACGCTTTCTAAACAAATTCTAGTAGGTATTATCATAAACTTAGTGGCAGTCTTGTAAATGTGATAAACCTTTATTCATTTTCTGTGAATATTAAGCATTATACACCTCTGTCCTAGGTTGCCTTTATTAGCTGTTTTTTTTTGTTTGTTTTTTTATTGAGGAAAGAGTGCTTGTTAATATAATTTTACAATGACTTGTCTGTTTTTATTTTTTCCTGTTTTGCCACTCTACACAGCAAGTAGGGTCATTTGGATAGGATCATTCTCTAGTTGAGGATTAGCAGGCACCCATACAATCTCTCTCTCTCACCACACACGTAAATAGATCTCTCGCACTCGCTGAACTCGCAAATGCTCTCATCTACTGCTACCCCTGACTACCACAAAGTGGGGAAGTGTCCAAAAGAAGAACCAGTAACACAACAAATATAAACTAATTTGTGCATATAAAATATTTTTTTTAAATTCAAGTACACATCAAATATGACAGAAGAGAAGAGGAGTCTTGCATACAAACTGGAGAGACAGGAAGTGACTGGTGCTGATGACCTCTAGTCCAGGGGCTGCATCCCAAATGGCACCCTTTTCCTTATTTCTTGTACTACTTTCGACAAGGACCCATGGGGCCCTATGTAGTTTGAGCACCCCTGATGTAGGGAATTGTGTGCCATTTGGGACGCCGACCCTGTGTCCCTTAGATTTTTGTCTGACCACTTTCATCCATTGGATTAGGGCCTTCCATCTACCTTACAGCACACAACAAACAGATTGGTGGTACAGAACATCTCTCTGCTCCGGTAAGTGTGGGGAAACAAGTGTCTGTATCGAGGTCCCAGACTAGCCAGTACCAGCCCTCCTCCATCTCCCTGCTGCCTCTGGACCCAGCAGGCCCAGGGTCACAGTACACACCAGCCTGAAGCGGGCAGGACACACCATCCTCGCTCAGCGCCTTGACCAGACCACCACAGCAGAGGGCACTATAGCCTACCGCTTCCAGCCAAGACAACAGGAAGTCCTGCAGCATCTGATGGACCAGGCCGCAGGGGAACCGCTCTGCCAGGCCGGGCTGAGACCTGCAGAGGAGTACATGGGAGTGTCTCAATAGTGTAAAATAGGTTAATCTCTGTCTTGTCTGGTTCGTATACACAGGGATATGAAAACACAGTGTAGGTAAATACAACAAGGCAGTTGTCCACCAGGAATTTGCTTTTGCCTGTCCGGTTTCTTCTACATCGGTAAATGAGATGAGACAAAGGCAATTTAAAGGATTGCAATGTGCCCAGGGAGAGGGGTAACAGGGTGTTGCCTAAAGCAGGGCTGTTCAACAGTGATAAGTTACTTTTGTTTCTAAACTGGGTGGTTTGAGCCCTAAATGCTGATTGGCTGAAAGCCATGATATATAAGACCTTACACCACAGGTATGACCCCAAAAATATTTTTTACTGTTCTAATTACGTTTAACTAGTTTATAATAGCAATAAAGCACCTCTGGGGTTTGTGGAATATGGCCAATAACCACGGCTAAGGGCTGTATCCAGGCATGTTGTATCATGCATAAGAACAGCCCTTAGCCGTGGTATAATGGCCATGTACCACACCCCCTCGGGCATTATTGCTCAAGTATAGCTATTGTACATTCTGAAAGTTTTTCAGACCCCTTCACTTTTTCTACATTTTGTTACGTTACAGCCTTATTCTAAAATGGACTTTTTTTTATGTCCCTCATCAATCTACACACAATACCCCATAATGACAAAGCAAAAACAGGTTTTTAGAAATGTTCAGGTCTCTCCAGAGATAATAATAATAATATGCCATTTAGCAGACGCTTTAATCCAAAGCGACTTACAATCATGCGTGCATAATTTTTTTTTTTGTGTATGGGTGGTCCCGGTGATCGAAACCACTACCTTGGCGTTACAAGCGCCGTGCTCTACCAGCTGAGCTACAGAGGACCAGATGTTTAATCGGGTTCAAGTCCGGGCTCTGGCTGGGCCACTCAAGGACATTCAGAGACTTGTCCCGAAGTCACTCCTGTGTTGTCTTGGCTGTGTGCTTAGGGTCGTTGTCCTGTTGGATGATGAACCTTCGCCCCAGTCTGAGGTCCTGAGCGCTCTGGGGCTGGTTTTCATCAAGGATCTCTCTGTAAATTGCGCTGTTCATATTTCCCTCGATCCTGACTAGTCTCCCAGTCCCTGCCGCTGACAAACATCCCCACAGCATGATACAGCCACCACCATGCTTCACCGTAGGGATGGTATTGGCCAGGTGATGAGCGGTGCCTGGTTTCCTCCAGACGTGACGCTTGGCATTCAGGCCAAAGAGTTCAATCTTGATTTCATCAGACCAGAGAATCTTGTTTCTCATGGTCAGAGTCCTTTAGGTGCCTTTTGGCAAACTCCAAGCGGGCTGTCATGTGGCTTCCGTCTGGCCACTATATCATAAAGGCCTGATTGGTGGAGTGCTGCAGAGATGGTTGTTCTTCTGGAAGGTTCTCCCATCTCCACAGAGGAACTCTGGAGCTCTGTCAGAGTGACCATTGGGTTCTGGTCACCTCCCTGACCAAGGCCCTGACTGCTCAGTTTGGCCAGGCAGCCAACTCTAGGAAGAGTCTTGGTGGTTCCAAACTTCTTCCATTTAAGAATGATAGGGCCACTGTGTTCTTGGGGACCTTCAATGCTGAAGAAATGTTTTGGTACCTTTCCCCAGATCTGTGCCTCGACACAATCATGTCTCAGAGCTCTATGGACAATTCCTTTGACCTCATGGCTTGGTTTTTGCTCTGTCATGCACTGTCAACTGTGGGACCTTATATAGACAGGTGTGTGCCTTTCCAACTCATGTCCAATCAATTGAATTTACCACAGGTGGACTCCAATCAAGTTGTAGAAACATCTCAAAGATGATCAATGGAAACAGGATGCACCTGAGCTCAATTTCGAGTCTCATCGCAAAGGGTCTGAATACTTATGTAAATAAGGTATTTTTTTTCTTCTTTTTAATAAATTGGCAAAAATGTATAAAAACCTGTTTTTGCTTTGTCATTATGGGGTATTGTGTGTAGATTGATGAGGAAAACCTTATTTTATTAAATTAAATGCTGTAACATAACAAAATGTGGAATAGGTGAAGGGGTCTGAATACTTTCCGATTGCCCCTTCAGACTGATGAGCCCCATTGCCTGGGGGTTAGCGTGGGCAGTAGCCTGGCTCTGAGCTGGCCTGAAGGACAGTCTACGGAGCAACACAGCGGACACACCCTTTGGTGGTAACAATTTCAATACTAAACATACAGTAGATACACTAAGACATTCATTATGTACTTTCTCTTTCAAGCCTGAACACAAAAATTCTAATGTATCCAGTACCAATATCATGGGTGTCTAACATTGTCGTTCTCCTTCACAGTAGTTATGTTTGTTTGGAGCCCTGTACCTCCTTCTCACTGAGGCAGTGGCTGAAACCTTTCTGCCTCCGCTCTGCTTTTGTTCTCTTGATTTGTCCATTGCTAAACGGTAGTGGCAATACGTCTTGATTTACAATGCAAAATATCTCTGATCCAGCTATGCAAATAGTGCTCCATCTAGTAGAGCTTACCCAATAGAGAGCTCAGCCACTCACTACAGTTGATTTGATGGTTCTGCTGAGAGGTTTTGCTCTTCCCTGAGTAAGGTTGGCTCTGCTGTGATGGTGGTGTATGGACAGGAGAAATCGTACCACTCATACTCATTCCCTCCTCCTTCTCATGTGCTGTCTTTGCATTGCCGTTGCTACTCAGCCCACCTCACCTTGTAGCACTGCCAAGCCCCTGTCCCTGTACACAGTATTTACAGGCAAACCAACATAACCCTCTGTATGCATTCTGCACACTGAGCAAGCCCATTGCTCTACTACGCTCAGGGCTGGATTCCAATCCAAAATGTCATCCACTTGCCCCAGCTATTATCCACTTCTCTCCCTCTCTCCGATTGTGAAACGACTGGATAGCTGTAGGGGTTGGGAGATAATATGTCATTAGCTGTAGGGATTGGGAGATAACATGTCATTAGCTGTAGGGATTGGGGGATAATGGTCAATAGCTGTAGAGATTGGGAGATAATGTGTCCATAGCTGTAGGGACTGGGGGATAATGTGTCATTAGCTGTAGGAATTGGGGGATAATGGTCAATAGCTGTAGAGATTGGGAGATAATGTGTCCATAGCTGTAGGGACTGGGGGATAATGTGTCATTAGCTGTAGGAATTGGGGGATAATTTGTCATTAGCTTCACATTGCCATCTGGTGGTCTATGTAGAGTTCCATATAGCTCTCTCCTATTCAATTATTTCAGATTAGCTAAGGGGGGAAACAGTGTGGAGGGAAGGAAACGTTTTTTCCCCCTGATTGGAAATGTCTAACAGACATCTAGCATGTTGGCTCCTGCCCGACAATAGGAACTAGGCCTGAACTGCTCCAGTGAATGCAGTGGTTGTTCTCACAGTCTGAATCCCAAATGGCACCCTATTCGATTTTTGTAAGCGGGGCCATTTACATTGTGCCTTTTTATATATGTGTGTGTTTATGTCTTACGAGTTGAGGCTTTCATAGGGATAACATACACTGCATGCAGATTATTTACTTTTCTTATAAAACAGGTGGACATGTCTGGGCTAAAGTTCCTGCTGTCTTTGTTCTGTTTATGTGGTCTTGGTTGCGTTCCAGGCAGACTACACTGCAGACGTTGCATCAACCATGATGTATTTAGCTGATATGTTAAATACCTATCCAGGCTTTATTAGATCTTGCAGGAGTCTGCAATGTAGTCAGCCAGGAACGTGGCCATTCTCTCTTTTTTTTTTACTACTGGGGTGGTGACCTGTTCAATAACAAAAAGGGGTGAGGCACGGTCTGCGTTCCATGTAGTGCACTATATAGGGAATAGGGTGCCATTTGGGACAGGTTCAAGGTGAAGCGCAGTACTACAAGTCATGTGATGATGTGCAGATAGATTGAGAAGAAAAACAACTTCCCTATTTTACGTCTCAGCTTCTGCTACAGCAGGAAGTCAATCATCTCTATTCAGGCTACTTGTGAGTAATCTGAACAATCAATCATATCATGAAAACATAAACAATTAAACTAGATTAACAACGATCCCAAGGGCAATATCTATTCATGAAGAGTTATTAATAAACAGGAATATCATCACAACACGCTCTAAATGCTCCTAAATTATTTAGCAAAAAAATACTTTCAATTCATCAAGTTACAATGGCCAGAGGTTTTCACTGTAATGATCATGTAAAAAGCAGTTGCATGCCAAAGTAAATATGAACATTCAAGTTTCAATGTCACCTGCACAAGTACAGTGAAATGCATTTCTTGCAGGTGCTAAACCCAACGCAGTAATCAATATGATACTAAAAATAACATAAGGTAGAGCAAAAACACATGAGAAATATAAATAAGAACAGGAGAATGTAAGAAGCTATATACAGGTTCAGTTCCAGGGTCAGTAGCTATTTACAGGGTCAGTTCCAGGGTCAGTAGCTATATACAGGGTCAGTTCCAGGGTCAGTAGCTATATACAGGGTCAGTTCCAGGGTCAGTAGCTATATACAGGGTCAGTTCCAGGGTCAGTAGCTATATACAGGGTCAGTTCCAGGGTCAGTAGCTACAGTGGGGAGAACAAGTATTTGATACACTGCCGATTTTGCAGGTTTTCCTACTTACAAAGCATGTAGAGGTCTGTAATTTTTATCATAGGTACACTTCAACTGTGAGAGACGGAATCTAAAACAAAAATCCAGAAAATCACATTGTATGATTTTTAAGTAATTAATTTGCATTTTATTGCATGACATAAGTATTTGATCACCTACCAACCAGTAATAATTCCGGCTCTCACAGACCTGTTAGTTTTTCTTTAAGAAGCCCTCCTGTTCTCCACTCATTACCTGTATTAACTGCACCTGTTTGAACTCGTTACCTGTATAAAAGACACCTGTCCACACACTCAATCAAACAGACTCCAACCTCTCCACAATGGCCAAGACCAGAGAGCTGTGTAAGGACATCAGGGATAAAATTGTAGACCTGCACAAGGCTGGGATGGGCTACAGGACAATAGGCAAGCAGCTTGGTGAGAAGGCAACAACTGTTGGCGCAATTATTATAAAATGGAAGAAGTTCAAGATGATGGTCAATCACCCTCGGTCTGGGGCTCCATGCAAGTTCTCACCTCGTGGGGCATCAATGATCATGAGGAAGGTGAGGGATCAGCCCAGAACTACACGGCAGGACCTGGTCAATGACCTGAAGAGAGCTGGGACCACAGTCTCAAAGAAAACCATTAGTAACACACTACGCCGTCATGGATTAAAATCCTGTAGCGCACGCAAGGTCCCCCTGCTCAAGCCAGCTCATGTCCAGGCCCATCTGAAGTTTGCCAATGACCATCTGGATGATCCAGAGGAGGAATGGGAGAAGGTCATGTGGTCTGATGAGACAAAAATAGAGCTTTTTGGTCTAAACTCCACTCGCCGTGTTTGGAGGAAGAAGAAGGATGAGTACAACCCCAAGAACACCATCCCAACCGTGAAGCATGGAGGTGGAAACATCATTCTTTGGGGATGCTTTTCTGCAAAGGGGACAGGACGACTGCACCGTATTGAGGGGAGGATGGATGGGGCCATGTATCGCGAGATCTTGGCCAACAACCTCCTTCCCTCAGTAAGAGCATTGAAGATGGGTCGTGGCTGGGTCTTCCAGCATGACAACGACCCGAAACACACAGCCAGGGCAACTAAGGAGTGGCTCCGTAAGAAGCATCTCAAGGTCCTGGAGTGGCCTAACAGGTCTCCAGACCTGAACCCAATAGAAAATCTTTGGAGGGAGCTGAAAGTCTGTATTGCCCCGCGACAGCCCCGAAACCTGGATCTGGAGAAGGTCTGTATGGAGGAGTGGGCCAAAATCCCTGCTGCAGTGTGTGCAAACCTGGTCAAGACCTACAGGAAACGTATGATCTCTGTAATTGCAAACAAAGGTTTCTGTACCAAATATTAAGTTCTGCTTTTCTGATATATCAAATACTTATGTCATGCAATAAAATGCAAATTAATTACTTAAAAATCATACAATATGATTTTCTGGATTTTTGTTTTAGATTCCGTCTCTCACAGTTGAAGTGTACCTATGATAAAAATTACAGACCTCTACATGCTTTGTAAGTAGGAAAACCTGCAAAATCGGCAGTGTATCAAATACTTGTTCTCCCCACTGTATATACAGGGGCAGTTCCAATACCATATTTACAATGTGCAGGGACACTGGAGTGATAGAGGCAGATATGTATAGGGGTAAGGTGACTAGGCATCAGAATGTATGATAAACAGAGTAGCAACAGCGTAAATTAAGATTGTATGTGAGTGTGTGTGTGTGTAGAGTCGGTATAGATGTGTGTGCATGTTATGTGTGTGTTGGAATGTCAGTGTGTGTGAGTGTGTAGGGCCCTGTGAGTGTGCATAGAGGGCCAACTCAGATAGTCAGTGTAGCCATTTTGTTAGCTATTTAGCAGTCTTATGGCATGGGGATAGAAGCTGTTCAGGAGCCTGTTGGTGTCAGACTTGATGCACCGGTACCGCTTGCCATGAGGAAGCAGAGAGAACAGTTTATGGCGTGGGTGGCTGGAGTCTTTAACGATTTTCGGGCCTTCCTTTCACATCACCTAATAGACAATGTATCAAGGGAATGGTTACAGATATGCCAGTGCAATCGCTGTATGGCTATCACACATCCAATAGGCTTACTTTTGAGAAAATCTTCATGTTATGCAAAATACAAGATCCAGTGCGAATATATATAAATAATATACCACAGGGCTTGTTTCACATTCAGCCATTCAAAGGTATGATATTGTGATATTATAATTCTGTAATTACAATGTAATAAATCTGACCTGAACCTGGTTAAAATGGTTAAAATAGTACATGAATTAACATCCTCCTATACTTCCTATGAACACTTCCTGGTTTGACCAACACACCCATCCTGATTGGAGGGTCTCTCCATGTGGTTACAGAGGTTTGATCTGTATCCATCACTAACAGACACAGAGAAAGTCTCCAAACTCAAAGGTGGACAATGGGATCCCATTACGCTGAATCACACAAACAATATGGGCAACAACAAAAAGTTTACATAACAAAAGATTTACTGGTGAACTCCGAACTGTATTTCTCAACAGCAACAGATGTTCCTTTCTCTAATAAGGCAAAAGAGCACAGGTCTCATAAGACTTTCTCTCTATGGTTATACCTGTGTAACAGCATGTCAACACTCTTGGCTGTGTTCCAAATATCCTTTCCCTAATTCTGGAAAACGACTGAGTCAAGATGTGTGTGTGTGAGGCAGAAAGCAAAGAATGCTTTGGTTCCAAAAAAAGAGGTGCACCTAGATTTCTCTTTATCATCTCTCCTCTGCACGCCACCAGTTTTGCGTATGCAGCAAACATTACATTTGCACTGTCTAGTCTTTTTACTATCTCCTTATTTCTTATGTCTTAACCTAACTCTTAACTTTCTTAACTCTCCTTACCTTATAAATGACCTTTCCTGCCTTCAGCACATAAAGCCTCTCTGGAATAGCACCATATTTAGTAGCTGCGGTGTCGGTCATTTAATCCACTACGATGGGGCACAGGGGGTCCTCTTTGACCAGGAACTGTGCTGCAGATGCTGCAGAAGGATTACTGTTATACTATTCCAGGTATTCCTTAAAGAGGTAGGGTTTCAAGTGTCTCCGGAAGGTGGTCAGTGACTCCGCTGTCCTGGCGTCGTGGGGGAGCTTGTTCCACCTTCAGCACATAAAGCCTCTTTGTGTATATATATACAATAGAAAGTTTAATACAACCGATTGCACTCAATGAGCTGTATTAGGACATAAGTAATTAGGAAAACGCTCATCCAGAGGCAGCGCTCCTAGTGGCCGGGGACTTTAATGCAGGGAAACTTAAATCCGTTCTACCAGCATGTTAAATGTGCAACCAGAGGGAAAGAAAACTCTAGACCACCTTTACTCCACACACAGAGATGCGTACAAAGCTCTCCCTCGCCCTCCATTTGGCAAATCTGACCATAACTCTATCCTCTTGATTCCTGCTTATAAGCAAAAACTAAAGCAGGAAGTACCAGTGACTCGGTTAATAAGGAAGTGGTCAGATGATGCAGATACTAAGCTATAGGACTGTTTTGCTAGCACAGACTGGAATATGTTCCGGGATTCTTCCGATAGCATTGAGGAGTACACCACATCAGTCACTGGCTTCATCAACAAGTGCATCGATGACGTCGTCCCCACAGTGACCGTACGTACAGTCTGGTTCATCCTTGGGAGCAATTTCCAAACGCCTGAACGTACCACGTTCATCTGTACAAACAATAGTACACAAGTATAAACACCATGGGACCACGCAGCCGTCATACCTCTCAGGAAGGAGACACGTTCTGTCTCCTAGAGATGAATGTACTTTGGTGCGAAAAGTGCAAATCAATCCCAGAACAACAGCAAAGGACCTTGTGAAGATGCTGGAGGAAACAGGTACAAAAGTATCTATATCCACAGTAAAACTAGTCCTATATTGACATAATCTGAAAGGCCGCTCAGCAAGGAAGAAGCCACTGCTCCAAAACCGCCATAAAAAAGCCAGACTACGGTTTGCAAGTGCACATGGGGACAAAGATTGTACTTTTTGGAGAAATGTCCTTTGGTCTGATGAAACAAAAATATAACTGTTTGGCCATAATGACCATCGTTATATTTGGAGGAAAAAGGGGAATGCTTGCAAGCCTAAGAACACCATCCCAACCGTGAAACACGGGGGTGGCAGCATCATGCTATGGGGGTGCTTTGCTGCAGGAGGGACTGGTGCACCTCACAAAATAGAATGCTGTGGATATATTGAAGTAACATCTCAAGACATCAGTCAGGAAGTTAAAGCTTGGTCGCAAATGGGTCTTCCAAATGGACAATGACCCCAAGCATACTTCCAAAGTTGTGTTAAAATGGCTTAAGGACAACAAAGTCAAGGTATTGGAGTGGCCATTACAAAGCCCTGACCTCAATCCTATAGAAAATGTGTGGGCAGAACTGAAAAAGCGTGTGCGAGCAAGGAGGCCTACAAACCTGACTCAGTTACACCAGCTCTGTCAGGAGGAATGGGCCAAAATTCACCCAACTTATTGTGGGAAGCTTGTGGAAGGCTACCCGAAACGTTTGACCCAAGTTAAACTATTTAATGGCAATGCTACCAAATACTAATTGAGTGTATGTAAACTTCTGACCCACTGGGAATGTGATGAAAGAAATAAAAGCTGAAATAAATCATTCTCTCTACTATTATTCTGACATTTCATATTCTTAAAATAAAGTGGTTGTCACGATCGTCTGAGGAAGCGGACCAATACGCAGCGCGTTGAGTGAACATGATGACTTTATTTAATCAAGCAACCACGAAAACAAATAAACGAATGACGATAGTGAAGTCCACAGTGACAAATGACTGTACATGGAACAAAAGCCCACAGGAAAACAATCAGAATAAATATGGCTCCCAATCAGAGATAACGAGCCGACAGCTGACACTCGTTACCTCCGATTGGGAGTCATTGACCAAACCTAGAAAAGAACCCCACAGAACTGCAAACAAGAAATACACCCAAAACCCAACATAACCAAACCAAACCCCAACAAAACAAATACACCCTGGCTCAAATATAAAAGTCCCGGAGCCAGAGTGTCACAGTACCCCCCCCCTAAAGGTGCGAACTCCGGGCGCACCAGCATACAGTCTATGGGAGGGTCTGGGTGGGCGTCTGTCCACGGTGGCGGCTCTGGCCCTGGTCGTGGTCCCCACCCCACCTTAGTCACTATCCGCTTCCGTAGCCTCCTCCATATGACCACCCCCCAACTAAACCCCACTGGATTAAGGGGCGGCACCGGATTAACGGGCAGCACCGGACTAAGGGGCAGCACCGGACTAAGGGGCAGTACCGGACTAAGGGGCAGCACCAGGATAAGGGGCAGCACCGGGCTAAGGGACAGCACCGGACTCAATGGCGGATCCTGGCTGGCTGGCTCTGGCGGATCCTGGCTGGACGGCTCTGGCGGATCCTGGCTGGACGGCTCATGGCTGGCTGACGGATCTGGCTGCTCATGGCTGGCTGACGGATCTGGCTGCTCATGGCTGGCCGACGGATCTGGCTGCTCATGGCTGGCCGACGGATCTGGCTGCTCATGGCTGGCCGACGGATCTGGCTGCTCATGGCTGGCCGACGGATCTGGCTGCTCATGGCTGGCCGACGGATCTGGCTGCTCATGGCTGGCCGACGGATCTGGCTGCTCATGGCTGGCCGACGGATCTGGCTGCTCATGGCTGGCCGACGGATCTGGCTGCTCATGGCTGGCCGAAGGATCTGGCTGCTCATGGCTGGCTGAAGGCTCTGGCTGATCCTGTCTGGCGGAAGGCTCTGGCTGATCCTGTCTGGCGGAAGGCTCTGGCTGATCCTGTCTGGCGGAAGGCTCTAGCGGCTCCTGTCTGGCGGAAGGCTCTGGCTGATCCTGTCTGGCGGAAGGCTCTGGCTGATCCTGTCTGGCAGAAGGCTCTAGCGGCTCCGGTCTGGCGGACGGCTCTGAAGGCTCATGGCAGACGGGCGGCTTATGCAGCGCTTGGCAGACGGACAGTTCAGACGGCGTTGGGCAGACAGGCAGTTCAGGCGCCGTTGGGCAGACGGGCAGTTCAAGCGCCGTTGGGCAGACGGGCAGTTCAGGCGCCGTTGGGCAGACGGGCAGTTCAGGCGCCGTTGGGCAGACGGGCAGTTCAGGCGCCGTTGGGCAGACGGCAGACTCTGGCCGGCCGAGACGCACTATAGGCCTGGTGCGTGGTGCCGGAACTGGTGGTCCCGGGCTGAGGACACGCATCTCAGGGCTAGTGCGGGGAGAAGGAACAGGGCATGCTGGACCCTGGGGACGCACATAAGGCCTAGTGCGTGGTGCCGGAACTGGTGGTCCCGGGCTGAGGACACGCATCTCAGGGCTAGTGCGGGGAGCAGCAACAGGACGCACAGGACTCTGGGGACACACAGGAGGCTTGGTGCGTGGTGTAGGCACTGGTGGTACTGGGCTGGAGCGGGGAGGTGGCGCCGGAAATACCGGACCGTGCAGGCGTACTGGCTCCCTTGAGCACTGAGCCTGCCCAACCTTACCTGGTTGTATACTCCCCGTCGCCCGACCAGTACGGGAAGGAGGAATAACCCGCACCGGGCTATGTGGGCGAACCGGGGACACCATGCGTAAGGCTGGTGCCATGTAAGCCGGCCCGAGGAGACGCACTGGTGGCCTGATGCGTTGGGCCGGCTTCATGACATCCGGCTCAATGCTCAATCTAGCCCGGCCGATACGTGGAGCTGGAATGTACCGAACCGGGCTATGCCTGCGTACAGGAGACACCATGCGCTCTACTGCGTAACACGGTGTCTGCCCGTACTCTCGCTCTCCACGGTCAGTCCAGGGAGTAGGCGCAGGTCTCCTACCTGACTTCGCCACACTCCCTTTTAGCCCCCCCCCAAGAAATTTTTGGGTAGTACCCACGGGCTTCCAGCCTCGACTCCGTGCTGCCTCCTCATACCAACTCCTCTCGGCTTTAGCTGCCTCCAGCTCTTCACGAGGGCGGCGATATTCTCCCGGTTGTGCCCAAGGACCCTTTCCATCCAGTATCTCCTGCCAAGTCCATGAATCCTTGATAGGCGTCCATAACTCCTGTGTAGGTAGGTCCTGTTGCCGCTTGACACGCTGCTTGGTCCTCTTATGGTGGGTTTTTCTGTCACGATCGTCTGAGGAAGCGGACCAATACGCAGCGCGTTGAGTGAACATGATGACTTTATTTAATCAAGCAACCACGAAAACAAATAAACGAATGACGATAGTGAAGTCCACAGTGACAAATGACTGTACATGGAACAAAAGCCCACAGGAAAACAATCAGAATAAATATGGCTCCCAATCAGAGATAACGAGCCGACAGCTGACACTCGTTACCTCCGATTGGGAGTCATTGACCAAACCTAGAAAAGAACCCCACAGAACTGCAAACAAGAAATACACCCAAAACCCAACATAACCAAACCAAACCCCAACAAAACAAATACACCCTGGCTCAAATATAAAAGTCCTGGAGCCAGAGTGTCACAGTGGTGATCCTAACTGACCTAAGACAGGGAATTTGTACTAGGATTAAATGTCTGGAATTGTGAAAAACTGAGTTTAAATGTATTTGGCTAATGTATATGCAAACTTCCGACTTCAACTGTACATACCCCAACCAGAAGTCATGGATTGCAGGCAACATCCGCACTGAGCTAAAGGGTAGAGCTGCCGCTTTCAAGGAGCGGGACTCTAACCCGGACGCTTATAAGAAATCCCACTATGCCCTCTGACAAACCATCAAACAGGCAAAGAGTCAATACAGGACTAAGATTGAATCATACTACACCGGCTCTGACACTTGTCGGATGTGGCATGGCTTGAAAACTATTACAGACTACAAAGGGAAGCACAGCCGCGAGCTGCCCAGTGACACAAACCTACCAGATGAGCTAAATCACTTCTATGCTCGCTTCGAGGCAAGCAACACTGAAGCATGCATGAGAGTTTCAGCTGTTCCGGATGACTATGTGATCACACTCTCCGTAGCCGATGTAAGTAAGACTTTTAAGCAGGTCAACATTTACAAGGCTGCAGGGCCAGATGGATTACCAGGACGTGTAAGCCGAGCATGCACTGATCAACTGGCAAGTGTCTTCACTGACATTTTCAACATGACCCTGACTGAGACTGTAATACCAACATGTTTCAAGCAGACCACCATAGTCCCTGTGCCCAAGAACACTAAGATAACCTGCCTAAATGACTACTGACCCGTAGCACTCACATCTGTAGCCATGAAGTGCTTTGAAAGGCTGGTCATGGCTCACATCAACACCATTATCCCAGATACCCACTCCAATTTGCATACCGCCCCAACAGATCCACAGATGATGCAATCTCTATTGCACTCCACACTGCCCTTTCCCACCTGGTCAAGAGGAACACCTATGTGAGAATGCTATTCATTGACTACAGCTCAGCGTTCAACACCATAGTGCCCTCAAAGCTCATCACTAAGCTAAGGACCCTGGGACTAAACACCTCCCTCTGCAATTGGATCCTGGACTTCCTGATGGGCCGTCCCCCATGTTGTAAGGGTAGGTAACAACACATATGCCACGCTGATCCTCAACACGGGGGCACCTCAGGGGTGCGTGCTCAGTCCCCTCCTGTACTCCCTGTTCACCCATGACTGCACGGCCAGGCACAACTGCAACACCATCATTAAGTTTGCCGACGACACAACAGTGGTAGGCCTGATCACCGACAACGATGAGACAGCCTATAGGGAGGAGGTCAGAGACCTGGCCGTGTGGTGCCAGGATAATAACCTCTCCCTCAACATGATCAAGACAAAGGAGAGGATTGTGGACTAAAGGAAAAAAAAGAGGACTGAGCACGCCCCCATTCTCATCGACGGGGCTGTAGTGGAACAGGTTGAGAGCTTCAAGTTCCTTGGTGTCCACATCACCAACAAACTATTATGGTCCAAACACACCAAGACAGTCGTGAAGAGGGCACGGCAAAGCCTATTCCCCCACATGAGACTGAAAAGATTTGGCATAGGTCCTCAGATCCTCAAAAAGTTCTACAGCTGCACCATCGAGAGCATCCTGACTGGTTGCATCACCGCCTGGTATGGCAACTGCTCAGCCTCTGACCGCAAGGCACTACAGAGGGTAGTGCGTACGGCCCAATACATCACTAGGGCCAAGCTTCCTGCCATCCAGGACCTCTATACCAGGCAGTGTCAGAGGAAGGCCCTAAAAATTATCAAAGACTCCAGCCACCCTAGTCATAGACTGTTCTCTCTGCTACCGCACGGCAAGCGACACCTCTAGAGCGCCAAGTCTAGGTCCAAAAGGCTTCTTAACAACTTCTACTCCCAAGCCATAAGACTCCTGAACAGCTAATCATGGCTACCTGGACTATTTGCAACCCACCCCCCTCTTTTGCGCTGCTGCTACTCTGTTTATTATTTATGCATAGTCACTTTAACTCTACCCACATATACATATTACCTCAACTAACCGGTGCCCCCGCACATTGACTCTGTACCGGTACCCCCTGTATATAGCCTCCCTACTGTTATTTTATTTCACTGCTGCTCTTTAATTTTTTTATTAACACTTGTTTTATTTTCTTAAAAACTGCATTGTTGGTTAAGGGCTTGTAAGTAAGCATTTCACTGTAATGTCTACACCTGTTGTATTCGGCGCATGTGGCAAATAACATTTGATTCGATTTGATTATAAAAAAGCCACAATCCCTTATTCTGATTTTTTTTTTTTTGTCATTTCGCAGACGCTCTTATCCAGAGCGATTTACAGATTTGTTTTATAATATAATTTCTCCAGGTTTAGGCTGGATTATGTGGGGATCTATTTTCTTATAACTAGATGTGATGCCTAGCTTAGAAAGAATGCATTAATGATTAAACATAATAGGTTTGTACTGTACTGATATAAATTGTTTAACATAACAAGCTGTGATTCATGTGAGGAATGTTAGGGAGTAGGGTGAGACAGACTTGTGATTCTCACAGACACATACACACTGCCTCTTTGTTAAACCGCGCTCAAGGACATGTGTTCTGTTACAGTGGAGAGGAACAGACTATGTCTGAAGTTGCAAAACAACTAAACACCTGGCAACAGTGAAGCGCCAAGGGACTGGGACCAGCCTGTGCACCAACGATAGGCTGAGTAAGTCTAAACCACGCTCAGTCTCTACTCTGATTGGCCAGCAGGGAGCGGGAACTATCTCTGTCAGAGTATTTGGAGAAGAACTTAGAACAATGGATCAGTTCTCTGTCTGCCCTGCGTGGTATTTCAGTGGACCCGTATATACGAACATCATATTTACCATTGAAGTGTTTTGCATTAATTAAAATACTAGTCTATTTTAGAAGACGTGTATTGACCTCTTTTGTTCCTAATACCAGATTTGAATTGACGCAACTTAACAATTGGTGACCCCGACGTGATCTGGTAGAAGGGACTTCACTGGGTATTGTCCGGCCCATTGGACATCTCTGTCATTGGACGGTGTGTTTCACAAAGAGTCCGGACTACTAAAAACAGGTAAGCAGACACCTATTGTTATATAACTAAAGTTCTGCACATTGGCTTTATCCAAATTAATTTTGTGAAACACCTGTTTGATGTAAGTGAACTAAATTATGAAACTATTATGAGTAGATAAGCACAATATTGTGACATGCAAACCTGTGGTGAATGTGATGTTAAACCATGGTACCATAGAGTATTTGTTCTACCGGCAAGGTCCGTAACTGCGGGGGTACGGCTAGGTTCGGAGAAAATACTGAAATCTATCGGCAAGGTCCGTAACTGCGAGGGTACGGCTAGGTTCGAAGATACAGGGAATAATTGACTTAAGTAATTGCTATCGGCAAGGTTCGTAACTACGTGGGTACGGCTAGGTTCGAAGAATTACACCGGCAAGGTCCGTAACTTCGAGGGTACGGCTAGGTTCGGGAAATTTTAGATAGTGTTGCGCTATCGGCAAGGTCCGTAACTAGTACGGCTAGGATCGTAGGAGCACTTTAAAGTACACTATAGTGTTGCGCTTCGGCAGGGAGCTGTACTTGGGGGTACCGCCCAGATCGGAGGAGCACTTTAAAGTATAGGGTGTCGTATGCATGAGAGTGTGAATGATCCCAGTGTAATAAAAGAGTGTTTGCAGACAAAATAAAAGAGGGAATGCGGGTTACTAAAATTAATAAACCTGTATACCTTGATAGAAAACTAATTAGGAATTAAAGACGTCTGTGGCTGTCCAAACTGTATAATTTGTGAATAACTGTTGGGTTTGTGGTTGCTTAAACCGTATAACCCGTTAATAACAATTGGGAACATAAAGGTAAAATAATGAATAACTAGTATGACTAAACTGAAACGTTTGAACTGATATAATTGAACTGTAACGTTTGATGTTTGACATAGCATAATACTGGTTTTAAATAATTAAATTGAAGCTATTTGGTTTATTATTTAATTTAACGGTTGATGTTTGACCCTGCAAAATACTGGTTAAATAATTAGACTGAAATAATTAGGTTTATCATTGAAATATAAGGTAGAGAATATTTACATTTGCATTTTTGGTCATTTAGCAGACGCTCTTTTCCAGAGCGACTTGCAGGAGCAATTGGGGTTGGGTGCCTTGCTCGAGGGCACATCGGCAGATTTTTCGCCTGGTCGGCTTGGGGATTGGAACCGGCGACCTCTCGGTTGCTGGCACGGTGCTCTTGGTTACTGGGCTACCTGCCGCCCCATATGAGTTTAAGGTTGTGCCGTTGTTTGATCATGTGATGGGGTTTGATGGGTGATCGGACCATCGGACCATGGTTATGGAAGTAATGTATAAATAGTGGAGAGCCAATAGGGGACTCCATTGAACTATTATGTTTTGTTTGGCATTTCGGTGGCATAAGGTGAGGTCTGTGTGTATGAGTGAATTCGGCGGCTGGTATGGGTGAAGGGAGAGAGAGCATTATTTTGTGTTACTGAATGAGGTGAGAGTTAAATTACTGAGAATAGAGAAGTATTATGGACACTCCGTAATAAATAAACTGAACCAAACATGACGTTACTACAGCAATAGAGGATGGTTAATGTTGTTACGTTAGTTTTTAAACCCGATGATAGAGGTAAATGCAGAACGCTGTTTGAGAGTGTGTTTTATTTTTGCTACTAGGGGATTTAGTGTTTGAGATGAAAGGGCTGGCTAGTAGGGAGTGATGACGTGGCTGGTTGTGCGACATGGAAGTGGTTGTTTGGCGTGCTTTGAAAGCATCGCGAAATGTGTGGGGTGACTGGCAATGTATGGAGAGGGTCCCTGGTTCGAACACAGGTAGGGACAGTGGGTAAAGCTTTCGCATTGGGGCTATAGACCTAGATTACTATGTGGATTGAGAAATGTGAAAGGTTGAATTAGATAGCTTAAGTAGAAGTATTCTAGAAAGGTCTATGAAAATATGTTACAAGGTCCCCGCGCCTTCCCCGTAGTTCAAAAATGATAGGGATATGAATTAAATGTGTGCTGGTAAATTATAGCCAGTATTTGTTTTATTAATTAGGGCCTAATCAGAGAGAACAGTTAAAGAAATTGAATAGCGAACTGAAATGGCGATAGAGCTGTGAAAATTGAGTTGAGGACAAAGGAGAATAATTTATGGCTCTGGTCAGCGAAAAAAAAATTGAGACAGTCAAGCGAGTTGGGTTGAGCTGTGGGATTTCAAGTAGAGGTCTAGATACTTGACTGAAAGGCAGTGCTTTGATCAATTCTAATTGTTATGACTTTATTCGATAGGTTGCTTAACACCAGTGGTGTATGCAAATAGTTGGTAAATTCTAGAACGATAATTTATTTTTGTTACGGGGACCAGGGGATGCAAGTGGCTTTGGCTGTTGTGCTGGGGGAATAGCGCCAGCCTGTGGTGGGTTCTGGATTTGTTAAATAAACAAATTTATATTTTAAACTAAAGTAATGCAATAGGCTACAATTATAACATTATCACAAAAAGGCACAATTTAATGAGAAATAGTTATTACAATTATTATTAATAGTTATTACAGTTATTATAATTGATCCAGTAATGATAGAAGGAGAGTAGAGGAAAGGCAAGGGATTAAATCTAATTTAGGGAAAGAAGAAGAGTATGAAGATATATTAGGGAGAAAATACCATTAACTGAGAGAACATTTGATGTAACCGTGATTGAATTGGCTAAAAAATGAAATATGACATTTACAGGGGGGACAGGAACAATAGAAGGGGAGACAGATTTTCCTAGGGGGTTGATCAAATAATTGATAATGGATCATTTGAGATGAGATCACATGTAGCAGATTTAGGGTAATCAATTAAATAATCATTGTATACTCGAGAATTTTGAGTGGTTTTATGGATTAGTTATGAGGAACTAGATTGATACAAACAATTATTGATGGGTTAGGACTGGGGATATCTGTATCATGTTTTGTGTGTACTACCATCTTTAGATTATAACCAGGAGAAAGAGATTAGCTTATCTCATTGGAATGTTGCCCAGGGCTAGGGGGAGCAGTAGTGAAGTTAGGCAGTATTTAAGTGGGGCCTGGCTATTTGTGGCTGTTGTTTTTCAAATTGGGTTTTTCAAACAAAAAACAACACACCTAGTATGATGTTTATAAAGCCTTGTTGTTTCATTTTGGGGGGTTTTCAGCAGTTCAAGGGTGATAAGTCTTGGAGGAGCACGCACCGTAAATTTTGTGTAGTTTTTTCGGTTTTGGCTGAGTTTGGGGTATATATGATTTCTTATGAGAATGAATGTCATGAGGACTTAATGAACACTTGGGATAAGTAACATTTATGAAATATTTAGAATAATGGTCATGTTTGGTATACTATGGGATGGAACAGTTCGTTGAATAATTTCAATTGCCTCTGAACACCTTCTGGTGTTAATTAATCATCCACACTAGTAAATTCTAAAGGCATGAGAGGAGGACTTTAAGATAGTTTATTTTACTAAGTTGAGGGTAATTTATAATACTGTGAAAAGTGTGAAGAAGATTATAATTTGGTAATAATATATATGATTTGAACCATAAAATAACAGAAGAGAGAGAGAGCTTTCCCTGAATGAGGGATACCTGTTGCTAGTCAATTGTACTAATCTTGGATTACTTTTACGGGATAGAAGTAAATTGAGGTATTATCAAATGTTGTCATTTAAATTTCATTTTTAGTATGCTTTAATAAACAACAAGTTGGTATTTGAAACTAAATTAATGGAATGAGCTGCAGTAATCAGAGGAAGGCACAATCTAATGCGAAACAGCTATTACCTAGAACATTTATTTAGTAATGAGATCAGGAAGATAGGAGCAATAAAGAAGCAAGGGACAGTCTCAAAAATAAATAAGGGATGGCAATTGGATGATAAATTACCAATATTAACTAAGTGATTGTTTAGGTAGGTGGTAATATTGACACATGGGCAAAACATGTGTCAAAAGGGGGATGGTAGGATTAAATAATAAATATATACGAAGGAGAGGACAAAATACTAAAAAAATAAATAATAATAATAATATTTTTAGATACAGTCTAGAAATAAAATAAAAAAAGTCAGAAATAGAAATTGAGAGCTGAACATGTGTGAAGATAGTTTATTAACCACACCCGTATGTCAGAGGTTTTGTGCTCCACAGGTGAACTAAAGGAGAAGGTGACCCACTCTATCTAACCAGGTGACTGGTGAGCATCCAGTCCCTAAAGAAGAAAAACTGGAAGCAGGCCTGTTGGGAAGGGCCCTATCAGGTTATATTGGTCACTGCCTTTGCCATTAGAATAGCTGAAAGAGCCACTTGGGTCAACGTTACCCACTGCAAAAAGGTAGGCCCACATGCCAACACCGTTGAACACACACAGAGTTAAAGAGAAGAACTGGAACCAATAGGGTCTGGGGGTAAACTCTGTTAACGAAGATCCCCTACCCCGACCTTTCATCACTGTGGGGTGTTTATAGAGGTGTGAGTATGGGGTAGTACCAAGCAGAAAGACTGAGGACAGGAGAGGGTTGGCGGTTTTGGGGAATATGGATAACTTGAGTTGCATCATAGTCTCAGCAATGGTCTTGATATGACGACCAACAACGATTTATTGGCTGGACTAGGGATGCAACAGAAGGGATCTTTTGAACAGTTATCCGCCTTCTCACTCTTATGACTTAGTAAAAAGAGGTTGGCTCTAGATCAGGCAGAAAGGGGTGGTGTCTATAGAATGTTAAGCCATTGTTGTATGTTTATCCCTAACAATATCAGTCCTGACTAGTTGGTTTAGATAAACTATCAGCTGAAATGAAGAGCATGGCTGAAATGGAGGGAAACGGACTGTTCTCCTGGTTGGGTGATTGGTTTGGCAAGTATTCAACTATTGGTGGTTACTGGATTTCTGAATCTAGTAGTTGTGTTTCTAATATTAATGTGCTGTACTGCCTGTGTAATTCCTTGTTTGAGAAAGCCTGTTACAGATGTCGTGCATACGGCTGGTATGATACCCCTCCTAGGGGCTCAAGAAGGAGATGCAGACACTGAGATGGGGTTGGCAAAGGATGACCCTTGGTTTGCTATTGGTGAGGTGGTGGAGTGAAACCCTAGAGGGTGTCTAAAGGGGGCCAAAGTTTACTTCCCTGTTTGTGTTTTATGTTTTAATAATCTTGTGTTTTGTGTTCTATTAATCGTGTGTATTATGCTTTATTAATCAAGTTAACCATTGTGAATGTTTATCTTTCCTTATGTGAAGGTTTGAAGTTCCTGGGTGGCTGGTAGCCAACCTAGTACAAGTTGGGTGTAGATGGAAGGACTGAAGGCCTTTTTATTATCATTATTGCCTATTAATAAAAGTGTGATTCTTTTTGTTTATATTGTATTTTAATGAGTGACACCCTAGAGGGTGTCAATAGGGGGAATCCTAAATTTCCCTGAAATTTCTTATTTTGGGTTTTCTTATTTTGGGTTCACACCCAGTGGGTGTGAAAAGGCGGATTGTGGGGATCTATTTTCTTATAACCAGATGTGATGCCTAGCTTAGAAAGAATGCATTAATGATTAAACACATAATAGGTTTGTACTGTACTGATATAAATTGTTTAACATAACAAGCTGTGATTCATGTGAGGAATGTTAGGGAGTAGGGTGAGACAGACTTGTGATTCTCACAGACACATACACACTGCCTCTTTGTTAAACCGCGCTCAAGGACATGTGTTCTGCTACAGTGGAGAGGAACAGACTATGTCTGAAGTTGCAAAACAACTAAACACCTGGCAACAGTGAAGCGCCAAGTGCTGGGACCAGCCTGTGCGCCAACGATAGGCTGAGTAAGTCTAAACCACGCTCAGTCTCTACTCTGATTGGCCAGCAGGGAGCGGGAACTATCTCTGTCAGAGTATTTGGAGAAGAACTTAGAACAATGGATCAGTTCTCTGTCTGCCCTGCGTGGTATTTCAGTGGACCCGTATATATGAACATCATATTTACCATTGAAGTGTTTTGCATTAATTAAAATACTAGTCTATTTTAGAAGACGTGTATTGACCTCTTTTGTTCCTAATACCAGATTTGAATTGACGCAACTTAACAATTACAAAGCCATCATCACATAGTCTGTATGGTTTCGTGCTACTCATTTCACCAATAACCTCATCCCCAGGCTAGGCGGAAATAACCTAACGTAGGAGGCGTAAGAGAATAGCCTGAGCGGAGTTCCTACCTCCGGTTTTCAGGGGAAAAGGAAGCTAGGTTGAAAATAGCTGTATCCCTGAAAAAACGGAACCAAAGATTTTAAAAACTAACCCAAGCTAGACCAGAGCCTGTCGTTTCCAATGGGAGCAAATTAATCATAGTGGGCAGAACAAGCAAGGAGGTAGGCAGAGCCAAGCACGAGCTAGCGAGATCCTATTGGTGTGTTCTAGCATTTATTTGCATATTTCCGTTCGGGAACGCCTACTCTGTGAAGTGCGCGTGTGCAATAACTCAATTCACCTTTGCAGTCCTTCTAAACAACATCCTTTTTTGAAACTTTGGCAAAGGGTAAAGTCTACAAAACGCAGTCCACTCTGTTCTTTACAGATTCTAGTTTTGGAAACAGAAAACTGTATGGAGATAAAATGTTTCATTTGATGAGAAAATTAGCAGAATGTTGGCCAATATCCATCACGCTCCATCTTCTCCCACTGCTGGCCACTGGGCTTCCTCTCATCACCATATTTGGTAGTGAGTGGAAACTCACAACCAGATGCTTCACATTTATACATCTGGTAAAATATCGGGCTCCTTGTGCTATCTGTGCCGGAACATCTGGTTGTTGGCATCTCCGCTAAGGACAAGGTGGAAGTGTCTAAGATTATTTGACCAATGACCACTGGTCCCTCTTGAATGCGCCTCGGCAATGTAGACCACCAGGAAGTCTGCCACATCACTGAAGTCCTTGACGAGTTGCTTGAACTTGTCTGGCAGACAAAAAAGCACAGAATAAATTATAGTAGCCTCGTATTTAGAACGGAAATGATTGAAATTGGCATACTGCAGTATACTTCAGAGTTGTTCCGCCTCAAAGCACATGAAAGAAGAATTAGACACCCACCATCTCAGATTAGTTCTTTATGTTTGACAAGTAGTATGAAGCTGCGGCTTGGAGTATTGTTTAATAATACTATGTCATGTTTTCTCATTGAATTTGGTGATGTTTTTCTCCCCCTTCAGAGAAATTTGCCATTGAAGTAGCTTTCATTTCCCCCCATAAATCAGTGTGAAAGTACAAGGTTGCCCAGGTTTAGTCCAAATAGGATGTTGGTTACTATATTTATTTAATATTATGAATCCTATAAATTGAAATGGACAATTTGGGTGCAATCAATTAGCTTAATTTCTCAAACAAAATAATGTTGCAGGAATGCTTATCTTACCTGTTTCTAACTACAGAAACAATTTCAGAACAATCTGAGACGATGGTTGTCATGACTTGCTGAAAAGAAATGGAAGGACTATGAGCAGTCAACTCACCTTTCAAATACGGGCCGTCTTGCAATCCAATGTAACCACAGGTGAATCGGGAGCCTTGTTGCCCACAAAAGCTTCTTAAGCGAGATCAGTCCACATGTGCCACAATTCATTGACATAAAAGTCGGTCCCCAATCTTCATACTTGAACTTCGGGTTCTGGGTCATCGTTACACTTTCACCCTTTTTTATGATAGTTTTTTTGGTCAAACTTGGTAAAATCAAATTCAGAATTGTCAGAAACATACATTGGATAAGCGCAAAACAACAGAAACGTGCCGTTGACAGATAAATGAACAATTTCCATATTAAAATCATCAATAGCCTATGCGTGCGTGCGACCGACTGGCATCGTTTCCTACTCTATTCTATGGCAGCAGAGTGTAATATATTAAAACAAACACTCTCCAAAGACGCTAGATAAAGCTACACATTTCACAAGCTAGTTTTTCTTGGAGCAGGGACGTGGCCAAAGACAGTTTTAGCATGGGCGTTCATAACCAAGTGGGAAGTGAGAATTTACCACATAGGACTGGGAACTGTCCACTTGAACGGCCCAAACTGGTAATTAATAGTGGGAAACTCCTCTATCATCCTGAGCTCCCACTTCTCGCACATGCTGACCTCTGAAGTCACTTACTAAGAAAATGACCTCGATAACAGCATTTTTGGCAGTTAAATGCAACAACAAAACATCATTTATAAAAAGCTACATATTAATATATATTTTTTAACACTATAATGTGTTTACAAGCATGACTGCTGTAATTTTAGTTGATGGTTTATGCAGCTTGTTGGCCATTAGTCAAACGGCGTCTCTTAATGAGTTCAAAGCACATTAATGCGTCCAACTGGTATTTACTAGAATGCATCCGACTGATTTCACAACTGGTAAATTCCCACCTCCCACTTAGTTACAAACACAGCATTATTGGGCAGTTTCCCATTGCGAAAAATTGTCAAGGTTCTTGTCTGTGTAAGTGGGAGTTCCCTCCTCTCGCGTGACCATCTTTGAGCACGCTTTCCCGCGTGAGCACACGCAAGAAAGCATGCTAACACGAGAGAGGGAACGCCGACTACTGTCAGGGCCCAGGTCTGACAGAATCTGTGCAGAAGATCTAGGTGCTGCTGTAGGCCCTCCTTGGTTGGGGGCAGAAGCACCAGATCATCAGGTTAGAGTCTATGGATTATTCAATTTCATTGAGCTGATTTCTGACTGTGCTGTTCCTTCTTTTTCCGTAGTGTATTTCTGTATTTTTTTGTGATTCACCATAGTGAAGGCATAGACTCAGGTTTTCTGGGTCTCTATGTTTTTGGTTGACTGTGATTTTGCTGTGATCTGATAGGGGTGTTAGTGGGCTGACTGTGAATGCTCTGAGAGACTCTGGGTTGAGATCAGTGATAAAGTAATCTACAGCCCTACTGCCAAGGGATGAGCTGTAGGTGGACCTACCATAGGAGTCTCCTTGAAGCCTACCATTGACTATGTACAGACCCAGTGTGCGACAGAGCTGCAGGAGTTGTGACCCATTTATGTTGGTTATTTTGTCATAGTTGTGTCTAGGGGGGCATATTTGGGAGGAAATACTGTCACCTCCAGGTAGGTGTTTGTCCTCCTGTGTGCTGAGAGTGTCTGGTTCTTGTCCAGTTCTGGCATTTAGGTCGCCATAGACTAGTACATGTCCATGGGCGTGGAAAGGGTTGGTCGCCCCCACTAGGATGGAGAAGCTGTCATCGTTAAAGCATGGGGATTCTATTGGGGGATATAGGTAGCACCCATGAGGACATTTTTCTCTGTTGAGATAATTTCCTTATTAATTTCAAGCCAGATGTAAAATGTTCCTGTTTTGACTAATTTAATAGAGTGGGTTAGGTCTGCTCTATACCAAATTAGCATACCCCCTGAGTCTCTTCCCTGTTTCACACCTGGTAATTTGGTGGATGGGACTACCAGCTCTCTGTAACCTAGAGGGCAACCAGTGGGTCCGTCTCCTCTATACCATGTTTCTTGTAGGATGGAAATGTCTGTATTTCCAATTTATTTGATGAAGTCTGGGTTCCTGCGCTTTAGGCCAAAGTCAGATGACCTCAGACCTTGTATAGTCCAGGATGAGATTGTAAAAACGTTGTGCTCCATAGTGGCTAGTGTTGTTTTCATGTGGTTTAGGCCCGGACCATTAAAGTAGGTGTGAGCGGAGCATGTTGAGCATCTGATACATACCTCTTTGGTGGCAGGATGGGGCTTGGGTGGGTGTATTAGTGGGGGTTGGGCCTGTTGCTCTGCTCACGGCCTGGGCATATGTGCGGCTGTCATGTTGAGGTCCTTGCTGCAGGAGTGGGGGGCATTGGTGGGGCAGAAGGGGCATAGGTATGATCTGGGGGGGGCCTATATAGGGTGTGGCCAGGATTTGTTTGGGGTGGTCTCAGCTGGTTGGGGTGTGTCTGGTGAATTTTTTTTTTTTTATTATTATTTTTTTTCACCTTTATTTAACCAGGTAAGCCAGTTGAGAACAGGTTCTCATTTACAACTGCGACCTGGCCAAGATAAAGCAAAGTAGTGCAATAAAAACAACACAGAGTTACATATGGGGTAAAAAAAACATAAAGTCAGAAATACAACAGAAAATATATATACAGTGTGTGCAAATGTAGCAAGTTATGGAGGTAAGGCAATAAATAGGCTATAGTGCAGAATAATTACAATAGTATTAACACTGGAATGCTAGATGTGCAAGAGATGATGTGCAAATAGAGATACTGGGGTGCAAAAGAGCAAAATAAATAACAATATAGGGATGAGGTAGTTGGGTGGGCTAATTTCAGATGGGCTGTGTACAGGTGCAGTGATCGGTAAGGTGCTCTGACAACTGATGCTTAAAGTTATTGAGGGAGATAAGAGTCTCCAGCTTCAGAGATTTTTGCAATTCGTTCCAGTCATTGGCAGCAGAGAACTGGAAGGAATGGCGGCCAAAGGAGGTGTTGGCTTTGGGAATGACCAGTGAGATATACCTGCTGGAGCGCAGACTACGGGTGGGTGCTGCTATGGTGACCAATGAGCTAAGATAAGGCGGGGATTTGCCTAGCAGTGATTTATAGATGGCCTGGAGCCAGTGGGTTTGACGACGAACATGTAGTGAGGACCAGCCAACAAGAGCGTACAGGTCACAGTGGTGGGTAGTGTATGGGGCTTTGGAGACAAAACGGATGGCACTGTGATAGACTACATCCAATTTGCTGAGTAGAGTGTTGGAGGCTATTTTGTAAATGACATCGCCGAAGTCAAGGATCGGTAGGATAGTCAGTTTTACGAGGGCATGTTTGGCAGCATGAGTGAAGGAGGCTTTGTTGCGAAATAGGAAGCCGATTCTAGATTTAACTTTGGATTGGAGATTCTTTATGTGAGTCTGGAAGTTGAGTTTACAGTCTAACCAGACACCTAGATATTTGTAGTTGTCCACATACTCTAGGTCAGACCCGTCGAGAGTGGTGATTCTAGTCGGGCGGGCGGGTGCTAGCAGCGTTCGATTGAAAAGCATGCATTTAGTTTTACTAGTGTTTAAGAGCAGTTGAAGGCTACTGAAGGATTGTTGTATGGCATTGAAGCTCGTTTGGAGGTTTGTTAACACAGTGTCCAATGCAGGGCCAGATGTATACAAAAAGGTGTAGTCTGCGTAGAGGTGGATCTGAGAGTCACCAGCAGCAAGAGCGACATCATTGATATACACGGAGAAAAGTGTCGGCCCAAGAATTGAACCCTGTGGCACCCCCATAGAGACTGCCATAGGTCCAGACAACAGGCCCTCCGATTTGACACACTGAACTCTATCTGAGAAGTAGTTGGTGAACCAGGCGAGGCAGTCATTTGAGAAACCAAGGCTATTTAGTCTGCCAATAAGAATGCGGTGGTTGACAGAGTCGAAAGCCTTGGCCAGGTCGATGAAGACGGCTGCACAGTACTGTCTATTATCAATCGTGGTTATAATATCGTTTAGGACCTTGAGCGTGGCTGAAGTGCACCCGTGACCAGCTCGGAAACCGGATTGCATAGCGGAGAAGGTACGGTGGTATTCGAAATGGTCGGTGATCTGTTTGTTAACTTGGCTTTCGAATACTTTCGAAAGGCAGGGCAGGATGGATATAGGTCTGTAGCAGTTTGGATCTAGAGTGTCACCCCCTTTGAAGAGGGGGATGACCGCGGCAGCTTTCCAATCTCTGGGGATCTCAGACGTTATGAAAGAGAGGTTGAACAGACTAGTAATAGGGGTTGCGACAATTTCGGCGGCTAGTTTTAGAAAGAAAGGGTCCAGATTGTCTAGCCCAGCTGATTTGTAGGGGTCCAGATTTTGCAGCGCTTTCAAAACATCAGCTGTCTGAATTTGTGTGAAGGAGAAGCGGGGGGGGCATGGGCAAGTTGCAGCAGAGGGTGCAGAGTTGGTGGCCGGGTTAGTGGTAGCCAGATGGAAAGCATGGCCAGCTGTAGCAAAATGCTTGTTGAAATTCTCGATTATTGTAGATTTATCGGTGGTGATAGTGTTTCCTAGCCTCAGTGCAGTGGGCAGCTGGGAGGAAGTGCTCTTATTCTCCATGGACTTTACAGTGTCCCAAAACTTTTTGGAGTTAGTGCTACAGGATGCAAATTTCTGTTTGAAAAAGTTAGCCTTTGCTTTCCTGACTGCTTGTGTATATTGGTTCCTAACTTCCCTGAAAAGTTGCATATCGCGGGGGCTATTTGATGCTAATGCTGTACGCCACAGGATGTTTTTGTGCTGGTCAAGGGCAGTCAAGTCTGAGGAGAACCAGGGGCTATATCGGTTCTTAGTTCTGTATTTTTTGAATGGGGCATGTTTATTTAAGATTGAGAGGAAATTACTTTTAAGGAACAACCAGGCATCCTCTACTGACGGAATGAGATCTATATCCATCCAGGATACCTGGGCCAGGTCAATTAGGAAGGCCTCCTCGCTAAAGTGTTTTAGGGAGCGTTTGACAGTGATGAGGGGTGGTCGTTTGACCGCAGACCCGTTACGGACGCAGGCAATAAGGCAGTGATCGCTGAGATCCTGGTTGAAGACAGCTGAGGTGTATTTAGAGGGTATGTTAGTCAGGATGATATCTATGAGGGTACCCATGTTTAAGGATTTAG